GATGACATGGTTAGATGAGATCATCAATGCAGTAGGCATAGGTTTGAATGAACTCCAGAAAACAGTAGAGGATGGGGGATCCTCACATGGTCCATGGGGTTATGGAGGCAGAAACACCTTAGCGACTGAACAACAAATAAAGAGAGAACATGGAAGAATAGAGTGCTCTGTACACTAGCATGATTCCCTGAAGAAAAAGGAGAATACAAATCTAATAAATTAATTATTATTATTTTTTTTAATTTGATTTATATGCCGCCCTTCTCCGGAGACTCAGGGCGGCTTACAATGCGTTAAGCAATAGCCTTCATACTTTTGTATATTTTATACAAAGTCAGCTTATTGCCCCCACAAACTGGGTCCTCATTTCACCTACCCCCCACTTACTTGATTTGGAGATTCAACCATTGTTTCAGCTCCACCATAAAGACCAGAAAGCTTCATTTTACGTTCCCCTGCAAAGAGACAGGCTTTTAAAATATGTAAGTAACAAATAGGGAGAAGATATTTTACAGAAGACACAGGGAAGGGAAAGCAGCCTGGATCTCTCTGGGGAATGACAGGACCTTTGATTACCTCCTGAGATGTTCTGGTTGGGATATTCCTGAGAGATACTCCTGAAAAACATCTCCTGAGGGGAATATGATGGATTTCTCCTTTTGTCAGTCTCTGTGATGTCCGCCACAAAGGACTTGAAACAGGAAGCATAAAAGAAGAACAATTAACAGATATGGCAAAACCTGAAATGGATTCTTGTTCTCCAAATATAACTTCAGAATTCCCAATGTCCATCAGTGACGCTGAGTAAGAAAGGAATGGTTGTCACAAATCTACAATGAATAATGGGACAATGTCCTACAAGGATTGGTGGGACATCTCCATATTTCAGACATCTCTGAGCCGCCCAAAGTCCCTAGGGAGTTGGGCGGCATAGAAATGCAACTAATAATAATAAATATATTATGAATGACGGAGAAATCAGGAAAGGAGAAGTGAAGAAATCAAACATATTCTCCATTCCTTTCAAACCAAAACTACCACAAATCAAATTTGCTCACCTGCAACTTGACCTGCTCCTTCTGCTCCTCCATCTGGCTCAGGAGGAAGCCTTCCGCCAGGGCCACCGCCTGGGAGCTGGTCTCTGCTCCACACTCCTGCACCCAACCCTCCATCTCTGGGGGCAAGATAGCCAGGAATTGCTCCAGAACAACCAGGTCCAGCATTTGGGCTTTGGTGTGCTTCTCTGGTCTCAACCATTGCCTACAAAAGCCATGGAGTTGGCTGCAAAGTCCTCTGGGACCTTCAGCCTCCTGGTATCGGAGGCTCCTGAAGTTCCAGGGCTGAACTTGTAAACAGATGATGGTTTCCTCCTCCATGATCTTCTGCTCAGCTCCTGCCCACAACTCTGGAGCTCCACTTCCCCCCTGCATGGAATGGGCAGTTGCATAGGATCCAGAACTGAAACTGGAGGAAAGCTGATTACGGTTCTCCCCCTCTCTGCCTCTCTTTGCACATGAAGCGCTGCAAAACTTTCTGCCAGCCTCTTCACTTCCTGCAGAGTTTCAAGATTTTAGGAGAGCGAGTGCGGCACCCTAGAGCAGAAGTCTTCAAACTTGGCAGCTTTAAAACTTGTGGACTTCAACTCCCAGAATTCTCCAGCCAGCATAGCTGGCTGGAGAATTCTGGGAATTGAAGTCCACAAGTCTTAAAGCTGCCAAGTTTGGGGACCCTTGCCCTAGAGAGTCAAGACTCAGTGATGTCATTTCTATCGCAGCCTCCTCTGGAAAGCCAGTCTTCTCTTAATCTGTACACTACTTAGGGTATGGAATGTCCTCCTTGGGACTCCTGGCCACTCTATAGAGCCAGGCTTTAAGGTCCTTTTGGAAGGCCAAGAGGATAGGGGCAGATCTCACCTTGAGGGACAGGATGTTTCAGAGGGCAGGAGCCACTGCAGAAAGTATTCTTCTCCCAGATCCTGCCAGCCAAAATTCTTTGAGCAACAAGATCCGCAGCATGCCGCTTCTGTCTTCATGAATGTGAGGGCCAATGTCATTGTCCTTTATGTCCTGTGTTATATTTATTGTTTGAATAAATAGCCCTGTATTTGGTCCTCTGCTTGCTGCTGAAAAATACAAATGAATACCGGCGGGAATGTATTATTTTGCATATTGCTACTACATTGCTCTCCCTTTTTTGTTTTGCTTCTCTTGACAGTTATGGCAATGAAGTGGAAATATATTTTATATTTTCTTACACCAATTGTTTATTATACACTTCGCATTTATGCCAATGATTTCTTTGTGTGAGGGGAAAGGACTGGGCCATGCAGATGGCAGAAGCATAACCTTCATAGAGGTGCTCTCAGCTCCTTCTCCCAGGCGATTCGCAGGTAGCAAGAAAACACAACGGGACACATGCAGAGTCTTCAGTGAAGTTGGTTTAATGTTTAGCGGGGCTCCGGAACAACGCTGAGCTCTATAGTAGTTTAAAGTTGGCGCTACGAACAGCTGCTACGTAGTGCCCCTTATACATTTGCCCCACCCTTCCCTTATTACTGGCTAGATAGCAATCAGCTGTGACACGCAGTCACGCGCACCCCTCTTCCGGGTTTTCTCGTTCATGGGAGTGTCCCGGTCGAATCCCCCCTCGCCTTTCCTTAGCCCGATGCCCGGTCCCTCGGCCACCTATTCCCAGTGCCACCACCACCATTTGTGAGTTTGTGTGTTCAGCATTTGGGTGCAGTCCTGCGTCCTTGTTTGTCCTGTTTGCTGAGCGCAGTCCTGCAGCATCAGGTACATGTGCATTATTCTCCTCCTCCTCCTCCCAATCCCATTATTGTCGAGCGGAGGCTTGGGCTCGACAGGTACAAGACACATTGCAAGGACCAAAAGATACAGGCACGGAGGACAAGAGGAGGAAGATTTCAAAATGTGTCAGTTCTGCCCCAAAAGTAAACTCTAGAAGCATCGGATGAATTTTTCCCTCACATGAACCAAGCTTTATCGTTTTTTTAGAAAGAGGGATCCAATTGTGCAACCTATTGATGGGCTGTATGCTAAAATAAAGCCGGGTCATGACACACACTTGAAAGTAAAACAGGAAGCCTGTAATTCCGGAGTGTGTCTGGCAAGAACAAAGACTGCTTATCTACAGAAAATTTGCATGTGTAAATCTTGTAACAATTCTGGGTAGTTAGAAAGCTGACAACTTGCAGATCTTAGCTAACAATTAGGAATAGTGATGGCCTGCAGCCAATAAAATGTGCATTACATAACTCCTGGGGCATTCATTAGCCAAGGCTTAGGAATAGGGACAATTAGAGACCAATAGAACAAATTGTAGAATTATTAGTAAAATTTTTATTAGATGATACTTCTTCTTATCTCGCCTCGTCCCGCCTTTTCCTTTAGTGAAAATGTATAAAGCTTTCTTAATCCTTTGTTCTTGGTTACATGCGCTTGGATCTTGGCTTCTCCTGCCCTGAAATGAAAGCGAACAGCGGCGGAGGGAGGGAGGGGACTTCTAAGCATAGCGCGTAGAGGTGGCAAACAAGGCTGGGAAGATGCGGTGATTGCTCGGCAAGGGCAGCCTCGCTTTCTTCCTTCTCCCACTGCAAAACAAAAGCAAACTGTGGCGGCAGTGCTTCGGGAGGGCACTGCATGTGCAGTACTGTCTGGGACATCAGCTTGCCCTCCTGGAGCACCGCTGTAATGGCGCTGCCCCTCTCAGCCCCTCTCAGCGGTTGCATCTCCACCAAGGGCCGCCCACTGTCAGCCTTACCAATGCACTGGCTCTGTTGGGATGATGGGCATGCTGAATACGCCGGCGGAGGATCTAGAAGGTAAGGCCAATGCTGACAGTGGGGGAGGGGAGAGGGAGACCCGCTGCGCTCGGCTCCTCAGAGGGACATGGCGAGTCTTGCTCGCCTTTTGGGTCTGGCACACTCGGCTTCCACGCGGCCTTTGGGTGATTGCCGCCCACTTGCCTTCCCCATTGCCTGCATCCAGCACATGACGGGGGATCTGCCACTTCTGGGCCAGGCTGCCCACTCTCCCAGAGCACTTTCTTCCTTCTCCTGCAGCAGCCTCTGGAGCCGAGATTGTTGCTCTGCTGAGGTGTGCATGAGCAGCCCCAGGAGGGCAGGCAGATGTAAGGGAGACCGAAGAAGAGCCGCCTTGGGAGAACATGGTGAGGCTCGCTTGCCTTTTGGACCTGGCACACTCGGTTTCTATGGGACCTTTGGGCCACTGCCGCCCACTTGTCTTCCCCTCCACCTTGGGTCCCATCTGCATCAGCCAATGACGGGGACATGCCTGGCGCACCCCACCCCGCTACTCCCGACTCCACCCCCCCAGCCATGCAACCGGTGCACAGATCCAGCTGCAGCTTGTCCAGGCTAGCAAGCCTTAATTAATCCTCTGCCGCCTGGGCTATCAAGGCCTGATTACTCCTGGGCAAGCCCTGAGTAATCCTGGGCAGCGATGTTGCTCCCAATCAGGCTTGGGGCCTCTGCACAGGCATAGAAGCAGCGGGTGCCAACCCGAGCACCAGCTGTTTCCTGTCCGCCTCTCAGTTGAGAGGTGGTAGCAGGCCAGCGGCGACAAGATCTGAAGTCGCAGCAACAGTCCCGGAAGCAGCAAGCAGGAGAGGCAGCCACCAGTGAGCAACAGGATGCAGGGCTAGCAAGTGGATGCAGGGTGAGCCTTCCCGGGTGGCTGGAATGTGGGGCAGTTGGCTCTGTCGGCTGCCGTCCCCGCCGGAGAAGAAAAAGAAAGGAAGGGAGAGAGAGAGAGGAGTGGTGTGAGTGACGTCATGTTGACCCCGCCCACCCAGTCACATGACCACTAAGCCACGCCCACAGAACCAGTGGCAAAAAAAATTAGATTTCACCCCTGGACCAATCCTGTATGAGAGTGAGAACAAAGAGAAGAAAACCGGATGGTAAGTGGCACCTGACAGGGTTCCAACTAATGAACCCAACCAATTGAGCACTCTGAGACTTTCAACTTTCTCAAAGAACTGTTTTATTGAGTACATCATTTCAACACAGATGAAAACAAAACCAGGTTTTAACAGATAACAGAGTTGGAAGGGACTTTATAGGTCATCTAATCCAAACCCCCCCCCGCTCAAGCAGGAGACCCTAACCATTTCTGACAAATGGCAGTCCAATCTTTTCTTGAAAGTCTCAAGTGATGAAGCGCCCACAACTTCTGAAAGCAAGCTGTTCCATTGGTTGATTGCTCTCAGTCAGAAAGTTCCTCATTTCTAGGTTAAATCACTCCTTAGTCAGTTTCCATCTATTATTCCTTGTGTGGCCTTCAGGTGCTTTGGAAAAGAGCTTGACCCCCTCCTCTATGTGGCAGCCCCTCAAATATTGGAACACTGCTATTCTGTCTCCCCTGGTCCTTCTCTTCACTAGACTAGCCATGCCCAGTTCCTGTAACCATTCTTCATATGTTTTAGTCTCCAGTCCCCTAATCATCCTGGTTGCTTTCCTCTGCACTTTTTCTAGAGTCTCAACATCTTTTTTATAGTGTAGTGACCAAAACTGGATGCATACTCTAGGTGTGGTCTTACTAGGGCTTTATAGAGTGGTATTAGTACCTCACTTGATTTTGATTGTATCCTTCTGTTATTGCAATTTAGGATTGCATTGGCTTTTTTGGCTGCCACTGCACACTGCTAGATCATATTTAGCTGGTTGTCCACTAAGACTCCAAGATCCCTCTCACAGTCACTGCTATTAACCCAGTGTATATGTGTGCTTTTGGTTTTTCTTACCTAAGTGTAGGACTTTTCTTTTCTCTACATTGAATTTCATTTTGTTAGATAGGGCCCAGTGTTCAAGTCTGTCAAGATCCATCTGGATCTTGAGCCTATCTTCTAGGGTGTTAGCTATTCCTGCCAGCTTAGTATCATCTGCAAATTTGGTAAGTTCCCCTTCTATTCCCTCATCTAAGTCGTTTATGAAAATATTGAAGAATACTGGGCCTAAGACGGAACCTTGTGGCATCCCACTGCTTACTTCACTCCATGTAGACTTAGACCCATTAAGGACTACTCGTTGAGTACGGTTTGTCAGCCAGTTGCGAATCCATCTGGTGTTGAAGCTATCTATCCCACTTTTTTCTAGCTTACAAAGAAGTAGGTTGTGGTCTACTTTGTTGAATGCCTTGCTGAAGTCTAAATATATTATGTCCACAGTATTTCGCTGGTCTACTAATTTAGTCACTATGTTGAAGAATGAAATAAGATTGGTTTGGCATGATCTGCTTTTAACAAAACCATGCTGGCTGCTAGTTATTACTTTACTCATTTCTAGGTGTTGGCAGATCTGGGTTTTTATTATCTTTTCCAGCATCTTCCCGGGTATTGATGTTAGGCTGATTGGTCTGTAGTTTCCTGGGTCTGGGTTTTTTTTGTTTTTGTTTTTCCTTTTTTGAAGATGGGAACCACATCAGCTCTTTTCCAGTCTTCTGGTAGTTCCCTGGTGTTCCAGGATTTTTGAAAGATGTGGTACAGTGGTACTGATATCTACCAGCTCCTTTAGAACTCTGGGATGTAATCCATCAAGTCCTGATGATTTGTATTCATCAAGATCAGACAGGTGTTCTCTTACTATTTTTTCGCTTATTTTAACTTTTATTTCCAGTCTGTTTTTTACAGTTATGTTTCTGGTAGGTTGGGCTATAGTTGTCAGCGTTGCAACGCTGGCATAGAGAGAGCAGAGGACATGCGAAAGATAAACTCTGAAACTTTTGCCTGCTAAATCCCTTTGAAGCCTGGTTGTCGTGGAGATGAGGGGGGGCACATTCCTGGGAAATGATGAGGAAAAGAAGTCTGAAGAATGACTTGGAAGACAGCCAATGAGAAGCAGAGATTTGGGGATCGGAAAGGGAGGGATTGGGGGGCAAAAGGTCAGTCTTGTCCGCACGGAGTCATGATCCGGTGGCTGAGCTCAATTAAAGAAAGATTTCCTTAAAGATTGGCAGTTTGGAAATTCATTTAATTTTGAGATAGCACCGCAGTCTGACAATAGTTTCTTTTTGCATAAAGACCGATGCAAAGAATGAGTTAAGCAGCTCTGCTTTCTCTTTACTGCCTGTTACTTCCTTGCCATCTTCTCTCTTTAGTGGACTGACTGTTTCCTTGATTTTTATCTTGTTATTTATATGTTGGAAGAAACTATTTTTTGTTATCTTTGACTTTTGTTGCAACTCTTTGCAGATTCTGGCTATCTGCTGATATCCTGCCTTAGTTATGTGTCCCTCTTTCCATTTTTTGTACTATATGCCAACTTTGTATAGAACACTGCTTAAGGTGGGGCCGAAAACCCTAATAAGCAGTTATATACAAAAAAGTATGCTGGCTATTGCTATAATGCATTGTAAGCCGCCCTGAGTCTACGGAGAAGGGCGGCATATAAATTGGACTAATAAATAAAATAAATAAATTTAACTATTTTTGTACTAGGTCTATTTCCCATGGTTTCAGTATAATTAAAGAATAGATAACGTACTCCCTCATTGTCACAGGTCACATTGTCCAATTAGATGTTCTGGCGTCTCACTGGCATCTCCCCTCAGTCTCTGGCCAGCACCTGTTGAGATTATTTTGGTTCCCAAGGGTATTTTGGCATGGGGACAAACTCCCCCCCCCCGACTATTTTGAATGGGGTAAGCGCCATACTGCTGCGTACCGCATTATTGTATGCAACCTCAGCAAACAGCAGATCTGCCCAGTTAGACTGCTGGTAGTTGACATAGCATCTCAAGTACTGCTCTATCATAGTGTTCTCTCGTTCAGTGGCTCATTCGTACTCGGATGAAACGCACAGGTAAACCCTTGGGAGGATTCTATCAGCTTTACAATCTCCCTCCAAAACTTGGCAGTGAATTGGACCCTCAATCCGAAACAAATTCTCTTTGGATCCCTGTGCAGTCGATGTGCTGCAGGAATAGCATGGCCAGCCTCTAGACAGATGGACCGCTTTGGCAGGCTACGAAGTGGGCTTGTTTAGAAAAGAGGTCTATTACTGTCCAGATGACAATGTTCCCCCCACTCTCAGGTAGCTCAACTATGAAATCCATCACTATTTACTCCCAGGGCCAGGTCGCCTCAGGGCCGGCCTGTGAGTAAATAGGCCGTAAAATGACATTTCTGAGAAAAGGACTTTCCACATTCCCTGCATTTATGTGGTTTCTCTCCCATGTGGCTCCTTTTATGGATCGCAAATTTACTCCTGTGACCAAAGGCCTTCCCACACTCTATGCATTTATGTGCTTTGTCTCCTGTGTGGATCATGTTATAGGGAATAAGGTCACTGCTTTGGGAAAATGTCTCCACACTCCATGCATTTAAATATTTTTTCCTGTGTGAACCCTTTTATGAACCTTAAGATGACTCTTTTGAGAAAATGTCTTTCCACACTCCATGCATTTATATGGCTTCTCCCCCGTATGGATCCTTTTATGGGAAATAAGACCGCCACTTTGAGCAAAGGCCTTTCCACACTCCAGACATTTATATGGCTTCTCCCCTGTGTGAATCCTATTATGTTTATTAAGTTGACTTCTATGAGCAAAGGCCTTTCCACACACCGTGCATTCATGTAGCTTCTTCCCTATGTGGATCATGCCATGGGAAGTAAGATTACTCCTCTCTGCAAACATTTTCCCACACTCCATGCATTTGTATGGCTTTTCCCCCGTGTGGATCCTTTTATGGATCACAAGTTTACTCCTGTGAGCAAAAGCCTTCCCACACTCTACGCATTTATGTGGTTTTTCTCCTGTGTGGATCATGTTATGGGAAGTAAGGTCACTGCTTTGAGCAAAGGTCTTTCCACACTCCATGCATTTATATAGTCTTTCCCTTGTGTGAACTCTTTTATGGACTGTAAGATGACTCTTCTGAGAAAAGGCCTTTCCACATTCCATGCATTTATATGGCTTCTCCCCTGTGTGGATCCTTTTATGGGAAACAAGACCGCCACTTTGAGCAAAGGCCTTTCCACACTCCAGACATTTATATGGCTTCTCCCCTGTGTGAATCCTATTATGTTTAGTAAGTTGACTTCTATGAGCAAAGGTCTTTCCACACTCCGTGCATTTATATGGCTTTTCCCCCGTGTGGTTCCTTCTGTGGATTGCAAGTTTACTCCTGTGAGCAAAAGCCTTCCCACACTCCATGCATTTATGCGGTTTCTCTCCTCTGTGGATCATATTATGGGAAGGGAGAAGACTGCTCTGAGTAAAGGCCTTTCCACTCGCCATGCATTCATATAGCTTCTTCCCTATGTGGATGATGTTATGGGAAGTAAGATTACTCCTCTCTGCAAATGTTTTTCCACACTCCATGCATTTGTATGGCTTTTCCCCTGTGTGGATCATGTTATGGGAAGTAAGGTCACTATTTCGAGAAAAGGTTTTTCTGCATTTCGTGCATTTATATAGTCTTTCTCCTGTGTGGACTCTTTTATGGACTGTAAGATGACTCTTCTGAGAAAAGGCCTTTCCACACTCCATGCATTTATGTGGTTTCTCTCCTGTGTGGATCATATTATGGGAAGTAAGGTCACTGCTTCGAGCAAAGGTCTTTCCACACTCCATGCATTTATATAGTCTTTCCCCTGTGTGGACTCTTTCATGGACTGTAAGATGACTCTTCTGAGAAAAGGCCTTTCCACACTCCATGCATTTATGTGGTTTGTCTCCTGTGTGGATCCTTTTATGGATCACAAGTTTACTCCTGTGAGTAAAGGCCTTCCCACACTCCATGCATTTATGTGGTTTTTCTCCTTTGTGGATCATCTTATGGGAACTAAGATCACTGCTCTGATCAAAGGTCTTTCCACACTTCATGCATTTATATAATTTTTCCCCAGTGTGGATCCTTTTATGGTAAAAAAGAGCATCCCACGACCTAAAGCCTCTTCCACATTCCACACATTTATATAGCTTCTGTCCTGTGTGGAACATTTTATGGAAAGTAAGTTGACTGCTTGTTGTGAAGCTTTTTCCACATTCCAGACATTTATAACGCTTCTCTTCTATGTGGATTTCTTTTGGAGATATAAGGGATCTATTCCCAGGAGAAAAAGTCCCAGTGTAATTTTTTCCATTGTGTCTGCTTATAGCATCTTGTTTGATTTCGATTGGATAGTGTTCGTTTATATGTAATTTAGCTTGAACTGGTTTTACACTTTTCCTAATATATTTCTTTTTCCCCCCTTCTTGGGCAAGAAAGTCTTGCATCAAATCATCAATGGAAGACGAGCTTTCCTGATTCCAGTTATTTAACGGGTTTCTTTCATGTCTTTCTACTTTCTTTTGAATTGCTAACTTCTCCATTCCCTCTCCATTGATCACTTGGAACAGTTCACAGGTATCTTGATTCTCCTGCCCATTATTACCTTCAAAGGAAAAGAAAAATGGCTAGTGAAAATCATCGAACTATAAGAAAATATGAATTTTCTTCTTAACTTTTGTGAAATCCCAATATATTGCACGTTTGCATGCTTACAATGACATGGAATAGAAATAACCCGTGTTTCCCTGAAAATAATACTGTCTTATATTTTTTTGAACCCCAAAATAAGCCCTTGGCCTTATTTTCAGTGAGGTCTTATTATTTTGGGGCACATGGAGCAAGATGGGACTCCTCTTGCTGTCTTACCTGATTTCCAGCTCTACATTTAAATATTTTCGGGGAGGGCTTATTTTAGCACATGCACTCAAAAGCCCAATTGGGCTTATTATCAGGGGATGTCTTATTTTCAGGGAAACAGGGTATAATTTCTACATTCATAAGCCATAAAAGCTTTGGAAATATCTAGAAAATACCTCTTTCTCTACAATTATCCATAGGTACTCAAATCTCATCCAGACTCAGCTCTCACTTAAGGAATAATCAGGGAAAACATCCAGGCAGGTAAGGAGATAGTTTAACATTTATTGGAGTGGGTTAATTTTAACAGTGAGAAGTAAAGCTATTTTGAAACAAGTTATTTTTTTCCTATCCAAACTACCTTCTCTTTACTATTCATTTTCTTTTGCCAAAATTACATAGCCGCAGATAAAAAAAAAAATCAGGAATTCTATTAACCCCCAACACCATGTTTGCAATAGGAAAACAGCATGATTTAACCCAATGGTGATATGTGCTTGAAATGTCCAAAAATTTAGAAAATACCTTTCTCTGCTGGTGTAACATACATCACCTTCTGCCCCTCCCTCATTAAAATAAATACCGTATTTTTCAGAGTATAAGACACACTTTTTCCCCCCAAGAGGCTGAAAATTTGGGTGTGTCTTATACTCTGAATGTAGCCAAAAACACAAGGCACAGAGGACGCGATGGTCTGTGGCAATCTCTGCAGCCTGGAACAGCTGATTAGGGGTATTCCAGGAGGCTGATCTACCCACCAATCAGCTGCTCATGCTGAATCAGGCTGCAATAATGTGCTGAAGCTGACCTAGCTTTTGCTATTTGCTACAAGGACTGTCAGAGTTTGCAGCAGCAATCACATCCAGAAAGCACACACAAGTAACTGATTCAGCAGGATTCAATAACTTCTCTTTATATATAATATAAAGTAAATATACAATACCAAAAGCAGGTTTTCCAACACAAGTAAAACACAAGAATAGGAGTTTTTAGTTTCAGAGATCAGCACAGCATGCAGCTTTAGAACAGTTGACCCAAGCCACGCCCAGGCTCCTTGCTGTCTCCTTCCTTGTTGCTCACACAGCAAATACTGTTTCAGTTTCCAAACAGCCCTCAACTTGCTCAAACACTGACAGGACGCTAGCCAGATGAATACCAATGGATGCTCGTAGGCAGAGGCAGAATTTTTTTTTTCTTATTTTCCTCCCCCAAAACTAAGGTGTGTCTTATACTCCAGAGTGTCTTATACTCCAAAAAATACAGTGCTCTTATCTCTCCCCCATCTAGGCCACTCTAAACAGTAGTACTCAGCAGCAGCAGCAGCACCAAACCTGGACTTGAAGGACCCTCACCTCTTTCAATCTTGGAGCAGGAGAAGGCCAGATATTTTCCTTCGCTATTTGCAGAGATGACATCTGACTGGAGATTTTTTTACTTAAGAAATAAATGATGGCATTTAATTATAGAATATCTTCCCGAACACCATCTTGGAGCATAGCAAACTCTTACCCAGAGAGGCCATGTTCCTATGATTTTCCAGCATAACTTCCCAATACAATGCTTTTTGGTCAGGATCCAACTGAGACCACTCCTCCTCAGAGAAATACACAGCCACCTCCTCAAAGGACACAAGACCCTCCTGAACAAGGAAAAACAGAAAGACCAAGGAGGATTTGTGGGGTTTTCTCCATTGTTCACAAATTCCCAAAGCAAAGATATTTGATAATTTAAACAGCTGTGCTTGATATGAATCCAAGATTTAAGGGAGACGGGAGAAGACAAAACAGAGAAAATTCCCCAGGAAGGACATTCCACAGCCTTTCAAGAGCTCGATTGTTTTGTGTCCAAAACTGCCTTGAATATATGCTCCTTCTTTACTTAGAGACTTTTCCATTTGGCCATTGTCATTGGATTTTAATAATCTGCCTTATCTTTTAATCTGATGATTTTATTTTTTAATCACTAGTTACAAACAAGGTTTTTTTTAAAAATGTAATGCTACAATGTGACCATTTAGTTATTTATTTTTTTAAAAAAATTGATTTATATGCCGCCCTTCTCCGGAGACTCAGGGCGGTTTACAGTGCATTAAGCAATAGCCTTCATACTTTTGTATATTTATACAAATTCAGTTTATTGCCCCCACAAACTGGGTCCTCAATTTACCTACCTTAGAAAGGATGGAAGGCTGAGTCAACCTTGAGCCTGGTGAGATTCGAACTTACTTTAATTGCAGACAGCTGGTGTTAAATTACAGAGCTCTGTCTGTTGAGCTATCCAGGCTCTCTATTTTTTATTAGCCTTGTACAATTCCAGGTCAAAGAATAATAAAAAGCATGGATCTATTTACCAGTTGCTGCCACTGTGATGCGTTTATTCCTACATTCCTATTTCTTGAAGGATTTTTTTAAAAAATTACTTCTTGTAAACTAAGAGTAGAAAGAGTACCCTGCAGTGAAATTTAACGAGTGGTCTTTAAAAAAAAACCTTTCCTAAACAGAATCTGAGGGTAGAAATGACAAAACATTGTGTCCCAACAACAGTCTTCAGGGAAGTTAACCTGCTGAAAGCAACTTGAACCTGCTATTCTCCTTTCCACATTGCTCAGAAACAGGGTGGATTTGATTTAAATCGAGTTGATTTAAATCACAATTTAAATCATGATTTAAATCACTAGTAAAAAGGCTTGATTTAAATCAACTTGATTTAAATCATAATTTTTAAAGAGCAACTGTCATCTCTGCTACTCCTTTGACCCACTGTTGACTCACCGATAGTCCCAGTGTTGCAGAATATACAGCCTCATGCTACATAACTAAGCTCCATTTCATGCTGAATAAACTAAATTATTTATGTATCTTAAATAGAAAACTATCTTACGATAGATTTTTACCCCAAAAGTTTTTTATTAAAATAAATTCGATAAAAATAAAAAAAAATCCGATTTAAATAAAAAAAATCCGATTTAAATAAAAAAAAATATGATTTTTTTTATTTTTTTAAAAAAATCATTGATTTTTATCCACCCTGCTCAGAAATATGAAAATAACACAGCCTAAATGGGGTGTGGGTGACGGGATGGAAGGATGGAGGGATTTGTACATCAGCTTGACTTCCTGAAGAAAAGACAGAATACAAATCTATCTTACCTTTACTTGATTTGGAGGTTCAACCACTGTTTCTACTCCATCATAAAGACCAAAAAACTTCATTCCATGATTCCCTGTGAAGGAGACAGAATTTTAAAATGAATAAAGAGCAAAAGAGGAGAAGGTATTCTACCAAAGGGAAGACAAAGGGAAGGCGAGAGAGCTGGGATCACTCTGTATAGGGGGGACCTTCAACTACCTCCCAAAGTGTGCTGACTTGAATCTTCCTGAGGGATCCTCCAGAAAAACAGCTCCCCAGGGGGATTTGATGGAATCCTCTTTCCCTCAGGACTGCTGATTGACACAGGGAAGAACTTCAAATAGACAGAAGGAGAAAATAAGAATGAACAGGCATCACTCAATATGAAGTGGTTTCTTGTTCTCAGAACACAACCTCAAAGCCCACAATATCCATCAGTGAAATGGAGTAAGAAACCAATGGAACAATGTCCTACAAGCATTAGTTAAACATCTCAGAATCCAAAACGATCTTGAGAAACTTGAACAATGGACCCTATCCAACAAAATGAATTTCAATGTGGAGAAAAGCAAAGTTTTACATTTAGGCAGGCGAAATCAAAGGTATAAGTACAGATCAGGTGAGACCTGGCTCAAAAATAGTGGGAGGGACCTTGGAGTCCTAATGGATGATCACTTGAATATGAGCCAGCAGTGTACAGCAGCAGCCAAAAAAGCTAATACAGTCCTAGGTTGTATAAACAGAGGCATAGAATCAAGATCATGTGAAGTACTAGTATCACTTTATAAAACCCTAGTAAGACCACACCTGGAATACTGCAACCAATTTTGGTCACCATGCTACAAAAAAGATGCTGAGACTTTGGAAAAAGTTCAGAGAAGAGCAACTAGATCAAAGGCCCAGAGACTAAAAGTGTGATGGCTAACCTATGGCACGCGTGCCCAAAGTGGCACACGAAGCCATGTCACCCGGCACGCGCAGCCTTGCCTGTTTGTCTTCTGGGTTTCTGGCGCGCATGTGTGCATGACAATCAGCTGTCCTTCGTGTGCGAGCAGTGCCGAAAACTGGCCTGCACATGCGTGCCGGCCAGCTGATCATCGGGCACACATACGCGCTAAGACCCGGAAGTTTAGCTTTTCTGGAGCGTGATCCCTTCGCACGTGTGGCAGTGCCAAAAACCGGCATGCGCGTGTGCACCGGCCAGCTGATTGTCGAGCATGCATACGCACTAGAATCTGGAAGTTTGGCTTTCCCAGAGTTAGTTGGTGCCATCACTGACTATTGGGGGCGAGTCATTGGCCCCCATGGAGAGGGCTCACAACTTAGGAGTCCTCCTGGACTCACAGCTGTCTTTAGAAGAGCACTTGACAGCTGTGGCCGGGAGGGCGTTTTATCAGGCTCACCTGATTCGCCAGTTGCGTCCCTTTCTGGATCAGGACTCGTTAAATACAGTCACTCATGCACTCGTCACTTCCCGCCTGGACTACTGCAATGCTCTCTACATGGGGCTCCCCTTGAGGAGCACCCAGAGGCTCCAGCTGGTCCAGAATGCGCCGCGCGGGTGGTTATGGGAGTGACGGGGCGCTCCCATGTGACCCCCCCTCCTGCACGAGCTGCACTGGCTCCCGGTGGTCTTCCAGGTGCGCTTCAAGGTTTTGGTTACCACCTTTAGAGTGCTCCATGGCTTAGGACTGGGGTATTTACGAGACCGCCTTCTGCCACCAGTAGCAGTACTGCGACCAGTACGCTCCCATAGAGAGGGGCTCCTTAGGGTGCCGTTGGCCAAACAATGTCGACTGGCGGCCCCTAGGGGGAGAGCCTTCTCTGTGGGGGCACCCGCCATCTGGAACGAGCTACCCCCGGAGATACGGAGGATCCCGGACCTGCGCGCTTTTCGACGTGCCATCAAAACATTTCTTTTCCAGCAGGCCGGCCTGGCTTAACCTCTCTTTTAAACTGTTAAACTTTTAAAAAAATTTAATTTTAAATTTGTCTTAAGAATTTGGGGTGTTTTAAATTTTGTTTTCCGGACCAATTATTTAATTGTATTTTAATGCTTTTTTAACATTTGTATTATATGTATTTTATCTGGCTGTTCACCGCCCTGAGTCCTTCGGGAGTAGGGCAATATACAAATTCAATAAATAATAATAATAATAATAATAGTCCCGATGAGCGCACACACGTGACATTTCCGTGCAACCTTTTTGGCACTCAGTGCCGAAAAGGTTTGCCATCACTGGACTAAAACATACGAAGAACAGCTGCAAGATTTAGTTTTGGCTAATCTAAAGAAAAGAAGAATTAGGGGTGATATGATAGCAGTATTCTAGTATTTGAGGGGCTGCCACAAAGAAGAGGGGGCCAAATTATTCAACAAAGAACCAGAGGGCAGGACAAGAAACAACACTGGAAACTAATCAAAGAGAGAAGCAACCTGGAATTAAGGAGAAACTTATTAACAGTGAGAACAATTAACCAGTGGAACATCTTGCCTGCAGAAATCCTGGGCATTCCATCACTGGGTGTTTTTAAGAAGAGACTGGACACTTATCTAAAATGGTATAGGTTCTCCTGCATGAGCAGGGGGCTGGACTAGAGGACCTCCAAGGTCCCTCCCAGCTCATTCTGTTCTATCCTATATTCATATATTACAAATACTAGAGAAAGCTGGTAGGGAGAGGTGAAGTATTCAGACCCACTCTTTATTCCCTAAAACTATCTTGGAGTTCCAAGATAAAGGCCTCTTACCGGCAACTCGACCTGCTCCTTCTGCTCCTCCGCCTGGCTCAGGAGGAAGCCTTCCGCCAGGGCCACCGCCTGGGAACTGTTCTCTGCTCCACATTCCCGCACCCAGCTCTCCATTTCTGGTGGCAGAAGAGCCAGGAGCTGCTCCAGAACAACCAGGTCCAGCAGCTGGGCTTTGGTGTGCTTTTCTGGTCTCAGCCATCGCCTACAAAAGTTATGGAGTCGGCTGCAAAGTCCTCGGGGACCCTCAGCCTCCTGATAGCTCCTGAAGTTCCAGGGCTGAACTTCTGAATGGATGATGGTTTCCTCCTCCAGGATCTTCTGCCCAGCTCTTGCCCAGATCTCCCCACAGTTCCCAGGCTGAATGGCAGAAGGACATTTTTCAGTTCCCACTCTTGCTAAGTGTTGTGTCTCCATTCTTTCTCTATCCGGTGAGGTAACTCCCAAAGGGGCCAAGGAATCTTTGTGGATCTCCAAATGCCTTTTCATTCATAAGATCATTTCTGTTACCATAGGAGTGACAACAACAGCCATTCTTTCGGTCCACTTGAGCTGAAATATAATTTGCATATGGATTTGCATATATGAAGACATGCAAATACCTTCCAGTTTATGTATCTAAAATGGAAAATTATAAGATAGTATAGCATAGTGTATGGTATAGTATATTAGTAATATATAGAATGGTAGTATATAGCATAGAGTATAGCATAGCATAGCATAGCATAGCATAGCATAGCATAGCATAGCATAGCATAGCATAGCATAGCATAGCATAGCATAGCATAAAGCATAGCATAGCATATAGTGCACGAGTCAAAAAGAGGGCTGTGAAAATATCTACAGACCCCTCGCATCCTGGACATAAACTGTTTCAACTTCCACCCTCAAAACGACGCTATAGAGCACTGCACACCAGAACTACTAGACAAAGAACAGGTTTTTCCTGAATGCCATCACTCTGCTAAACAAATAATTCCCTCAGCTCTGTCAAACTATTTAATAAGTCTGCACTACTATTAATCTTCTCATCGTTCCCACCATCCATCTCCTTCCATTTATGACTGTAACTTTGTTGCTTGTATCCTTACGATTTATATTGATATTGTTTCCTGATTGCTTATTTGTACCCTATGACTATCACTAAGTGTTGTACCTTATGATTCTTGATGAATGTATCCTTTCTTTTATGTACACTGATGTTGTAAATCAGAGATCCAGGCTTTTGCTCTGTTTCAAGAAGTCTCCAAGATGTCTCTCCAGACTTCGTAGAGAACTTTATTTTTATACAGTTTTACACAAGCAGATAAAAGGTAGCACAGTAACAGTATTCTGATTGGATAGAAGTTACTCACCCCCCTGTCAAGTTGCCATCTTCTCTAGGTAGTATATTAGATCATCCACATCTGAGCCAATAATGAGGTAATGAAGTAAGCAGGAAAGACCCACAGATCACCAGCCGGCAGTGTGCTGCTACAGCCTGGCACTGAGACCTTTGACCTACTGACCTACACACTGAGAGCATATGCACCAAGACAAATTCCTTGTGCGTCCAATCACACTTGGCCAATCAAGAATTCTGTTCTATTCTAGTATATGGTATATAGTTAGCATATAGTATAGTATGTTGCAATAAAATGAAATGCAAGGATTAGAAACCTGCCGAACCCTAAAAAGATGAACAAACCATGAAATACAGTATCAGGTCACATCCAATGAAATGCCAGGAAACGACCCTGGCTGAGGATGCCCCCTTTCCCTTGTTCAGGGCGTCCTTTGGAGATCCGAGTCTTCCTCCGACACGCAGGCAGGTTCACACACCCCTGCCAGGAGCCCTAACCCATCAGCCAAAGGGCTATAAGGTTCCTCCCAAGGAAGCAGCTGGAGATGCTGCCCTGCTTCTTTCCTCCCCGCTCCTCCCTGGGAGGAGTCACTGCGGTCCCTGGTACGAATCCTGCCTCCTCTCCTGCTGGGCTCCCGCAAGGCAGACCCTCATCAGCCCCCACCACCACTCGGGCCCTTCCCGGGACACTGGGCGGGAAGGGAACCCCAAGATCCCCACCGCTTTCCTGGGATCCCCGGTTGTTCCGCTTCCCCCTGCATGGAGAGGGCGGCTGGGGAACATGGGACTCGGGATTGATTCCAGAGGAGGGCCGGGCGAGGGTCTCTTCCCTCCTCCGCCTCCCTTTGCCCGGGAAGAGCCCCCAAGTCACCCGGGGTACGTCTGGATCTCCCCCCGCCAGACTCTCCCGCAGCCTCTCCGCCTCCTGCGGAGCCCCAGGGGTTAAGGAGAGCGAGTGCGGCGTCCCAGAGCGGCAAGCCTTTGTGACGTCACGCCTCCTCTGGAAAGCCAGCCGTGACGTTCGCCCTCCAGCGACCCAATGGGGAAGCGCTTGACGTTACCTTGTCTTGGCGGAGGGTTGCCCCCTGGTGGATTCTGCGCGCCACACTAAATTCCCCCGAAAGGGCGGGAAAGAGGAGAGCGTCTGAGGGGAAGGCAGAGGGCAGGGATGATGGGTATGGGAGTAGGAGGGAAGGGCCCTCTCGTTTGTTGCCTATCAAAAGAGGCCAGTTGGTTCTCTGGCATGGACTCCGGCCAGCCTCTTGGCTGCTTTTTCTGAAGGGACTCGACTCACCTCCTCCTTCCCGGACTGAGAGGAAGGACCAGCCGAAATCTGGCTCCTGGTGCAAGGAGAGAACTGGGGTGCTGCTTCCCAAGCTTTCCCCACAACCGCAAAGGGGCTCTTCCCACAGAAAAGAAGGGAAACAAACGTTGCAGGGACAGAGGTGCGAATGGGGCTGAGAGGCTGCATTCGCACGGTGTGCCCGATTAGACCAGTGTTTGACCAAGTTGGCTATTTTAAAGCCTGGGAGGTGAAGTCCACACGTCTTAAACTGGCAAGTTTGACAAAGCCTAGATTAGGCTAAGAATTGGGAAACGTGTTTCTCGGAGTTGCATGGATCAGATCATGTTAAGCTATCCACGTTCATTAATTCGAGTATTGGCGCAATACGTACTGGATGGTGGTTTGTTAATTTTTGAGCTTCTGAAGTTCCCATGGGGGTTTGGGAGGTTACTAGAAGTTCAGATGTTGATTTATTTACTTATACAATCCATTTATACAGCCCTCAGTTCAATTGCTGTTTGTAACCTGATACATTTAAAGGATGGTTCTTAACTCTCTATATGGCCATATGAATCATTAGAATAAATAACTTGGAAATAGACATTCAAATTTTAAATGTATTTCTGTGGTATTTTGAGTCCTTGATAGAATAGCAGAATAACAGTTGGAAGAGGCCTTGGGTCTTCTACTCCAACCCCCTGCTATGGCAGCAAATCCTATACCAGGCGACTCCAACCCCCGGTCTGTGGACCGGCACTGGTCCGCGGCATGCCAAAAACCGGTCTGAAGGTGACCGAGAAGGGTTCTGGTGAATTTCCCCCAGAAGCAAAAAAATTCAACTTAACTAATAAGATTCCCCTTTCTTCCCTGACATTAGTTGGTTCATAATATTTTCTTCTTTTAATTTTTCTTTTTTGGAGATGGATGCTATATAGTTAAACACTGTTGTTTCTGGATGTTTCTTTGGTTTCCAGGTTAGATAGGTAAGCTGATCAATTTTCATGCTTCCTCTGGAGATTAAAGACTAAACTAGGCTCAAAAAGTAAAACTAGGAAAACTTCAAGAATGTACAGGCCTGTGATGGCAAACCTATGGCACGCGTGCTGAAAGTGGCACACAGAGCCATGTCGCCTGGCACGCGTGGCATCACCCATTCCTCTTCTGGGTTTCCGGCACACACATGTGCACCAGCCAGCTAGTCTTCTGGTTACTGGTGTGCATGCACGTGCAACAATCAGCTAGCCTTCACACATGCGGCAGTGCCAGAAACCGGAAGATCAACCAGCCAGCTGATCATCGTGCACGCATGAGTGCCAGTAACCAGAAGACTAACTGGCCAGTGTGCATGCATGCGCCAGAAACCAGAAGTTCATTTCCCAGCACGCGCATGCCCACTGTGCAGCTCCTCTTAGCACACGTGCGCACCGGGACATCCACCTCTTTGCCAGCCAGTAACACTGCCACCAGTCGCTTCCCTGTGCCCGCCTGCCTGATCACCGCCACCAAAGCCGGGTGGGTGATTTCCTGGTGTTTTTGGTCAAGTGCAGAGTGTGTTTGGATGGAGTGTTGCAGCAATGCCCCTCCCACCCCAAGCTGATACCAATGCTGTGAAAAGAGGGGTTTTTTTTAGCTTCGACTCCAAACTTTCAGGTCCACACAGCTCCATTTTCGTAGTGCATCATACTGCAGGTCTGCTTGACAGGCAAGGATTTGAATGCAACTCAAACAAATATTTATAGTTTTTTAAAAAACTGATATCCCACCTCACTGCTTCCCAAAGCTATCCTTATTTTCAGAGCAAGACATCCTCAAATATTAAGCAACGTGGCTTTAAAAAGTTTCGGGGTGGCAGTGGCTTTCCATTTTGACATCACACACCGTGCTATTACCTCAGTGCCAGTAGTAAAATCCGGCCGGATCTATCCAGCTCGCGCGAACCGGTAGCGCTGGTGGTAGGAGGCTCCGCCCACCCGCCAGGATGTCATTACATCCCATTTTTTATCCTCTGCACATGCGCAGAAGGCTGGGCATGTGCAGAAGAGGTGTATGAGAGCGTAGCGAACACACACGCTCACATTCCCGAACTGGTAGCGAAGGTAAGTGCATTTCACCACTGTTCTGTGCCATTGCCTCCCACTTCACTCTCCACCCATCGTCGCCCTCCTGACAGCCTGCTCACTCACCTGACTCTCCATCCAACGCCCACAGCAGATTATCCCCACAGCGAATTTCCAGAGTTGAGATGTCCTGCAGAGATGGCAGCAGCAAATTGCCAGAGGGCACTTGGCGGTGTCAAATGCCCTCTGGCCATGTCAAGTTAGAGCGGAGCCATTAGAAATCCTTTCATACTAACTTTGTTCACTGCCAAAAGTTTGATTCTGACCGGTTCAAAGTTGACTCAGCCTTCCATCCTTCCAAGGTTGGTAAAATGAGGAACCAGATTGTTGGGGACAATATGCTGACTGTGAGGGGGTCAAACTATTTTCTAAAGACAAGAAACAATTGATGGAAACTAACCATGGAGAGAAGCAACCTAAAACTAAGGAGAAATTATTAACAGTGAGAGCAATCAACCGACGGAATAGTTTGCCTTCAGAAGTTGAGAGCGCTCCATCACTGGAGGCTTTCAAAAAGAGATCGGACAGCCATTTGTCTGAAATGCTTTAGGATCTCCTGCTACATCTTTTTTTTAAAAAATAATAAATAAATAATAATAAATAAATAAATAGACCTCCTAGGTTTCTTCCAACTCTATTATTCTAGGATTCAATATCAGAGACCACCAAGCACAATATGGAAGGAGAGCTAGTATTTATATGACTTATTACCCAAGTAGATCCTTTGATTAGATTTTTGATTACTTTTCCCGTTGAGGATCTTCCCATACTTCCTGCAAGGTTATGGCTGCTGTTGGGTAGTTCCATTTATACATTTACTCAGTTTCTCCTGTGCTGATCCTTTCATGGTAAATAAAACCACCCTTCAACCTAAAGTCCTTCCTCATTCTATGCATTTATCTGGTTTTTCTGGTGTGGATCTTTTTACACCACAATTCCTCTGATAACCCTTACTGCATTGCACACATTTAAATAACTTCTGCCTTGTGTGGATCATTTAATGGACAATAAGGGAATATTTTGTATTGAGCCATTTTCAACTCCTTGCAACTATGTGGTTTCTCCCATGTGACTCCTATTATGTTCAGTAAGTAGACCTCTATAAGCAAAAGTCTGTCCACGCTCTATACATTTATATGGCTTCTCCCCTGTGTGGATTCTTTTATGGATTGTAAATTCACTCTTCTCAACAAAGGCCTTCCCACACTCCATGCATTAATATGGCTCCTCCCCTGTGTGGATCCTTTTATGGGAATTAAGATTACTGCTCCAAGCAAAATTCTTTCCACAATCCATGCATTTATATGGCTTCTCCCCCGTGTGAATCCTTTTATGGATGGTAAGTTGATATTTCCTCCCAAAGCCCTTTCCGCATTGCACACATTCAGATGCATTCTGTTTTGTGTGGATCAATTCATGGTATAAGAATGTTTTCTTTTGACTCACTTTCCACACTCCTTACAACTATATGGCTTTTCCCCTGTGTGACTCCTTTTATGGGAAATAAGATTACTGCTATGAGTAAAGCAGTGGTGCTAAACTATGCAGTGGTGGGATTCAGCCAGTTCGCACCACTTCGGAAGAACCGGTTGTTAACTTTCTGAGCAGTTTGGTGAACTGGTTGTTGGAAGAAATCATTAGGGCAGAGAACCGGTTGTTAAATTATTTGAATCCCACCACTGAGTAAAGGTCCTTCCACAGTCCATGCATTTATATGGCTTCTGTGTGGATCCTTTTATGGATCACAAGTTTATTCCTGTGAGCAAAGGTCTTTCCACACTCCATGTATTTATATGGTTTCTCCCCAGTGTGGATCCTTCTACGGGTAGTAAGACTATTGCTCTGAGTGTTAAGTTCTGGGTGAGAATGGAAGCGAGGCCAGAGTGATTTCAGCAAAGCTCTTTTTATTTAGTTCATACGAACAACAACAACTGCCTGGCTGACAGAGCTCCTTTTATAGGAGGCTGTGAGCCGGTCAACCAATCAGATTAAAGTATTTTCCCGCTTTAATAGCAGACCTGAATGAGAACTTCAGCAACTAGTTTCAATGACTCAATATGAAACACCCCACCAAGACAGAACATTATCTATTACAATTGTATGCATTTTAACATTCGTAGTCACATAGGTAGGTAGGGCGGCGGGGTGGCCATCCCAATCTGCACAGTTCAGTTAGTCCGTCATTTGGAGTAGGTGGAGCAGCGGCTGCTGTTACAGGATCCACCCTTGGAGGCTTGGCCGCGATGGGAAGCAGTTCTACATGAACTCTGCGCTGACTGTTCCCCAGTTCGACAGGTACCTGCATTTTTGCAATCTTCTTGCTGGGTTTCTTTCTCCATTCATGGCAGAGCTTCAGAGTCTGTGTTCGGGTTTGTTTCTGGCTGAGTCCATTCCAGTTCGCCAATGGAGGTGCCCAAGCAGTCGCGCAGTTGGTCGGTGTGGCGGTGCCATACACGGCCATCCTCCAGTTCCACTTGGTAGAAGCATGGTCCAGTGATGGCTATAATCCAGGCAGGAATCCAGAGGACACCCCCAGCATAGTTGTGTGCATATACAAGGTTCCCCATAGCAAATGCCTGGATCTTTCTGGTTGAGTCAGTGGGTGCCTCTGCAGAATAGTCTGGGTGTAGTCAGTCCAGATCAGTTCTTAGGTGGTGACCCATTAGAAGTTCAGCCGGACTCCGGTTAGTCGTGGCACTGGATGTAACATGCTGGGCTAGCAGGTATTTTGATACTGCCAGTCCCCTGGGCCCATTCGTACCAGCGCCTCTTTTGCTGACCCCATTCTCTCTACCTGCCCATTGCTAGCAGGACGGAATGGTGCGACCAAGGCATGACGGATGCCATGGCCTGCCAGAAACAGTTTGAATTAGTTAGACATGAGCTGTGGCCCATTGTCTGACACTAGGACCTCTGGTAGTCCGTGGGTCGCAAATAGTTTCTATAGTGTCTTGATGGCGTATGAGGTGGTTGATGGCATTAGTACCATCTCCAGCCATTTGGAGTGTGTCGATGACCACCATGAATGTCTGGCCTTGGAATGGCCCTGCAAAATTGATGTGAACTCTTGACCAGGGTGCTTTGGGCGTTTCCCGCTCATGTGCTGTAGTGGAGGGAGGTTCTGGTCTCGACTCTTGGCATGGTTGGCACGAGGTGACTCATTCCACAATAGCTTTGTCCAGGTTGGGCCACCAAACGTAACTGTAGGCGAGCACCTTCATTCTTATGATGCCTGGGTGGCCTACATGCAAGGCTTCCAGGATTGGTCACCACAGCTTCTGCGGAACTATCACTCGGTTCCCCCAAAGTAAACAGCCCCGTTGAACTGACAGTTCATGTTGCCAGGTGTGGAAAGGCATAACTCAGTTCTTACTGGCCCCTTTGGCCACCCCCTGCACACCCAGTTGAGCACTTGGGCAACGACCCGGTCTTTGGTGGAGTGTTTGGTGATCTCTGCCGCAGTAATGGGGCCTGATGGCAGTTCATCTATAAGAACGGGGGCAACTGGGGCTGGGTCCTCTACAATGGTTGGGAGCAGGCATTGGTTGAGGACGTCGGTGTGGCTCAGGGATTTACCTGGTTGATGAATGAGCCAGTAGCTTTAGGCTACCAAAAAATCAGTCCAGCACATCATGTGAGGAGATATGATTTACGGTATCTGTCAGTCCCCAGCAAGTAGGCCCAGCAGCGGTTTGTGATCTGTCACAAGATTGAAATGCATGCCAAATAAGTACTCATGGAAGCATTTGACTCCTGCAACTGCAGCCAATGCTTCCTTCTCCAGCTGCCTGTAATTCTTTTCGGCTGAAGATAAGGTTCGTGAATAGAAGGCGATTGGAGCCTTATTTCCATTTGGAACTCAGTGGCTAAGGACTGCTGCTCTGCCAAATGGAGAGGCATTGCAGGTGAGAACTAGAGGCAGGTTCTCATTATACTGTATCAGGATGCTGTTAAACGATAATAGGTCCTTGACAGCAGGGAATGCAGTGGCTTCTTTTCAGCCCCAGGACCAAGATGTTTTTTGTCTAGCAGTCTGTGAAGAGGCTCAGCTACAGACACTTTGTGCGGCAAGAATATGCTGTAGAAGTTTAGCAGTCCCAAGAATGCTTGTACCTCAGTTTTATTTTTGGGTGTTGGAGCTTCCTAGATGGCTTGGACCTTTGCCTTTGTAGGGTATAATCCAGAGGCATCAATAAGGTAGCCTAAGAATTCTACTTGTTGTACCGCAATTTGGCATTTGTTGTTTTTCACTTTAAGGCCCACCTCTTAGAATCTAGTGAGTACTGCTTGCAGGTGGTCGAGGAGTTGTGTGTCATTGACTGCAGATATTAATCATCAAAATAAGGAATGACACCTGGGATGCCTTGCAATAGGTGCTCCATTAGACTCTAGAACAGTCCTGGTGCCACACTTATGCCAAACTGTAGTCTGCAACACTTAAAGGCTCCTCGATGCGTCACAATTGTTTGGGATTCTGCTGTGGTGCTGTCAACCGGAAGTTGTTGATAGGCTTGGCAAGGTCCAATTTGGCAAAAAAAAAAAATCCTTCCCCCAGGGAGTGTAGCAGATGTTGCACCACCGGCACTGAGTATGTATTTTGTTGTAGTGCCTTGTTTAAAGTGCATTTGTAGTCTGCACAAATGTGGACTCAGCCATCTGACTTTACAGGAGTCACGATTGGAGTCTCCCATTTTGCATGGTGGACTGGTTCCAAAATTTCTTGGGCTATCAGTTTATTTAATTGTTCATCTACCCTTGAACTAATGCGAATGCACAGCTTCGTTTGTATTGGGGCAACCTGGGGGTCAACGTTGAAGGAGATGGGTGTGCCCTTATACTTCCCAAATCTCCTTCAAAGATATCTGTGAATTCCCGAACCAAGGTCTCGATGTCAGAGTCATTGATGGTGTTGATGCCAGTAACTCCCAGTCCTAGAGAGGAAAACCATTCCAGTCCCCAAAGACTTGGTAGGGAGCCATCCACCACAATCAGCCACAGGGGGCCCACCAAGTTCTTGAATGAGATTTGGAACATTCTACTCCCGATGACAGGGATGCTGTTCCCTTGGTAGTCTCGGAGGTGCAGGTGATGATACTTCAACTGGCTTTTGGAAAGTCTCAGTACCAGCTTTTTAATGGTGCTCCAGGAAATGATGGTCATGAACGATCCAGTATCTACTTCCATGAGACAAGGGGACCCCTTGATCATGACGGTGACATGGATTTTTTTTTAACAAGTGAGGCTAGCTTGCCCAATGACTGTTTCTGCCCAGCTGGTGCCTTTGGAGACAGTGAAGCATTCTTCTCCATGATTTTGTTGTTTGTGTTGTGCTCTTCTGGGGTCTGTTTGGCTTGTAGGCTGGCTAGCATGACAAACTTTAGCTAAATGTCCCTTTTTGGCAGAGGGCGTTCTTAAATTTACACGCCGCTCTTGGGTGGTTGCCGCCACAACCCACACATCCTGTTTGTTTCTCCTTGGTCGCCATACCTTGTTTCTTTGATGATTTGAGTCAACAGACGTCCTCACCATCCTCAGTTGACTCTCCATGATCCACATCGTCATGGAGCACAGCAACTGTTTTGTGCAATGAGGTGGACTGGTCGATTTCTGGCTTTCAGCTGTTGATTGATTTGACATTTTGGCGGCTTGCGCCTCGTCCGCCATCTGCAGGTTGAAGTTGGGTTTTACAAGTAGATGTTGCTGTAATTTGATATCTCTCACCTCACAAACCACTCTGTCCAAAAGAAATTCATCTAAGTCTCTGAATACAATTGCAATACAATGCTGCTTTCCGAAGGGCAGCAACGTACTGGTTAATCAATTCGCCCTCTGCCTGATTGCAATGGTAGAAAGCATGTCAGTGAGCAATTCATGACGATTTGGGCGCGTAGTGGTCCTTAGCTTGTTTTGCAGTGTGTCCCATGGTACTGTCTAGATGGCCACTGGGGCGAGGAGACCCCTGGCCATTTCGAAAATGTCTTAGGAACAATGCCCTTTTTCTGTTGTCCGAGATTCCGTTAAGTTCATTCGCTTTGAGAAAACACTTGAAGTGAATGATGTATGAGTCCCATGTCTCAGAGGCTGGGTTGTACGGAGTAAACAGGGGTAGTGCAGCCATGATTACCAGTGATGGCTAACCTTTTTGCCGTCACATGCCATAAGCAGGGGGAGCACAGGGGGGGTCACATGTATGCGTGCCCACACCCATAATTCAATGCTCACCAGCCCCCAGTGCATGCACGCATGACCACCCATCATTCCCCCCGCTTTTAGCACGCAATGGCACAGTGAGCCTGGTAGGCCCGTTTTTCGCCCTCTCCAGGCTCCAGAGGTTTTCTTGGAGCCTGGGGAGAGCGAAAACGGCCTTCCCCACCCCCCTGGAGGCCCTCTGGAGGCCAGAAATGGGCCATTTACCGACATCCGGAAGTCAGCAAACGGGCCATTTCTGGCCTCTGGAGAGCCTCCGGGGGAGGGAGCAAAAGGCCATTTTCACCCTCCCCAGGCTCCTAGAAAGCCTCTGGAGCCTGGGGAGAGTGAAAAACGGGCCTTCCCCACCCCCACCCCTAAAGCAGGAAACAGAAGTCCTGAAAATCAGTTGGCCGGCGCGCACATGCACGCCGGAGCTGAGCTAGGGCAACGTTCGCGTGCCCACCACTGTGATTCCACATGCCACCTGTGGCACACATGCCATCATGGTGGTAGACCGATGGGAGCCCAGCAATTGGGCAATGCATTTACGGTCGATGAATGGTGCTGCAGCAAACGGCAGATGGTCTCCAGTGCTCAACTCTGAGTGGGTCTGTGATCAGCTCTTTTTGTCGGCCTTAAATTTCCATTCAATCCCACCTTCGTCACCAGTATTAAGTTCTGGGTGAGAATGGAAACGAGGCCAAAGTGATTTCAGCAAAGCTCTTTTTTTTTAGTTCATACGAACAACAACTGCCTGGCTGACAGAGCTCCTTTTATAGGAAGCTGTCAGCCAGTCAACCAATCTGATCAAAGTATTTTCCCGCTTCAGTAACGGACCTGAGTGAGACCTTCAGCAACTAGTTTCAATGACTCATTTCAATACATAACACTGAGCAAAGTTCTTTGCACACTCCATTCATTTATAGGGCTTCTCCCCTGTATGGATCCTATTATGTCTAGTAAGTTCACTTCTATAAGCAAAGTTCTTTCCACATTCCATGCATTTATGTGGTTTCTCTTCTGTGTGCATCTTTTTATGGGAAGTAAGTTGACTGCTCCGAGCAAAGTTCTTTCCACACACCATGCATTTATAGGGCTTCTCACCTGTGTGGATCCTTTTATGGATTGTAAGTTTACTCTTCTCAATAAAGGACTTCTCACACTCCATGCATTTATAGGGCTTCTCCCCTGTATGGATCCTTTTATGGATCACAAGTTTACTCCTGTCAGCAAAGGTCTTTCCACACTCCATGCATTTATGTGGTTCCTCCCCTGTATGGATCCTTTTATGAATCAAAAGTTTACTTCTGTAAGGAAAGGCCTTCCCACATTCCATGCATGTATACTGTTTCTCTCCTGTGTGGATCCTTTTATGGTATGTAAGTCTGTAGTTTTGAGCAAAGTTCTTTCCACACTCCGTGCATTTATAGGGCTTCTCCCCTGTGTGGATCCATTTATGGGAAGTAAGATGGCTCCGTTGGCTGAATCTCTTTCCACACTCCATGCATTTATATGGCTTCTCCCCTGTGTGGATCCTTCTATGGGAAATAAGGCTACCGGACTGAGCAAAGGTCTTTCCACACTCCATGCATTTATATGGCTTCTCCCCTGTGTGGATCCTTTTATGAATGGTAAGTTCAAAATTCTTTCGAAAGCCCTTTCCACATTGCACACAGTTAAATGCCTTATGCCTTAAATTGATCATTTCATGGAGAATAAGGGAACATTTTGTACTGGGCTGCTTTTCAACTTCCTTGCAACTCTCTGGCTTCTCTGTGTGGCTCCTAATTTGTTTAGTAAGATGACTTTTATGAGCAAAGGCCTTCCCACATTCCATTAACATATACGGTTTCTCTCCTGTGTGGATCCTTTTATGGGAAGTAAGTTGACTGCTCCGAGCAAAGTTCTTTCCACACTCCATGCATTTATAGGGCTTCTCTCCTGTGTGGATCCTTTTATGGACTGTAAGTTTACCCTTCTCAATAAAGGCCTTTCCACACTCCATGCATTTATAGGGCTTCTCCCCTGTATGGATCCTTTTATGGATCACAAGTTTACTCCTGTGAGTAAAGGCCTTCCCACACTCCATGCATTTATGTGGTTTCTCTCCTTTGTGTATCTTGTTATGGTAAAGAAGATCACCATTCAACTTAAATCCCTTTCCACATTTCATGCATTTAAATGGCTCCTGTGCTGTGTGTATCATTTTATGGAAAGTATGTTGACTTTTCCCACATTCCACACATTCATTAGGTTTCTCTTCTATTTGGATCCCTTTTTGAGATATAAGGGACCGATTTCCAAGAGAAAGAGTGAAAGTCCCAGTGTAATTTTTTCCGTTGTGTCTGCTTATAGCATCTTGTTTGTTTTGGATTGGATAGTGTTCGTTTACTTGTAATTTAGCTTTGATTAGTTTCACACTTTTCCTAATATAGTTATTTTTACCCGCTTCTTGGGCAAGAAAGTCTTGCATCAAATCATCAATAGAAGATGAGCTTTCCTGATTCCAGTTATTTAACAGGTTTCTTTCATGTCTTTCTACTTCCTTTCGAATTGCTGACTTCTCCATTCCATCTCCAGTATTGATCAGTTGGAACAGTTCACAGGAATCTTGATTCTCCTGTGCATTATTACCTTCAAAGGAAAAGAAAAATGACTAGTGAATAACATCAAAATGTAGGAAGTTGTATCAATCTTCATCTTAATTTTTGTGAAATTCTAATATATTGCACATTTGGTATATATTGACTTGGTATAGAAAATACAACTTCTATATTCATAAGCCATAAAAGCTTTGGAAATATTGTATCTAGAAAATATCTCTTTCTCTACAATTACCGATACATATTCAAATCTCACCTAGACCTAGTTCTCACTTAAGCAATAATCAGAGGAAACATCCAGGGAGATATTAGGAGATAGCCTAATATTTATTAGAGTCCGTTAATTTCAGCAGAGACCTGTGAAACCTAAAAATTTTTGAAACAAGCCCTTTTTTTAAAAAAAATTGATTTATATGCCGCCCTTCTCCGGAGACTCAGGGCGGCTTACAGTGTGTTAAGCAATAGCCTTCATACTTTTGCATATTTTTACAAAGTCAGCTTATTGCCCGCACAAACTGGGTCCTCAATTTACCTACCTTAGAAAGGATGGAAGGCTGAGTCAACCTTGAGCCTGGCAAGATTCGAACTTACTTTAATTGCAGACAGCTGGTGTTAAATTACAGTGCCTTGTCCACAGACTATCCAGGCTCCTTTTCCTATCCAAACTGCCTTCTCCTTACTATTTATTTTCTCTTGCCAAAATCACTTAGCCACAGAGAAAAAAATCAGGAGTACTCCTATTATCGTTCAACTTTGCAATGGAAAAACATCACTTATCCCAATGGTGGTGAAACATATGGGTTTGATATGTCCAAAAGGCCTAACCTGAGTCTACTGGTGTTAACATACATACCCTTCTGCCACTCCATCAAAAGAGAAATACTCTTATCTCTTCTCCATCTAGGTCACCCTAAACAGCGGTACTCAGCAGCAATACAAACTTGGGCTTGAAGTAGAGGCTCATGCTTCAACTTCACCCCTCGCTCCGATGCTTCCCCTCAAATGCACAGTCATTGCCCCACAGCCCAGGGCTCCCCAGGGTCTGCTGCACCTTGTTTTAATTTCGGGTAGCGTTCTCTATCTGTTGACACCTGTTCTGTGCCGATTGTCCAAGGCCATTGTGAATCACATTGCAGAAGGCCTTCGTTCTTGAACTGGATTCAGAGAATGCTCTTTGATCGCTTCTGCAGCCTCCAAAACTGCATGAAAGGAAGTCCTGTTCTTGCACAATTTTTGGAGGCTCCAAAAGCCACATGAGAACATGGCTCTTTCACATGATCTTCAGATGGTGCATGAGAACCGTCCTCATTCTTCTTATCCTTCAAAAATTGGATAAGAATTGGGTGTGCTTTTGAAAATAGTTCAGGTTAGGCTTTGGTGAAAGCTGGTGTGTACTCCAAACTTCATGGAATGACATCTTTCACGTGTGCGTCATAGGTTCACTGTCACTGATTTATTTATTTTATTTTATTTTTTTATTTATTTGATTTATATGCCGCCCTTCTCCGGAGACTCAGGGCGGCTTACAATGCGCTAAGCAATAGCCTTCATCCTTTTTGTATATTTATACAAAGTCAGCTTATTGCCCCCACAACTGGGTCCTCAATTTACCTACCTTAGAAAGGATGGAAGGCTGAGTCAACCTTGAGCCTGGCGAGATTCGAACCTGAAGTAATTGCAGGCAGCTGGTCTTAATAACAGGGTGCTTTAGACCACTGTACTACCAAGGCCCTTTTTAGCCCCAAGGGGTGAAATGAAAAGGAAGTCACTAACCCAAGAGCCTGAAGAAACAACAATCATTCCTAGGATAGCTAGGAAAGCACTTTGGTCCAAAAAATTGAAATCAGTGGCAATATTCCAAAAAATGGCATGCCAAATGGCAGGATGATTTTTTTGCTCTTGCCTACAAATAGCTAACTTTGCTGCCAAAGCTGGTTCTTTACTGGCACACTCCCCACATTTAAATGGGAGCATCTAGGAGTGACCCAAGACAACACTTGAACTTTTTCCCCCTTTTGACTTACATCTTTAATTAATTGTCTGGTAAAACACTCATTTATCTTATACCCCATTGCTAGACTGTGAACTTTTTACCTTTTCTTACTGCTTAACTTCGGAATTATGAAACACTTTCATTTTTGCCAGATGGAAATTGACGGAAATGCTTTTTCCTTGGTAGTGAAAGTGACCTGATTTGATTTATATTTACAATGACTTTCTGCTGCAAAGATTTTCTACTGTGTTTCCCTGAAAATAAGATCTGGTCTTTTTTCTTTTGGAAAAAATAAGAACTAGGGATTATTTTGGGGGGTGTCTTATTTTTTTCCATGTACGGGAAGCCCACTTCTTCTGCTTGCTCGTGACTGAACAGGAGGCTGTGTGGCACGCCAATGCTGCCGCTGCGAGATGGAGGGTGCCCCACACATCCTGCACCAGCTTACTCCAGGGTCCCTGCAGCCAGGCCACCCATGCCCCAACATCTGCCTCGACTCAAGGCCACGGCACCCGCACACCACTCCACCTCCTGCTCCATTGTGGCTATGACCAAATAGAAGTGGGCCGGTAGCCATGTGGGCACCTGCTGCGCATGGCTGCTGGTATTGCTGACACTAGACAGCTTTCAGGGCATGGATGGCCTGGCTGCAGGGGCCCTGAGGTAAGCCAGAGCAGAGGGGCAGCTCCACCACTCCTTGCCTCGCTTCCTGGCTGCGGCACCATGAGCAACTGGACGGAATGGTGGCTGCACAGGCTCTTAAGTAGGGCTTATTTTGGGGGGTAGGATTTATATTAGGCACACACATATAACATACTAGGGCTTATTTTCAGGATAGGGCTTATTTTCAGGGAAACGGTATTTTACTAGCTTTTAAAAGAACTTTGTTGTTTTATTTTTCTTTTGTATATTCTTTTGGTCTTTTTTCTTCCTTTCTCTAAATAGATGGGAATTTCCCCTTTTCTATATACTCTCTATCAAGGAAAATATTTTTTTTCTTGCAGCCATTTTGTTATAGGACATCTTTCGTCATTGAGAGGAATTACCAAAGTTGTTGTCAAAGCCTTGCTTAAAAAACGAGCCTGGTTTAGCTCTGCAGACTAAAGCACCATAATTAACATCCAGCTGTCTGCAATTACACCAGTTCGAATCTCCCCAGGCTCAAGGTTGACTCAGCCTTCCATCCTTTCTAAGGTAGGTAAATTGAGGACCCAGTTTGTGGGGGCAATAAGCTGACTTTGTATAAATATACAAAAGTATGAAGGCTATTGCTTAACACATTGTAAACCACCCTGAGTCTTTGGAGAAGGGCAGCATATAAATCAAATTTAAAAAAAAAAAAAAGAAATCTGGATTAAAAATTAGAAACAGCAATAAAGCCAGATCAACTTAAATGTCAAAGCCTTCTTGGAATCTTCTGGGGAAAAAATGCTTTTCAACTTACAAGCTCTAAATGAAAACTTAGATGAAAGGTTTGCTGATTTAACAACAGTCATAAATGAGCCTATGGATGATACTCAGCTACAGGTAATAGCAACTAAAAGTCAGATTTGCAATTGGGTGGATTGGAAGTCAATTTATTGCTGACAGAATTTTTTTTTTTTTTTAATTTGATTTATATGCCGCCCTTCTCCGGAGACTCAGGGCGGCTTACAATGCGTTAAGCAACAGCCTTCATACTTTTGTATATTTATACAAAGTCAGCTTATTGCCCCCACAAACTGGGTCCTCATTTAACCTACCTTAGAAAGGATGGAAGGCTGAGTCGACCTTGAGCCTGGTAAGGTTCGAACCTGCAATAATTGCAGGCAGCTGTGTTAATGACAGGGTGCTCTAAACCACTGTACTACCAAGGCTCTTATTTAGAATTGAAAGAGAAGGAGTTTTTTTGAGAATTGTAAGCTTGCTGGAGAAGGCTGAAATGGTGTGTGTGTGGCAGCATCTGAAGGACTTTATTTTTATCACTGTAGTTTTAATCCTTTGTTTTAAATATCTCCGTCCCCTTGCTGTCTTATTGGAGACCCCATATTCAGAAACAACTGGGAAAGAGTTGAGAACACGGGAAGACAAAGCAATACATGTTATGTACAATCGGCAACACAAGGCCATTCCAAGACCACGAAACAGTTGAAAGTTGAGTTACCTAATGAGCAGACAGCCAACCCCTGTAAGTACAGGTAGTCCTCGACTTACAACAGTTCATTTAGTGACCATTCAAAGTTACGACAATGAAAAATGTGACTTATGACCAATTTTCACAGTAACGACTTTTGCAGCATCCCCATGATCATATGATCAAAATTCAGACACTTGGCAACTGGTTCATATTTATGACTGGTGCAGGTCCTGGGGTCAGGTGATCCCCTTTTGTGACCTTTTGACAAGCAAAGTCAATGGGGAGGATAGATTCACTTAACAACTGGGTTTCTAACTTATCAACTGCAGTGATTCATTTAACAACCGGAACAAGAAAGTTGCCCCATTGTAAAATGGGGCAAAACTCACTTAACAAATGTTTCACTTAACAACAGAAATTTGGGGCTCAATTGTGTTATAAATTGAGGTTGCAACCTGTACCTGAACCTTCTCCCCCCTCCCTTTAAACCAAATTACCTGCACCTTACACACTTCTCCCCTCTGTTTCTCTTCAAAGAAATGAACATTATTAACATTACTGTATGTATAAAATGTTTTAATAATTAGTATATAAATAGTCTTCAATAACTGAAAAATAAAGTACAAAACACTGAAATACAATAAAAGTGAAAGCATTAGTGCAGTGAAAAAAAATCAAAATTAGTCCTCTTTGTTGAGGTCTGAGAGGTGGAAAAACTGGTTGAGGGCCGAGGCTCATCCAGGATTGTTGAGATAGATGGGGATGAAAGTGCTCTGGTTTTTTGGAGGAACCGTATAAGAGTTGTGTCAGCGTCCCAGCACTGACATATATAAAGAGAGGAGAAGCTTGAACTTTTGCCTACTAAATCCTTTTGAAGATTCTGTCTCCTCGGAGATGGATCACATTCCTGTGATCTGATGAAGAAGAGATCAGGAAAGTGACTTGGAAGATAGCCAATGAGAAGCAGAGAATTGGGGATCGGAAAGGGAGGGATTGGGGGGTAAAGGTCAGTACTGACCGCGAAAGAGCTAGGATCAGATCGCTGTGCTCAAATAAAGAGAAAATTTCCTTAAAGATTGGCAGTTTGGAAATTCATTTATTTTGAGATAGCATCGAAACCTGACAAGTTGTTTGCGCTATTGTTGTTGTTGCTTTTGTTTAGCATCATATATTTCTTGGTAACATTTCAAAATGTTATTGATTTCTCTTTGGATTCTACCCACACGTTCTTCGTTGGGATCAATGTCACTCAAAAAAGATAACACATGGTTCATTTTGGAGAAAAACTCTGCCAGTTCTTTTAATGTTAACTTTTTAGGGACACCAACTCCTCCTCCTCCATCTTCCTCTTCCTCCTCCTCGTCTTCATCTTCTCCTGCCTCCACCTCCCCTTGTCCTTCCAACTGATTTTGTAGTTGTATTAATTCTTCATTAGAAAGCTCCCCCTCAGTGTATGCAATCCAATCTTCCACATCCCGAGCATCAATATCTAAATCAAGGGATTTGGCCAATGTTACAATGTCCTGACTGATGACTTGTAAATTTTCCTTTTGGTCGAAACCTTCCCAATTTTTTACCAATACAGCAAAACGTTTCAAACATTTTCTCCAAATCCCTTGCATACATTCTGTAGTGACATCCCGCCAGGCTGCTCCAATGTTTTGGATGCAGTGAAGGATATTGTAACTTTTCCAAAAGTCACTCACAGTTATTTCCTCTTTTTCCATCGCAGCTGTGGCTTTGGCAAATGTAGCCCGTAAGTAGTGTGCCTTAAAAGTTGCAATCGCTCCCTGATCCATAGGTTGTAGGAGAGGAGTTGTGTTTTTGGGGAGATAGACTACTTTCACGTGAGGGTAGAGATTGCCGAGATGTGGGGGATGTCCAGGGGCATCATCCAGAAGTAGGAGTACTCTGAAAGGAATGCTGTTTTCTAAGCAGTAGGTCCTTACTTGTGGTACAAAGCAGGTCATAAACCAATCCTCAAAGATTACTTGTGTCACCCACGCCTTCTTATTGGATCTGTAATACACTGGGAGAGCGTGCTTATTTATGTTTTTGAAGGCATGAGGATTCTCTGATCTATGGATCAGCAATGGCTTCAACTTGAACCCAGAGACATTTCCGCCCAACAGCAATGTTATCTTGTCCTTCAGTGCTTTAGATCCAGGCATTGTTTTGGCCTCTCTGTGGATGTAAGTCCGCTCTGGCATTTTCTTCCAATACAGCCCAGTTTCATCCACATTAAAAATCTGCTGTGGTGTGTAGTTGCCCTCTACTACAGTTTCATCCAGTTTGTCCGGAAAGTGTTGGGCAGCTTCTTCATCAGTACTCACAGCTTCCCCTGTGGTTCGTATGTTATAGTAATTATATCGTTTCTGAAATCGCACAAACCAGCCACGGCTGGCTCCAAATGTCTCACTACACTCCTCCCCTGCGCCTTGCTTTAGCGTTTCAAAAACGCTGCGGGCCTTTGCCTGAATCCGGTGAAGACTGATTGGAATTCTTTTTTGGATCTGATCATCGATCCAAAGCACCAGGAGCTGTTCTGTTTTTGAAAGGAGGCCTGTCCTATTTCTCGTGATGATGGCATCTGTTCTTGGAGCTGATTTAATCGCCTCTTTTATCTTTTCTTTATCCTTAAGGATCGTGCATACGGTGGAACAGGCCAGCCCTTCTTCTTCTCCTATGGTCTTTACCTTCTTCCCCTCCTCATGGGCTTTAATTATTTTCATTTTCAAGTCCAAATTGATTCTTTTCCTTTGTTTCTTGCCTCCATGTTGAGCTGAAGTAGAGCTTGATCTCTCTTCTTGCGAGGACATTTCTAGCCAAAGAAAGAGTGGATGGAAAAGTACAGTATCTTGTCCTGTAAACAGATATATATAGAGAGAGACTGGTTCAGAATTGTTTACAGAAAGTTCAATTTTATGGTGGGGGAGGGCAGTATTGTGATGCAAGAATGTGTTTTCCTTCTCTATCAAAAATTTCTTTTCCTTGACAAAAGCATAGGAATGGTCACTCTAGCAGCAACATACTGTCCGGTATTTGGAAGTCTTTTATTTACAGTACTGTCATTAAACATTGCTTCATATAGTCCATCTTTGTTCTTAACTGCTCCACTTAGTTATTTTTTTCCCCTTCATGCACACAAGGAATCTGATTCTTAACAAACGGGAGAAAGTGAATTGTGAAGGCCAAACTCTCCATACAGTCCACTTGGGAGGAAAAGCCAGGCTTCATAGAAAAGGATTTTAAAAAACCCTCATATAAATAGCTTGTAAATTTGAAAATCAGCAGTTTAGAGAAGAGATACAACACTAAGGAGAAAAGAAAACATGCTGGAGCAGTTTATGTGCGTTAATTTTTTTTAAAAAAATATATATTTTGCACTATACTTTTCTTTCTCTTTAAAAGAAGAATACTGTAAAAGAGAAGGAGCAATGGGAGCCTTCAACACAATCATTTGCAAAGAAAGTTACATAAAAGGAAGCAGAGCAGTTTGCAAAGTGCTTACAAACAGTATAGTACTATAAAATAAAAAAAAAGAATATTTTAAAGTACAGTACTTACAGAAGCAATTCTAGTACTCCAGTCCTCCAGGCGGCAGCAGCAGCAATAGAGCCTCCATTCAGCACCAAAAAAAACAAAACAAAAACAAACTCGCGCCGAATGCAAAAATCACTGGATCTTGTTTGGCCATGCTACCAGGGACAAAAATCCAAAACCCCTGCCAGCTTTAGGAAATTACATGTCATAACCCCGAACCGCACAGGCAAGTCACAGAGTTAAAAATTGCTGTCGCTGCAGCAGTGATTGAATCCGGAGAAGGGTGGCATATAAATCAAATTTAAAAAAAAATAATACAAGTCACATGGCTACAGAGGCATGTTTTTGGTCACAGTTTTGAATTTTCTAAACGTACGTACCTTTTCTGAATAAATTCGTTGTTGTAGAAAATTCACTAAATGAAAGGTTGTACCTAGAGGATTATCTGTATCTCTTCTCCCACAATTTCCCTTGCTGGATATGTCGAAAAGATGTTTTTTCAAGAGGCAATTAGACTTTCTGGTTTTTCGCTTCTCATCCAAGAAGCTTCTTGAGCTCTAACTAAATGGTGGGGAATGGAAGGACCATCCAGTCAGAGCTGAAGAAGGTTCTTGGATAAGAAGCAAAACGTCTTCAAAGAAAAAACAGAAAGTCCAGTTGCCTCTTGAAAAAGCATCTTTGGGACAACCATGACCTGGATGACTGAGAATTTCCATAAACAATTTGCTGTATATGATGCTTTAGAGACAGATTTGCAAGTAGAGGTCAAAAGGTCATAGATCCCTCCCTCCTCCTCCGAAAACACTGCTACAATCTGCTCTGCATCCACACAGCTAACAGAGAAGGAGGGTGAGAATATTGATCTAATAAACCTAAAGAATGGAAATGTAACTGACTTTCTAGCCAGCCAAAGTCTGCTGAAAGCACAAACAGTCCTCTCTGTCTTTGACCTGCTATCTGCAACTATAGTCAAGGTGGACACTTTAAAAGAGATCTTTATAAAAACGTTTTATCAACAAGCCAAATGACAACTATCTTAAAACACAGACCTGCACTGAGGATATCACAAATACAACTAGTAGGGAAGCCAAAGGCAACCTTACCCCTACATTAAGAAAAAGAATAATAACCAGAGAGCTGCCCATCTTCATGGAAAAGAGTGAGAAACAAGTTTCTAGTGGGCACATAACCAAAAGAGAGATATTTTCAAATCATAAATATCATATATGAGCCAGCAGTGTGCAGTGGCAGCCAAAAAAGCCAATGGAATCCTAAGTTGCATTAACAGAGGGATTCAATCAACATGAGCTACTAATACCACTCTATAAAGCCCTAGTAAAACCATATCTAGAATACCACTCCCAGTTTTGGTCACCACACTATAAAAAAGATGTTGAGACTCAGTCTAGAAAGAGTACAGAGAAGAGCAACAAAGATGATTAGGGGACTGGAGGCTAAAACATGAAGAACATTTTCAGGAACTGGGTATGGCTAATCTAGTGAAGAGAAGGACCAGGGAAGACATGATAGCAATCTTCCAGTACTTGAGGGCTGTCACAGAGAGGAGGGGGGCAACCACCAAGTCATATCGATATGAAACAACAATCTCCTAATATCCACCACATTAAGTGAAACCCACCCCAAAAGATATTTGACTCCATACAACAGCATAAAATGGCAAAGGAGGCCAAAAGATAACTGATGTATTTTCCTAAATACTGAAAGGATTTTGGATCTCATTTCATCCCAAATGTGACTGCATGGGTCATATCAGCCACCCATAGACATCACCAGAGTCTGCTAAAGGCAGACTCACAGAGAGTCTGCCTTTAGAAGCAACATCTCTCAAGTCAACCATGTCTTATGTTCCATGAGACATGATCAACAAGCAACCTCTTTATCGAGGGATATAAGTCATAAAGTTGACCTTCTCAAAAATTGAAACACTGGCTTGGATTTCCATCTTCTCCCACTGCTTAAAATCCTTTTATTTTTAGTCGGTTCGGCTCTTCTAAACATGACCAACAATTTCCGATACTCTAAAAGCCAGGCAATACATGCCAAATTACAACTCTATGACTTTTCATAGCCAACCATCACTTCAATGGGCTACAAACATGTTATAACTGACAGTGGGCTATTGATTTAGAACTGCAAGTTGGCTACTCAAACCCAACAAAATACAGAAAACATAAAATAAATATATAAAATAAAATACAAACATAAAATAAATGGCAATAAGATGTTATTATTTTATTAAATACTCTGGTCATGCTGATTTGTTTTCTCTTAATATGCTATTATCAGATCAATCTGACTCCATCTCTTTCCCCAGAGCCAAGTCTTGGAGCAGGAGAAGACCAGATGTTTTCCTTCTCTATCTGAGGAGATGACATCTGGTTGGAGACTTCTTTAAAAAGAAGTAACTGATGGCATCTACCTACAGAATGTCTTCCCAAACATTAACTTGGAGAGTAGCAAACTCTTACCCAGAGAGGCCACGTTCCTTTGATTTTCCAGCATGACATCCCAATAGAGCGTTTTTTGGTCAGGATCCAGCTGAGACAACTGCTCCTCAGAGAAATGCACAGCCACCTCCTCGAAGGTCACAAGACCCTCCTGAACAAGGAAAAACAGAAAACGCCAAGGAGTATCCCTGGTTACAAACAAGGCTTTTAAAATTTGCAATGCTACAATGTGGCCATTTAGTTATTTTTGATTAGCCTAGTACAATTCCAGGTCAAAGAATAATAAGAAGTTTACTTCTGGTAAACTAATAGTAGGAAGATCACCCAGCACAGCAATTTAACTAATGATTTTTAAAAAGCATTTCCTAAACAGAGTCTGAGGGTAGAAATGACAAACCATTGTGTTCTAACAAGAGTTTTCAGAGGAAACAAACCTGCTGAGATCAACTTGAATCTCCTTCCCACTTTGCTCAGAAACATGAAAATATCACAACCCAAAGGGGGAGGCAAGGGGGGGGGATAGAAGAATGGAATGATCTGTAACCAGCTTAACATCCTGAAGGCAAGAGACAACAGGAATCTAGCTTACCTTTACTTGATTTGGAGGTTCAACCACTGTTTCAGCTCCAGCATAAAGACCAGAAAACTTCATTCTAGGTTTCCCTGTGAGGAAGACATTCATGATTAATAACAAAATAGAAATATATATTCTACAGAAGAGAAGACACAGACAGCTGAGATCTCTCTGGGGAATTGAAGGATCTTCGATTACCTCCCAAGGTGTCCTGACTTGACTCTTCCTGAGATATCGTCCTGAAAAACAGATCCTCAGGGGGATTTGATGGATTCCTCCTTCCTTCAGGATCTCTGATCTCCACAGTGAAGGACTTGAAATAGGAGGAAAGGGAAAAGAAGAATAATTTACGGACATCACCCAACATGAAGTGGATTCTTGTTCGGCGAACACACCCTCAAAGCGCCCAATATCCATCAAGGAGCTGAGAGGGAAATGAATGGAACTATGTCCTACAAGGATTAATGAAACACCTCCATGTGATATCAATGCCAGAAGAGTCTGGAAGGGATTGGGTGAAGAATTCAAACTCTTTCTTCCCTTCAAAGCCCGTCTAGACTCTTGAGACAAAGGTCTCTCACCTCCAACTTGACCCGCTCCTTCTGATCCACTGCCTGGCTCAGGAGGAAGCCTTCCGCCAGGGCCACCGCCTGGGAGCTGGTCTCTGCTCCACACTCCCGCACCCAGCTCTCCATCTCTGGAGGCAGGATAGCCAAGAGCTGCTCCAGAACCACCAGGTCCAGCATCTGGGCTTTGGTGTGCTTATCTGGTCTCAGCCATCGCCTACAAAAGTCGTGTAGTCTGCTGCAAAGTCGTCGGGGACCTTCAGCCTCCTGGTATTGGAGGCTCCTGAAGTTGCAGGGCTCAACTTCTGAATGGAGGATGGTTTCCTCCTCCAGGATCTTCTCCCTTTTTTTTGTCCAGATCTCCCCACAGCTCCCAGGCCGAAGAGCACAAAGGCCTTTTGGAGTAGCTTCACTTGCTAAAAGTCGTGTCTCCATTTTTTTCTCTGTCCTGCAAGGCAACTCCAAATGGGTCCCAGCAATCTTCTGGATCTCCAATCGCTTTTCCTTAATAGGATGGTTTCTATTGTTGCAGGACTGAGCACTGCAGGTTATTCTGCCCGGGTTGAACCCGCAGGAGGGCCAGGCGCGGGTCTCTCCTTCCTCCGCCTCCCTTTGCACGGGAAGAGAAGATACACCCACCCACCCCCGCACCCTTGGACACGTGTGAATCTTTCCCACGCGAGGCTCTCCCGCAGCCTCTTCGCCTCCTGCGGAGCTCCAACGGTTAAGGAAAGCGAGCGGGGCGTCCCAGAGCGGCAAGGCTCTGTGACGTCACTCCCTTCACCGCCTCCTCTGAAAAGCCAACCGTGACCTTCGCCCTCCAGCGGCCCAATGGGGAAGCGGCCGACGTTACTTTGGGCGCCCCCTGGTGGATTTTGCCTAACATTACAGGATTCCCTGGAAAGGCGGGAGAGAAGCACAAAATAAATGGGGCTTCTCCAAACAACAGCCAATAGGATTGGGGGGACGGGGTTTGATTGGGGGCGCTTTTTTTCCCGCCTCTGAAAGGTTTCCCTGCTATTCCCTTTCCAAGAATTCCCCTTTCTCTCCCGCTGATTTCCCCACCATCTTCTGAGGTAAACTTTACCTCAGACTTCCATGTCTCTGAACCTTTCCAGCCTAAGAAGTCTGCTTGGCATCTTGTGTGCTGAGCCTGTGCAGCGTCACAAAGGAGGGCCTGGCCAAGGGCGCCTTTAAGATGTTTATCATCTATCCACCCATCCATCTCTACTCATTTGTCTATTATTATCTATCATTATCTATCTACTCTCTACATGTATTTGTCTATCTATATCCATTTGTCTATGTATCATTATTATCCATCATTCTCTCTATATATGTGTATCATCTATGTATCATCTATATCCATTTTTTTATCTATGTATCATCTGCCTTTATCTTTACCTATTTATCTTTACCTATTTATCATTTCTATGCGTTTGTCTAACATTTATTTATATCATCTATTTATCTATCATCTGTCTATCTCTGTCCGTGTATTTGTCTCATTTATTCATCCATCCATCTATATCTTTATCATTATCATCTATCATTATTTATCCTCTTTATATGCATTTCTATCATCTATCGGCTATAGCCATGTATTTCTCTATCATTATTTGCCTATATCTATAATCTATTTCTATCCATATATTTGGCTGGCTGGCTGGCTATCATCTATCTAATCTATCTATCTATCTATCATCTATCAATCTATAACTCTCTATATCTCTTATTCTATTTTACATCTCTCTCTCTCTCACACACACACACACACACACAAAATATAGAAATTGTCAATCTCCTTCACAGATAGACTCTGGGTGATGTACAGGCAAAATGTTAAAAACGAAAATTGAACATATTTACAATAGAGGCAAGGATAGTTAAAATTTGACAATAAAACTTAAAAAGGTAGGCAAGGGACTTCGGACCTCAAACCAGCCTCACGGCTGTGTGCTCCTCTGGAAGCCCCAAGCTAAATGGCAGAGCCAGAACTTTAGATATTTTCGAACTTCCCCCCAAGACTTTCTCTCTTACAGAGAAACATTTACAGAAAAATATGATGTGGGCAGAACAGGCCCAGTACAAAATGTCTCCATTCCTCCCACTGATGAAATATTTCAGAACATGAAGTATCTGTACAATATTGCTTCAAACTCCTGCAATCCCTGTGCTGCAAAATTTCCAACTTTTGTGGAGGAGAGAAATGCATAGGGTCCTGTGATAAACTATGAGTATATTAAGAGATGAGAGGGACAGGAAAACAATTAGAATAATAGGGGAAATAAAGTAAATTTATTGGAAGTGACCTTGATTAAACCATTTGTGAGAAACGAGCTCACTTGACAAAAATCCATTAAAGGCAATACTCCCATGAAATTGCAGAGGCTGAGATTAGGAAAATGACCCTTTTTTTGGATTTGACTCCCAAATGGAAGCTGCGATTTTCATTCTTCATGTACAATGGCTCATCTTCGAATGACAGTACCTTCAACAATCTGAGGTTCATAAATAAAACACGTGCTACTTTTTTTCCATTACTAATTTCATCTCTGAGGCTGCCACTTGTGAGGGTTTGGCCCAATTTTCTCTTAAATTTTCTTTTCCCTTCTCTAGATGTATAACACACCAATAGGAAATGCATAGATTTAACCAAGAAAGTCTATATGGATTTTCACCCAAATATATCTTTATTGAAAAATTAGGGCATTACTTTTCTTGAAGCTCTTTCCAAGCTCCTCATATATATCTAATTTCTGTTCTATGTACATCCTTTTATAATATATAAGGGAACTATTATACCTGAAGCTCTTTCCATACTCCACAATTTCTACACCTTCTCCCACCTGGATATTTGTATGGAAAGAAGATTGGTCTGAGTAATGATCTTTCCACACTCCATGCTTTTATAAGGCTTTTCTACTGTGTGGATCCTTTCATGTAACGTGGTTAATTTTTGTAGAAACCCTTTCCTCATTCCACACATTTATATGGCATCTCCCATGTGAATTCTTTTATGGGAAGTAAGACAATCCCTCCGACTGAAGCTTTTTCCACACTCCATGCATATGGCTTCTTTATATGGCTTCTCCCCTGTGTGGATCCTTTTATGAATCACAAGTTTATTGTTGTGAGCAAATGACTTCCCACACTCCATGCATGTATACGGTTTCTCTCCTGTATGGATCCTGTTATGGCAAGAAAGAGTATACCTTCAAGCAAAGGTCTTTCCACACGCCATGCATTTATATGGCTTCTCCCCTGTGTGGATTCTTTTGTGGGAAATAAGACCAGCAGTCTGAGCAAAGGTCTTTCCACACTCCATGCATGTATATGGCTTCTCCCCTGTGTGGATCATTTTATGGTTGGTCAGATCACAACTTCTCCTAAAGCCCTTTCCACATTGCACACATCTGAATACCTTCTGCCTTTTGTGGATCATTTCATGGAGAACAAGGGAACATTTTGTTCTGAACCAGTTTCCATAGTCCTTGCAACTATGTGGCTTATCCTCTATTTTACTATGCTTAGTAAGTTGACTTCTATGAGCAAAGGTCTTGCCACAGTTCATGCATGTATATGGCTTCTCCCCTGTATGGTTCCTTTTATGTATCGCAAGTTGACTCATGTGAGCAAATGTCTTTCCACACTCCATGCATTTTTGTGGTTTCTCCCCTTTGTGGATCTTTTTATGATAAAGAAGACCACCATTTGACATAAAATCCTTCCCACATTCCATGCATTCATATGGTTTCTTCATTGTGTCAATCATTTTATGTAAAGTAAGATCATGAAAGTTATTTTCACAATTCATGCATGTATTTGGCTTCTGTCCTGTGTGGATCATTTCAGGGAAAGTAAATTGACTGCCTGTTCTGAAGCTTTTTCCACATTCCACACATTCATTAGGTTTCTCTTCTCTATGAGGGAAAGATTTCTCTTCTGTCCCACTGTTACTTTTTCCACTGTGTTTGCTAATAGCATCTTGTTTGTTTTGGATTGGAAAGTGTTCATTTAGATGTAAGTTAGCTTTGATTAGTTTCACACTTTTCCAAATATATTTCTTTATATTCCCTTCTTGGGCAAAAAACTCTTGCATTGAAGCACCAATAAAAGATGAGCTTTCCTGATTCCAGTTATTTAACTGGTTTCTTTCATGTCTTTCTACTTCCTTTTGAATTGCAGACTTCTCCGTTCCATCTCCAGCATTGATCACTTGGAACAGTTCAAAGGAATCTTGATTCTCCTGCCCATTATTACCTTCAAAGAAAGAGAATAATCGCTGGTGAAAAACATCAAACTGTAGGAAATCTTAATTCTTAATTTTTATGTATTTCCAATATATCCATGGCTACGGGGAATGTCAGGAAGACATTCATGATTAATAACAAAACAGAAGGACATATTCTACAGAAAACATAGGCAAGATCAAATAGCTGGGATCTCTCTCAGAAGGACCTTCGGTTACCTCCCAAGTCCTGACTTGACTCTTTCTGAGGTAGCCTCCTGAAAAACAGATCCTCAGGGGGATTTGATGGATTCCTCCTTCCTTCAGGATCTCTGATCTCCACAGTGAAGGACTTGAAATAGGAGGGAGGAGAAAAGAAGAAGAATTTATGGACATCACACAACATGAAGTGGATTCTTGTTCTCTGAACAAAACCTCAAAGCATCCAATATCCATCGAGGAGCTAAGCAAAAAATGAATGGAACAATATCCTACAAGAATTAGTGAAAGATCTCCATGTAGTATGAATGCCAGAGGAGTCTGGAAGGGAGGGGGTTCAAAGCCCTTCTAGACTCCAGAGAGAAAGATCTCTCACCTCCAACTGGACCTGCTCCTTCTGCTCCTCTGCCTGGCTCAGGAGGAAGCCTTCCGCCAGGGCCACCGCCTGGGAGCTGGTCTCTGCTCTACACTCCCGCACCCAGCTCTCTATTTTGGGGGGCAGGATAACCAGGAGCTGCTCCAGAACAACCAGATCCAGCATCTGGGCTTTGGTGTGCTTATCTGGTCTCAGCCATTGCCTACAAAAGTTGTGGAGTCGGCTGCAAAGTTCTCGGGGACCCTCAGCCTCCTGGTATTGGAGGCTCCTGAAGTTGCAGGGCTCAACTTCTGAATGGAGGATGGTTTCCTCCTCCAAGATCTTCTGCCCAGCTCTTGTCCAGATCTCCCCACAGCTCTCAGGCCGAAGAGCACAAGGGTCTTTCGAAGTGGCTTCACTTGTTAAAAGTCGTGTCTCTATTCTGTCTCTGGTCTGCAAGACAACGCCAAATGGGTCCCAGGGATCCTGTGGATCTCCAACCGCTTTTCATTCATAGGATGGTTTCTGTTGTTGCAGAACTGACCCGCCACAGGTTGTTCTGCTCTTTGCCCAAGAGATAATTTTGGCTCCCAAAAACTACAAATGGCTTCGAGTGTGTGTATCTGAGACGGAAAAGAAAATAAATTCCTAGAATTACAAAGTGGTGAACTGAACCACTGAACAACATTCACACAACCTGCTGGGAGCCCCAAGCGGGTCATCCCAGTGCAGGGTCGAGGTCCCCCAGAGCAGGACCGGGAAGGAGGCAGCTGGAGAGGCCACCCCACTTCTCTTCCCCCTCCGGAGACAGGATGGGGCCCTCGGGGAGGCTGGTGCGAATCCTGCCTCCTCTTCGCCCGGCTTCTCTCCTCTCCTGCTGAGCCTCCACAAGGCCCACCCTCCCCTCCCCCCACTCGGGCTCTTCCCCGGACATGGGTAAGGAAAGGGATCCCCGCTTCCCCCTGCATGGAGAGGGCGGCTGGGGAACATGGGAGCAGGGGTGGAAGCCGGAGGAGGGCCGGGGGCGAGTTTCTTCCTCCTCCGCCTCCCTTTGCCCGTGAAGAGCTCCCACCTCATCCGGGTCACGTCTGGATCTCCCCCCGCCAGACTCCCCCGCAGCCTCCCCGCCTCCTGCGGTGCCCCAGGGGTTACTGAGAGCGAGTGCGGCGTCGTAGAGCGGCAAGCGTTTGTGACGTCACTCTCTTCGCACAGTCCTCTGGAAAGCCAGCTGTGACGTTCGCCTTCCAGTGGTCCATTGGGGAACCGCCTGATTTTCCCTTCTCTTGGCAGAAGGCTCCCCCTAGTGGATAGTGAATAAATTTACAGGATTCCCTGAAAAGCGCGGGAAAGAGGAGCGCTTCTGAGGGAACGGCTGGGATGATGGGCATGGGAGTAGGAGGAAAGGCCACTCTCAATGCCTCCCTGCCCAAGAAAAGCTTTGTGGTCTCCAGAGGCGGCACTTTCTCCACCTTCCTCTCCTTCCTGTCCAGGAACCCTCTGTGGAGATGGAGAAAAAATCTCTCTGGAGGATTTGAAATTGCCTCACTCAAGAACAGCCACCCTGAAGTCTGGGCAGAGATTGGAGGAGGCCTCAAAAGGGGCCAAATCCTGTCAGAAACAGGTCAGAAGAGAAGGACCAGGAGGCTCTCTGGGAAACACAGCTTGTGTCTTGTGGTTGTTGCAAACTCCGGTCTTAAGTGGAGGAAGATGGGACAGAGGCGAGGAAGTCACAATCAGGAAAATGATTTTTATGCATTTGTTTTTTATTTCTTTAATTCAAGACATACAGGTGCCTTTTTCAAATCATTTGCTCAGCCTCAGATTGAAGGGGGGAAGCAGAAAGGGCAGAGACCCCTCCAGCCTCTTCTGAGGGACACCCCGCCCTGTCTCTTGTCCCCGCGGAAACACTGTGAAGAAAAAGAAAATGTTGCAATATTTTCAGGATCAGACTCAATAAAGATAATAGGAGTTAGAGCTTTAAATATATTTCTTTTTAATTATGATAGGCATTCTATATTCACTGAATATTCAAGGTAGAAGCAGCGAGAATGGTGAGGGTGGCTCCTTATATATAAAAGGGGTGGAGCTAGGAATGGGAGTGGTAAGTTATGAATACATTAAAGTCCAAAGAATAAGTTAACCTCTGATGTTCCATATATACATTATTTACACATTGGAGAATAAGGCATTTACATCTGACAAATCCCCCTCTAAATGCCGGTTCGTTACACAACACCAATTACATTCTGATTCAGGACAATATAATACATATAATTTAGAAGTTAAATATTTGTGTTGTTTAGAAGGTAAGGGTTTTGTTAATATGTCAGCTAATTGTTCAGAAGTATCGCAATGTATTGCTTTAATGAATCCGTCTTGAGACAGTTGTCTCACATGCTTAAACTTTATATCAATATGCCTGGACCTTTGTCCAATTGCATCGGATCTGGATATTTCAATGGCCGCTTTATTGTCTTCATGCATAATAAATGGTAAAGTGGGTTTCTTCCAAACATCAGTGATCAGATCATTGAACCATACAAGGTTATTTGCAGCCTTGGACAAACAAACATATTCCGCTTCTGTAGTAGAAGTGGCTACTAGTTCTTGTTTACCAGTATACCAGTAAACTGGACAATCATTCAATAGAAAAACATAACCAGAAGTACTCTTTCTGCATGATGTATCACCAGCCCAATCTGCATCAGCATAACAAGTAATTTTTGGTTCTCTGTCATTATTGGGTTCCAACATTAAACAAAAATCTAATGTACCCTTCAGATATCTTAGAATTCTTTTGACAGCTTCCCAATGATACAAGGTTGGTTTACTAACATATCTTGACAGTAGATTGAGAGGTAATGCAATATCTGGCCTAGTCCAATTAGATATATAAAGGAGTGAACCTATAACTGATCTGTAAAATGTGTTGTCTTTAAACTCAGGGGAAGATTCATCAGTGTTTCTAAGAAAATCAGTTTGCATAGGGGTGTCACAGGTTTTGGCATTATTTAAGTTACATTTGTTTAGGAGTTCGATGATTTTATCTTTCTGTGTAAGTTTGAATCCCCTTTTAGTTTTGTTAATTTGCACACCAAGGTATTTATTCACTTTACCCAGAGATTTCAGTGAGAAGTGTTCATTTAACTTATTTACAAAGATTTCCCTGCTCTCTTTATGCTTTCCAATGTATAAAATATCGTCCACGTAAATTAATACAAATTCAATATGATCATTACTCTTTTTTACAAAGAAACAGTTATCAGCAGTGGTGGCGTTGAAATCCATGGTCTTAAGTACTTTTACCAAGCAATCGTACCATCTTTTGCCGGATTGCTTTAATCCGTACAGACTCTTATTTAATAACCAAATTTCGTTCTTATTAGTGTATTGACTGTGTGGTGCTCTTACATATATTTCCTTATCTAATTTTGCATGTAAGTATGCGGTCTGTATGTCATATTGGAATACGTCCAGATTGAGTGCAGATGCTACTACAAGGGCTGTTTTGACACTCTCTGTTCTCACTGTGGGTGAATATGTATCAGTATAGTCTTCTGGGTATTTTTGTGCATAGCCTTGTGCAACTAGTCTAGCCTTGTATAAGGTATTGCCTCCTTCTAAGTTCTTAATTTTATAAATCCACCTGGTACCTATAATTGTTTTATCCTTAGGTGCGATCGCAGGTGTGAATACATTTAATCCTTGTAAACTTTCCATCTCTTTTTCCATAGCTAGTTCCCATTTTTCTCTTTCTTCATGTGGAAGTTTCAATACTTCTTCATATGTATTAGGTGTTATTTGTTCTCCATTCATATGCATTATGTAATCTTTGTATTTATTTGGTATTTGGTTTCTATTGTTTCTAATAGTTCTTTCAGGCTTGCTATGGTTATCATGCAAATATCTAGCTTCCTTTTTTGTTAATGTGTCTGTCTTTATTTTATGCTGACTATTAGTCCAAGTTTTGGTTTTGTTCTTACTTTTGTTAATATTTTGATTTTCTGTTGTTCCTTCCTCGCAAGATATCGTATCTTTACATTTATTAGGAAATATTTCATTAAGGTGCAATTTTGACCAATTGGCCTGTTCATGGAACACAGCTGTTCTGGATACTATAAATTTGTTATTACTATCAATAAATCTGTACCCTTTGGTTCCAGTTTCGTATCCCATGAATCTTAATCTCCTGGATACGTTTTCTCCCTTTCTCCTCAATTGTTTAGGTATGTGTACGTCTGCAGTGACTCCAAATATGTGCATGTGTGATAATTTGGGTTTTCTATTGTACATCACCTCATATGGTGTCTTATTCACAATACTGGACCAGGTTCTATTTTGAGTGTAATTTGAATAATGTAATGCCTCTGACCAAAATTGTTTGCCTAAACCAGCATCCTCTAATGTGCACCTAATCATGGTTTGTAGTGTGGAATTTTTCCTCTCTGCAACTCCATTTTGAAATGCAGAAAAAGGATTGGACGTGAAATGTAACATTCCTCTATCCTTTAACCATTGGGAGAATTCTTTAGACATGAACTCACATCCCCTATCTGTCATAATTTGCTTTATTCTGATATTATGTTGTGTTTCTATACGTTTGTAGAATTCCTTAAATTTCTGAAATGTTTCATCCTTGTGCTTTAATGTGTAAACAAAACCATATCGGCTGTAGTCATCCACTATTGTTAGGAAGTAACGTTTTCTATAGGTAATTGAGGGACTTAATGGACCAACTAAGTCCATATGTACCAAATCAAAAATATTGTTAGTTGATCTGTTAGATTTTTTTGGTCTGGGACTGGTTTTTAGTTTGGTGGATTTACATACTGAGCATTCCAAATAATTTTCACAATTTTTTATTTTGACACCTTCTGCGTGTTCAGTCATTTTTTGTACTACAGGAAAGCTTGCATGTCCTAACTTCCTGTGTAAGATGTGAGCACACTCATCATGAATTGGTTTACCTATTTTTGGTTTCTTTTCCTTGTATGTATTTTTGTGATCATGAGTTATTCTACACTCATCATTGTCACTGTTGCTGACATTTTCATCATCTGCTTCAATACAATCTTCCATATTTGAATCAATGTTATGTAAACATCTTTCTTTAGTTATCAGATAGGGTAGACCTCCTTTTATCATTACAGTACCTACATTTGTTTTGTTCTTTTCTATAGTTGCTTTCCCCTTTGAGAAAACTATATTGATATCAGATTCTCTGCTTAATTTTATGGCACTTAGTATGTTGTGAGGTATTTCTGGGATTAATAATACCCCCTCTATTTTCCCTAGACCAGGCAAGGTTACATTTCCTTTGCCTAGTACTTGAACCTTTTCTTGATTAGCTACCTTTATCACAAACTTATCTTCTATAAATGAAGATAATATACTTTTGTTGTTGGTGGTGTGATTTGTTGCACCAGAATCAATAAGCCAATTGTTATTCTCATCCTGCTGTGTTCTGGTGCTGTCTTGTTTATTTAGCCCATTCAGTGACCCAGATTTCCTCTCTTTTGAATTTTCTCTACCCCCTCTACCTTCTTTGTAATTTGGTGGACTTTTATATTCGTGTCTATCTGTGGAAGATTGTCTGTAATTATATTTGCTCCTATATTCTGGCCTATGTCTCTCTCTTGAGACTTTGGGGCAGTCTCTTCTACTATGTTCCCTGGATCCACAATTGTAGCATCTAAAGGCCTCATTATGTTTATCTTGAAAGACTACTTTCCTAAAAGGTTTGTGGTCTGTTTGGTTACTGGATCGATTTTTTCTTAAATTGTCTTCTGCTATCAATTTGTTAGATAGACTTTCTATGGATAAATATCCCAAATTAATGGTATCTAAGTGTGACATAAAGCTATCCCATGATGGATCAAGTGAATTGATAATAACACTTTTCATTGTTTGATCTGAAATCACTTCCCCCCTCAATTGTAGCTCAGCTCTTATTTTGTTTAGATTTATCAAATGCTCACTTATAGAAACCCCTGGTTTTACTCTAGAGGAAAAGAAATCCTTAGACATTCTTGTGGTTGTAGCTACGCTATCGCTGTGAAATAGATTAAACATGCATTGAATTATTTCTGATACAGTTAGGTTTGGTTTGATGCTATGATACATTGCAGGAGACACGCTAGATATTATTATGAAAAATGCTCTATGATGTAAACAATCTATTTTTAAAGTCCAAGGTCTTCTTGGAGGGCTAGTTATAAAGAATAGTAAATTTTCTTTCATGAAAATAACCTGAAGCTGTTGATACCACTCTTGTAAATTAATGCCATCAATTCTAAGTTTTGGGAAGTCACTGGGTAAGTTACCTACGTTATTCTGTCCATTACTTACAACCTGGGGCAGTCCGTGATCTCTCAAGTGCAGGAAATTACAGAACGGCATTGGGATGCTTGCAATGAGTCTGCGCGGTTCTCTGGCCAGTTCAAGTCCTTCTGGGTCGTCTACGTAGTTTCGCACATGCGCGTTGCTCATTTCTTCTTTGGTGGCGTCGTGGAAGGTTCTCTCCCTTTCAGCTCTCTCGATCCGCTCCTCCTCAGATGAGTCGGTCTCTGGCTCGGTTTTTGGGGTTCTGGTGGTGGCGACGGTTCTTTTCTTCTTTTTGTGTGCGTTGGTATTCGATCTTGTCTGTGGTGTAGGGCGAAATCGGCATGGCTCTCTGGGCTCGGGCGTTGTCGCTTTCGAAATCAGGATGGGAGCGTGCAGGTCTTGAGTCGCCGGTTTGATTTCTTGCTTCTTCGTAGATGTCTTGGTAATTTTCAGTCTTGGCCCAAAAGCAGCAAAAAGCGTTTTCATTGCTGATTTTACTTGAGATTTTGTTAAATCGTCTTCACTTTCTGATTTTGGATCATCTGAAGAGTTTGAGACTTCTTTCTCACTTTCTTCGTCTGATAGTGTTTTTCGCGCCAGAAATTTTGAACTAAGCGTTTTGATTGGCTCTGCTCCATTCTCTTTTGAAGTTCGTTGAAACCAAGATGGCTGCCATTCAAAATTTCGCGCGGGATCACATCTTTTCTTTTTAACAACTATTTTCTCAGTAGTCATCTCACTTACGGTTTTTTGATCTTTGGGTTTTTCTTTAATGACGTTTTTCTCTCTCGCTGCTCCGCTGTTCTTCAGCATCTCCTGGAGGTCCGCGATGAGACTTTCATCATTCTTTTGGCTTTTTAGTATCTTTAATATCTCTGACCTGAGTTCGTTATTTTCTATTTCGATTTCTTTCTGGTCATTATTTTCACTCATTAGTTCTTCTTCTTCAGTGGTGTATTCTTCGGATTCTCTCGAAATCGCATTGGTGGATTCGTTGATCATCTCTTGATCAGTTTCTATTTCTTTGCTGTAAGCCCTGGTGTTGGGCCTATCTTTCTTGGACATTTTTAATTACTTATTGAGTCAATTAACCATCCTCTGCTACCAGCTTGTTGCAATATTTTCAGGATCAGACTCAATAAAGATAATAGGAGTTAGAGCTTTAAATATATTTCTTTTTAATTATGATAGGCATTCTATATTCACTGAATATTCAAGGTAGAAGCAGCGAGAATGGTGAGGGTGGCTCCTTATATATAAAAGGGGTGGAGCTAGGAATGGGAGTGGTAAGTTATGAATACATTAAAGTCCAAAGAATAAGTTAACCTCTGATGTTCCATATATACATTATTTACACATTGGAGAATAAGGCATTTACATCTGACAGAAAACAAGTTCCAAATGGAGGAAAAACTGAAGCCGATGGATATTCCAGAAATTTTACCACATAACAAGGTTCCTTAATTGAAAAATGAAGAGGGGAAATGGCATTTCATTTCTGACTGGAGGAAAGGTGGAATTACAAAACTTAAGAAGGGAAGATCGTGAAAAAGGAATATAAAGCTAAACTATGATGAAGAAAAAAACATGCTTACATAAGGATTGAATAGGAAATTCACTTCAAGAAATGTGACTAGGAAGCTTAAGCCCTTTCTCCCTTTGGAGAATTTAACGCAGGGATACATCATTAAACCATAGATAAAAAGATAAAAAGCAAAAGCAAAATAAGAGCTGAAGACTCCATTGATATGAAAAGATTCAAACATGAGACAGAGAGGAAACTCTGTATTATGGAACAGGTAGTATAACTGGCTTGAAAAGAAGTCTAAAATTAACGTATAGTGAATGTATAGAAAAGTAAATGGATAAAATGTATATAATAGAGTGTAGCAGACATGTAAATATTCTATATAATATAAAAATAAGTAAAATAAGAATGTATATGTATAAAACAATAGGCTTGTAGTTAAGTTGAAATTAAGGAAAAAATCCGATAACGGAAAGCTGTAATAGTGTAATTGTGATTTTAAAGATTAAAAATGTTGAATAAAAATATTTTTTTTAAAAAAAGAAAAGATTCAAAGATATTTAGAGTCGACAATGACACACAAAGAGCTATGGTGACCAAAACAAAGAATTTAAAATGATGGAAAAGTGGTTTAAAAATCTGTTTAAAAAGAATGGAGGTAACGTCTTTTTCTTTCTGTTTCTCCCCCCTCCCCCTATACAATTATGTCTCTTCTGGTTCTTCTCTTCACTAGACTAGCCATGCCCAGTCCCTTCAACGATTCATCGCATGCTTTAGCCTTCAGTCCCCTAATCATCTTGGTTGCTCTTCTCTGCACTAGAGCAGGGGTGTCAAACTCAACGCCTGCAGGCCGGAGTGACTATCCAGTCTCTTCTTAAAAACGTCCAGTGATGAAGCACCCATAATGTTAATTGTCTTCAATGTAAGGAAGATTCTTGTTAATTCCAGGTTGCTTCTCTCCTTGATTAGTTTACATCCATCGTTTCTTGTCCTGCCCTCTGATGCTTTGGAAAATAAATTGACCCCCTCCTCTTTCCGTGCATTTTTACGGCTTCTCCCCTGTGGATCATTTTATGGAGAATAAGATTACCACTTTGAGTAAAGGTCTTTTCACACACCATGCATTTATATGGCTTTTCCCCTGTGTGGATCATCTTATGGGAAATAAGATTACCTTTTTGAGTAAAGGTCTTTCCACACTCCATGCATTTATACGGTTTTTCCCCAGTGTGGATCATCTTATGGGAAATAAGATTACCACTTTGAGCAAAGGTCTTTCCACACTCCATGCATTTAAATGGCTTTTTCCCCGTGTGGATCTTTTTGTGACAACTAAGTCCACTGCTCTGAGCAAAGGTCTTTCCACACTCCATGCATTTATATGGCTTCTGCCCTGTGTGGATCTTTTTGTGACAACTAAGTCCACTCCTCTGAGCAAAGGTCTTTCCACACTCCATGCATTTATATGGTTTCTCTCCTGTGTGGATCTCTTTGTGGATAGTAAGTCCACTACTATAAGCAAAGGTCTTCCCACACTCCATGCATTTATATGGCTTCTCTTTGGTGTCAATCACTTTTTGAGATATAAGGAAGTTATTTCCAAAAGAAAGAATGAATGTCCCATTGTAATTTTTTTGGTTGTGTCTTCTTATAGTAACTTCTCCTTTGTTTTGGGTTAAATGGTGTTCGTTTACACGTAATTTAGCTTTAATTAGCTTCACACTTTTCCCAATATATTTTTTCCTTGTTTTCTCTTGTTGGACAAGAAAGTCTTGCATCGGAGCATCAGTAGAAAGTGATCTTTCCTGATTCCTATGATTTGACTGTTTTTTCTCATGGCTTTCTAATTCCATTTGAATTCCAAATTTCTCTGTTCTATTAGTACGATTGATCACTTGGAACGGTTCATAGGAATCTTGATTTGCCTGTCCATTATTACCTTCAAAGTAAAAGAGAAATGAAAATGATAATAAGGTTAGAGAAAAACATCAAACTGTAGAAAGTCAACAAATTTCCTTCTGAATTTTCCCAAAATTCCATTACATTGTATTTTGCATGCCTACAGTGGTGTGATATAGACATGATTTCTATATTCATGAGTCATGAAAGCTTTGAAAATATCTAGAAAATATTTCTTTACAATTATCTCTATATATGCAAATCTCACTCAAAGTCAGTTTTCAGTTAAGGAATAATCAGGGGAAATATCAAAGGAGGAATTGGGAGAAAACAAGATTTATTGGGGTGGGTTAAAGCTATTTAACTGCCCCAAAGTCTCATTGGCTTGCAAGGGCTCTTCTCAGTTCGCAGAGAACAGACACCTAAACTACTTTAGTGTGAGATCACATGAGATCAGTAGTGCAAGATCTCACACTACTTATCTCTCACTATAGTACTTTAGGACTGTGTTTTCTACAAACTGAGGACTGCACGAGATCCAGGCAAAAGTGTTTGAAAATGAAGAAGTCTTCCCTCTGATTGCAAAGCCTTTTGCCCTAGATCTCGTGCAGGCCTCGTTAGCAGAGAACAGAGGCCTAAAGTACTATAGTGCGAAATCACACGGGATCTGTAGCACAGAATTTTGTGCTACTGATCTCGCATGATCTCTCACTGCTGCTTCTTGTCTGTTAGAAAACTTATGATCCACTTGCAAATGTGGTCAGGCACAGCTAGCTGATTTAGTTTAATTGGAAGAATATCTGGAATGATGGTACTGAATGCTAAACTGAAGTTTACAAAAAGAACCCTTGCATAGGTCTTTGGAGATTCAAGATGTTGTAGGATGTAGTGAGAGCCATATTAAGAGCATCATATGGCAATCTATTTGCTCTGTAGGCAAATTGCAAGGGGTCCTGCCCGCAAGTTTGACACCCCTGGTCTAAAGTATTCTTGCCTCTAGTAAGACAGTTGACATGCTGAAAATATTTTGATAGCTCTTGACTTAAGTTAGCACTTTTGAAATCTTCTAACACAAAGAGGAATGAATTTGGGTATTTAACTTCAACCCACATAATCTGGTCAACTAGAGTTCATAATGCATTGTTTACACAAGCTTGTAAAGAAACATACACAGCAATTAGGAGAAATGAGGAAAACTCTCATGGAGAATAAAATAGTTTGCAATTGATAATTAATGTCTCTAAATCCACATCACAATATTTCTTTAATATAGTTATATTGGTTGTTGATATAAACGCAGAGACCAACTCCCTTCTTTTTAACGGATGTTTCTGTAATTCTGTCTCCTCTTTGTATCTGAAACCCTGGGATATGCAAGGTCCTATCATCAATTGACTCATTTAACCAGGTTTCAGTGAAGCAGAGAGCTGTCAAGTTGTAAAAATCAGAGTTGCATCTGTTTAAAAGAAGTATTTCATCCAATTTATTAGCGAGTGAATGTAAATTAGTCAGAAAGAGTGAAGGGAGGAGTTTTTATTCTACTTTTTCTTAGTCTATTCAAAATCCAGCTTGCTTACTCCTTCCCCACCTCCATCATCTCCTCCTTTTGTTTTTGTTTATCCATTGTTCAGAGAAAGTTACTTCTTCTTGTATTAGAATCTCTTCTGCATTTGTAAAGACAGGGGAGAGGGGTGTAGTCACAGAAAGCTGCCCATTAAAGAAACATTGCTTGATGCTTAATAGTTGGTATCTTGAGTATGAGATACGAAGTGAATCACAAAGAATAATAAAAAACAACAAAACTAACAGAGAGCATTTCACCAAGGCATCTTGAGGAATTGAGGAGCTATCTTGAGGAGTTAATGACCAAATGACAACACAATCCTCTCACATGACCTCCAGAGGACACATAAAAGCACACCTCATTCTTTTCAGCCTCCACAGATAAGTTCAAATAGAAATGGAAAAGTACAGATAAGAAATGGCACAGAAAGCATCTAAGCAAAGATTTATTTATTTATTTATTTATTTATTATTTATTTATTTATTTAACTAGTTGCATTTCTATGCCGCCCAACTCCCTAGGGACTCTGGGCGGCTTACAGCAAAAAAACAATGCAAACAATATCCTGTAAAAATTTTTTAAAAGAACATTAAAAACCCATGCACTCCATTCCATGCCTGGGTCTCGCAAGATCGCTGTAGCGAGATCAACAGCCCCAGGCCTCCCGGAAAAGCCAGGTCTTCACCGCTTTCCAGAAGGCCAATGGCGGGGGGGGGTGTTCCGGACCTCAGGAGGTAATTGGTTCCAGAGAGCCGGGGCAGCCACAGAGAAGGCCCTCCCCAGCGGGCCTGCCAACCGACATTATTTAGCTGACAGGACCCAGAGGAGACCAACTCTGTGGGATCTTACCGGTTGATGGGAGCTATGTGGTAGAAGGCGGTCTCGAAGATAGCCTGGCCCTGAGCCATGTAGGGCTTTAAAGGTAACCAACACCTTGAATTGCGTCCAGAGACTGATAGGGAGCCAGTGCAGCTCGCAGAGAATTGGTGTAATGTGGGTGTATCTAGGTGCACCCACAATAGCTCGCGCTGCTGCATTCTGGACCAACTGTAGTCTCCGAACCCTTTTCAAGGGTAGCCCCATGTAGAGCATGTTGCAATAATCCAACCGTGAGGTGACAAGGGCATGAGTGACTGTGAGGAGAGCCTCCTGATCCAAGTAGGGTCGCAATTGGTGCACCAGGCGAACCTGTGGAAAGGTCCCCCTAGCCACAGCTGTCAGATGTTGTTCTAATCTTAGCTGTGAGTCTAGGAGGACACCCAGATTGCGAGCCCATTCTGGGGGGGGACAGTTTCTCCCCCTCCAGGACCAAGGATGGACAATCAACATAGTCTTTAGGAGGCAATACCCACAGCCATTCGGTCTTGTCTGGGTTAAGTCTGAGCCTGTTGACTCCCATCCAGGCCCTCACAGCCTCCAGGCACAGGCACATCACGTCCACTGCCTCACTGAACTGACGGGGGGTGGAGATATACAGCTGGGTATCATCAGCATATTGCTGATATCCCACCCCATATCGTCGGATGATTTCACCCAGCGGTTTCATGTAGATGTTAAATAGGGGAGAGAGGACCGAGCCCTGAGGCACCCCGGAAATGAGGGGCCTAGGGGTCGACCTCTGTCCTCCTACCAACACCGACTGTGACCGACCAGATAGATAGAAGGAGAACCACCGCAACATGGTGCCTCCCACTCCCAACTCCCTTAGTCGTCCCAGAAGAGGACGACTTGACAAAGAGACATTGACTCTTTCCTTTCTTCGAGTACAAGAAAGCCAGATCCTTTCCTTCTCCCTCCCAGAAGATAATATCTGATTAGTGATTTTTTTAACTATAATCTGTATTCTTGAACTCTGATTGGGGACTAGAAAACTCTTACCCAGAGAGATCACGTTCCTATGGTTTTCAAGCATGACTTCCGAATGCAGCACCTTTTGGTCAGAATCCAGCTGAGACCATTCCTCCTCAGAGAAAGACACAGCCACCTCCTCGAAGGACACAAGACTCTCCTGAACACGGAATAAAAAACAGAACAGGAAGATCCACAAGATCTGTTCATCTTCATCAATGATTTAAACAAGAGGATAGAAGGAGAACTCATCAAATTTGCAGACAAGAACTAATTGAAAGGAATAATAACACTCCAGAAGATAAGCTCAAAATATAAAAGGATCTCGACAGATTGGGCCCTATCTAACAAAATGAAATTCAATGGGTGAGAAATGTACCCATTTCATTTAGGAAAGAAAAACCAAATGTACAGGCATAGAACAGGTGATACCTAGCTCAACTGTAGTAAGTGCAACAGGGATCTTGGAGTCCTAGTGGAAATCACTTAAACATCAGCCAGCAGTGTGTTATAGTGGCCAAAAATAGCAACACAATCATATGATGCATTAAGAGAGGAATAGAATTAAGATCACAGGTAGTGTTAGTACCATTTTATAATGCCTTTGTAAGATCACACTGGGAATATTGAATCCAGTTTTGGTTGCCACTATGTAAAAAAGATCTTGAGACTCTAGAAAGAGCACAGAGAAGAGCAACGCAAATTATTAGTGGACTGGAGGCTAAAACATATAAAGAACAATTGCTGGAATTGGGTATGTCTAGTTTAATGAAAATAAGAAATAGGGGTGACATGATAGCAGTGTTGCAAGATCTAAGGGGCTGCCACAAAGAAGAGGAGCCCAACCTATTCTCCAAAACGTGAAGTAGGGCCAAGAAGCAATGGATAGAAACTATTCAAGGAGAGAACCAATCTACAACTAAAGAGAAATTGTTCTCTTCTGACAGGGAGAACCATTAATCAGTGAAATGACTTGCATCCAGAAATTGTGGGTGCTCCAATACTGGAGGTGTTTAAGAAGAAATTGGACAGCCATTTATCAGAAATGTTATAGGGCTTCATGTCTGAGCAGGGGGTTGGACTAGAAGATCTCCAAGATCCCTACCAACTCTTGTTATTCTGCTCCATTGTTCCCAAATTCCCAAAGCAAAGATATGCACCGTGATTCACACAAGTCCTAATTTTAGGTGACAAAATGGGCAAATCTGAAAATGTATTTGACTGAAGAAATATTTGGGACAAGTTTTATCAAGTTGATCGATTCTGCAAAACCTTCAGTGCCTTTCAGTAAAGTAATCCCACTTCTGGATCAACTGATCTCTCGCTCTGTTTATCATTTATTCATCTAGTAGTCTGAGCCATTGGCTGAATGGGAGAAAACAAAGACAATTCTCTGTGAAGATTGTTTCTCAGCCTTTGCAAAGTGGGAATGTTTGATCTAATCCAGGCACAAATGAGAAGATTGGAAACTATTTTGTACCAAGGTACCTTGATTACATGTTCTATTTGGCCACTCTTTGGATTTTAATAGTCTGCTTTCTTTTTTTAATTTACTTGTTTTTTGAACTACTGGTTATAAACAAGGCTTTTTAAAAATGGTAATGTGGCAATGTGAACATTTAGTTATTTTTCATTAGCCTTGTAAATTCCAAATCAAAGAATTACATAAAGAATGGGCCTCTCGCAGTTACTGCCACTGTGATATGTTTATTCCTATTTCTTGAAGGAATTTAAAAAATTACTTCTAGTAAACTCATAGTTGGAAGAGTACCTAGCAGAACAAGTTAACCAGTGGTCTTTAAGAAACATTTCCTAAACAGAACCTGAGGGTAGAAATGACAAACCATCGTGTCCTAGTAATAGTCTACAGAAGAATTTATGCTGATTGAGAGCAACTTGAACCTGCTATTATGCTTTCTATGTCACTCAGGAACACAAAAATAATCCAGTCCAAACAAGGGAGGGAAATAGAAGGAGAGAGCACTCTGCACGTCCACTTCACTTCCTGAAGGAATATAAAACTAATAATGTTTCCCTTTCTTACTTGATTTGGAGGTTCAACCACTGTTTGAGCTCCATCATAAAAACCAGAAAACTTCATTCTTTGTTTCTCTGTAAGGAATAAATAATTTCAAAATGCATCATGAACAAAATATGAGGAGGTATTATATAGAAGACAAGAGATAGCAAAGGTAACACAGATGGGTAACCGAAGGATCTCCAATTACCTCCTGAGGTGTCTCGACTTGGATCTTCCCAAGGGATCCTCCTGAAAAACAGATCCTGAGGGGGATTTGATGGATTCTTCTTTCCCTCAGGATCTCTCTCCACAGTGCGGCGCTTCAAATAGGAGGAAGGAAGCAGAATTAATGTACATCACATGAAATAAAGTAGATTCTTACATTTGGAATTCAACCTCAAAGCCCCTAATATCCATCAGTGAGATTGACTGAGAAAACAATGGAACAATGTTCTACAAGAATTGTCGGACATCTCCACATATTATGAATGCCAGAGAAGTTTGGGAAGGAGGGGTGAAGTATTCAAACAGATTTTCTATTCCCTTTTGAGCTGCCTAGATTAAAGTGTCTCACCTGCAACTGGACCTGCTCTTTCTTCTCCTCCACCTGACTCAGGAGGAAACCTTCTGCCAGGGCCACCGCCTGGGAGCTGGTCTCTGCTCCACACTCCCGCACCCAGCCCTCCATCTCTGGTGGCAGAAGAGCCAGGAGCTGCTCCAGAACAACCAGGTCCAGCATCTGGGCTTTGGTGTGCTCGTCTGGTCTCAGCCATAGCCTACAAAAGTTGTGGAGTCGGCTGCAAAGTCCTCGGGGACCCTCAGCTTCCTTGTATTGGAGGTAACTGAAGTTCCAGTCTTGAATTTTTGAGCGTGTGATGGTTTCCTCCATCATGCATGCGATCCAGGATTGAACTGGGCTGGGCACGTGTCTCTCTCTTTCTCCTCAGCCTCTTTGCATGGGAGGAGCTCCCACCCACCATCAGGTCTGGATCCCTCCCCTGCAAGTCTCCCCTGCAGCTTTTTCAGGGCCTGCAGTGCTCCAAGGGTTAAGGAGAGTGAGAGTTCTAGAGAGGGAAGGCTCAGAGATATCCCTGCCTTCGCAGCCTCCTCTGGAAAGCCAGCCCTCTAGTGGCCCAAAGGAGAAGTGCCTGATGTTCCTTTCTCATATCAGAGGGCGCCCCCTGGTGCAATCTTGAATCATTTGAATCCGAATAGAGCTGGAAGGGTAGAAAGGGAGCTTTTTCAATGGGGGAAAGGAGGAAGGAGGCTGTCCTGTCTCCTCCTTTTCTTGTTTCTTAATGTTTGAAGCTCATCTGAATTGGCTTAAAGGACTTGGCTTAAAGGAGGCCCCATTCTCGTTCTAGAATTATAGAATAGAGCTAGAAGGGAGATCTTCGAGTCTAACCCACTGCTTTACCATTTCAGATAAGTTGCTATCCAGTCTCTCTTAAAAAACCCCAGTGAAGCACCCACAACTTCTGGAGGGAAGCTGTTCTACTAATTAGTTGTCCTCATTGGCAGAAGTTTCTCCTTAATTCCAGGTTGCTTCTCTCCTTGATTTGTTTCCATATCAAATTATTCTCCAACACACCTGAGGGCAAGAAATAAGGTATTTATTTCTTGCCCTCAGGTACATCGGAGAATAATTTGCGACCTTCTTCTTTGTGATAGCCCCTCAAATACTGCAATACTGCTATCATGTCCACCCCAGTCCTTCTTTTCTCTAGAATAGCCAAACCCAAACCGTCAACTGTTCTTCATGTTTTAGTCTCCAAACCTTTTAATCATCCTAGTTGCTCTTCTCTGCACTTTTTCCAAGGTCTTTTTTTGTAATGTTAGGACCAAAACTGGATGCAGTATTCTAGGTGTAGTCTTACTAAGGTTTTGAAAAGTGGTTCTGATACTTCATATGATTTTGATTATATATTTCGGTTTGTATTCTGGACTGTTCTCCATGGCTGTTCTTCTGAAGGATGGTGATAGACTTTTCCCATGGTCAACGCCTGCTGCATTCCCACCAGAGCAGAACAAATACAATAAATGTCCCATGGATTCATTTCTGATTTCTTCGGGCCTGAGAAGATGGCTGGCCGTGAGACAGGGTGGAAGCCAGAAAAAAAGAGAGATTTTGGATGCTTAAAGGCATTGGAGCAGGGGTGGGCTTCTGGGGGTTCAGGCAATCCTCAAGCCAAGGATTGCCAGGGTTCAGCGAACCCCAAAATGCCACCCCTGGCTAGCCACGCCTACGCCCACCCCACCCCTCTCATCCCGCCCCTCACAGGAGTCTCCATGTGGCCTGTTCATCATTCTAGGTAAGTGCAGGGGCCGCACAGAGGGTCTGGGAGGGCAAAAAATGGACCTACCAGAGGTTCCGGAAGTCCGGAAACAGATTCGGGTTTTCCCAGGTGTGCCAATATCTCTTTATCTCTAATAAAATGGAACTTTGAGGAATTGCTAGCCTCTGAGTTTTCTCTCGTTGGGGTTGTTACTTGGAACTTTGACAGCATGGCCCCAATGCTTGAAAAATCTTTTGCTCCTGCGTTTCAGGGGCTTTCGGTCATTTTGCCTCCTTTTGTGAGAAAGGAAATTTTCATCCTGAAACTCTTTGCACACTTTTTAAAAGAATTTTCTGATTGGTTAGAAAGCAACATGAGCCGCACACTTGGGACAATGCAACCAATTACTTGGTTATCAATAAGCCAGTAACTAATTCTACCTCATTATCACATAAGTTGATAACTACCACCTCAGGGTGTTTTTACTGTGCTAATGATAAACTTTACCTCCAGGCCTCTAACCGCTGCTTAAGCTATCAGGTCACCTTCCTTGATTTCAGCAAGGGCTACTTTGCGAGGTTTCTTAGACACCTGTGCTCAATCATTGCAGTTAACCCTTGTAGCTTGTGCAGAAAGGTGCTAAAGAGATGTTACTTCAAGCAGGCAAAGGCACAACGAATAATTTTGGCTGAAATTAATTCAAAGCTTACGAAATCCTCTAATATTTATTCATAAGCTAACAAATCCTCAAACTGAAAGGGTGTCATAGCTTTGAAGTAAAAACTAGGCAAATTTCTACTCATCCTAAAACCACTTGCAGAGGGAAACGGCTCTAGTGCTAGGATGTTAGTCAACCAGCAGCAAGCTGGAGGAACATGATAAGTACCATGGTGACAAGTGCATCATTGGCATTGCTAAAGGAACAGCTGAGGCACAGTTCCTCCCGAAGGAAATCTGTCTATCTACTTGCAAAACGTTGATTGCAAACCTCGCAAACGAGATGTCTCTCACACATCTTTAGAGTGCTTATCCTAACTACATTGTGAAGGTTTGCCCCCCCCTTTTTTTTATCTTCCCTAGATCATTACACACATACAAGAAATGCAAGAGTTAACCAAGAGAGTCTATATGGATTACCACCCAAATATCAGAAAGCTCAAACTGCCCAAGGAACTGCTGATCCAGTTCTACAGAGGAATTATTGGGTCCGTCATCTGCATCTCTATAACTGTCTGGTTTGGTTCTGCAATCCAACAAGACAGACAGAGACTTCAGAGGATAATTAGAACTGCATAAAAAACAATTGCTACCAACCTGCCTTCCATTGAGGACCTGTATACTGCACGAGTCAAAAAGAGGGCTGTGAAAGTATTTACAGACCCCTCGCATCCTGGACATAAACTATTTCAACTCCTACCCTTAAAATGACGCTATAGAGCACTGCACACCAGAACAACTAGACACAAGAACATTTTTTTCCGGAACGCCATCACTCTGCTAAACAAATAATTCCTTCAACACTGTCAAACTATTTACTAAGTCTGCACTACTATTAATATTCTCATCGTTCCCACCACCCATCTCCTTCCACTTATGACTGTACGACTGTAATTTTGTTACTTGTATCCTTACGATTTATATTGATAGTTTCCTGATTGCTTATTTGTACCCTATGACTATCATTAAGTGTTGTACCTTATGATTCTTGATGAACATATCTTTTCTTTTATGTACACTGAGAGCATATGCATGAAGACAAATTCCTTGTGTGTCCAATCACATTTGGCCAATCAAGAATTCTATTCTATTCTATATGTTTATTGAAAAATTAGGTCATTACTTTTCCTGAAGCTCTTTCCGAGTTACTCATATAATTTCATCTGCCCCCTGTCAAGATTGGCCAAAATGTTTAGCAATATGTTCCTAAACTGTTGGAAATGTAAACAAATACCTGGCACATATTACCACATGCTGGACTTGTATAAAGGCAAGGAAATTTTGGATACAAATTCATGTGGTTAGAAAAAGTGACCAGACAATATATAGAGTTTAAGCCAGAATTATTTTTATTAGGCATTATATCAGATGGTTATGATAGAGGCAACATAACTAATATTACACATTTTGACCGCAGCAAGAATTGTGTATGTGCAGCAGTGAAAGAGGGAAAACACCCCTTCAGAGGGGACAATAAGGAAGATACAGACTAATGCTAAAACTAAAAGATAAAGGAGATACAGAATACTATGCTACATGAAATAGATTCTATCAATGGTTAGAGGTAGAAGTTGGAATGAGAAATAATCAGGTTAGGTGGACATAGAAAGAGATACTATGTATTATTAGAATGTAGCTATTAGAATGATAGATAAGTTGACATTCTAGAATATGATGGTCAAAAACAATCATACAACACTAGCACTGTTTAAAATACTATATATGGTATTTTGTTTTTACCTTTTGTTTCATGGCAAGTAGAATGCCAGGACAATTACACTGTATTCAATATATCTATATGTAAACAATAAAAATATATTTAAAAGCTACAAAAATAAAAAAAATAAAAAATTAGGTCATTACTTTTCCTGAAGCTCTTTCCAAGTTACTCATATAATTTCTGTCTTGTATAGATCCTTTTATGATATGTAAGGGAACTACTATGACTGGAGCTCTTCCCACACTCCATACATTTTTATACCTTCTCCCATGTGGATCCTTGGATGAGAACTAAGATGACTGGTCTGAGTAAAGGTCTTTCCAAACTCCATGCTTTTATAAATATTTCTATTGGGACGCTGGCATTTGGGGGGGCGGGGGGGATTGGAGAGATTGCTATATGGAGTTTCTCTTTCTGTTTCCAGCATTGCTGTACTGTGGGAGGGGTTTTCCACTGCTTTAAATTGCTGTTTTTAAGTGGGAAGATTTAGTTCCTGCCGAGATCTCTATCACAAGCCTTTCAATAAAAGCTCATTTTGGAATAACTTCAGTTTCAAGAGCCCTGCTTTCTTGGAAAGTTTAGAGAGGCAAGACCTTACAAATTTATATGACATGTCCCGTGTGAATCCTTTTATGAGAAATAAGACAATCACTCCGACTAAAGCTCTTTCCACACTCCAGGCATTTATAGGGTTTCTCCCCTGTGTGGATTCTTTTATGAGAAATAAGACAATCATTCCGACTGAAGCTCTTTCCACACTCCAGGCATTTATATGGCTTCTCCCCTGTGTGGATCCTGTTATGAGAAGTAAGACAATCACTCCGACGGAAGCTCTTTCCACACTCCATGCATTTATATGGCTTCTCTCCTGTGTGGATCCTTTTATGGGAAATAAGACCACCGGTCTGAGCAAAGGTCTTTCCACACTCCATGCATTTATAGGGCTTCTCCCCTGTGTGGATCCTTTTATGGATCGCAAGTTTATTCCTGTGAGCAAAGGCTTTCCCACACTCCATGCATTTATATGGCCTCTCCCCTGTGTGGATCCTTTTATGCATGGTAAGATCACAATTTCTCCTAAAGCCCTTTCCGCATTGCACACATTTGAATACCTTCTGCTTTGTGTTGATCATTTCATGGAGTACAAGGGAACATATTGTACTGAACCAGTTTCCATAGTCCTTGCAACTATGTGGATTATCCTCTGCATGGCTTCTATTATGTTTAGTAAGTTGAATTCTATGAGCAAAGGTCTTTCCACACTCCATGCGTTTCTGTGGTTTCTCCCCTTTGTGGATCTTTTTATGATAAAGAAGACCACCATTTGACATAAAATCTTTTCCACATTCCATGCATTCATATAGTTTCTTCATTGTGTCAAACATTTTATGTAAAGTAAGATCATGAAAGTTATTTCCACAATTCATGCATGTATTTGGCTTCTGTCCTGTATGGATCGTTTCAGGGAAAGTAAATTGACTGCCTGTTCTGAAGCTTTTTCCACATTCCACACATTCATTAGGTTTCTCTTCTCTCTGGATCCCTTGTTGAGATATAAGGGACCAATTTCCAAGAGAAGGGGGGAAAGTCCCATTGTAATTTTTTCCATTGTGTTTGCTAATAGCATCTTGTTTGTTTTGGTTTGGAAAGTGTTCATTTAGATGTAAGTTAGCTTTGATTAGTTTCACACTTTTCCAAATATATTTCTTTATATTCCTTTCTTGGGCAAAAAACTCTTGCACTGAAGCATCAATAGAAGATGAGCTTTCCTGATTCCAGTTATTTAACTGGTTTCTTTCATGTCTTTCTATTTCCTTTTGAATTGCAGACTTCTCCGTTCCATCTCCAGCATTGATCACTTGGAACATTTCAAAGGAATCTTGATTCTCCTGCACATTATTACCTTCAAAGGTAAAGAAAAATCGTTGCTGAAAAACATCAAACTGTAGGAAATCTTAATTCTTTATTTTTATGAATTTCCAATATACAGTATTACCAGTTGCCATGCTTTCAATGACATGGTATAGAAATTACAATTTCCATGTTCATAAACTGTAGAAGCTTTGGAAATATCTAGAAAGTATCTCTACAATTATCCCTATGTATTCAAATCTCATCCAGACTTAGCTCTCACTTAAGCAATAATCAGAGGAAACATCCAGGGAGATATTAGGAGATAGCCTAACATTTATTAGAGTCAGTTAATTTCAGCAGAGACCTGTGAAGAGCGAAAACAATTTTGAAAAAGGTCCTTGTTTTTTCTCTCCAAACTGCCTTCTCTTTACTATTCATTTTCTCTTGCCAAAATCACATAGCTGCAGAGAACAAACTCAGGAGTACTTCTATTCACTCTCCACACTAGTTAGGAATAGCAAACTCTTACCCAGAGAGGCCACGTTCCTATGATTTTCCACCATGACTTCCCAATGCAGCTCTTTTTGGTCAGGACCTAGCTGAGACCACTCCTCCTCAGAGAAATGCACAGCCACCTCCTCGAAGGTCACAAGACCCTCCTGAACAAGGAAAAACAGAACAGTTCCATTGTTCATAAATTCCCAAAGTACAACTATTTGCTAAATTAAATAGCTATGCTTGATATGATTCCAGGGTTTAAGGGAGACGGGAGAAGACAAAACAGAAAGTTGTGTTTATTCCTTCATTCCTATTTCTTGAAGAGATTTTTTTAAAAATTACTTCTTATAAACTAATAGTACGAAGATACCCAGCAGAGCAAGTTAACTAATGGTCTTTTAAAAAACATTTCCTAAACAGAATCTGAGGGTAGAAATGACAAAACATTGTGTCCCAACAACAATCTTCAGAGGAAATTAACCTGCTGAAAGCAACTTTCCACATTGCTCAGAACAAGGGGGGAGGGGTAAGGGAGAATAGAAGAATGGAGTGCACTGTACACCAACTTGACTTCCTGAAGGCAAGAGACAATACAAATCTAGCGTATGTTCCCCACTTACTTGATTTGGAGGCTCAACCACTGTTTCAGTTCCACCATAAAGACCAGAAAACCTCATTCTATGTTTTCCTGTGAGGAAGACATGCATGATTAATAATAAATTAGGACATATTCTACAGAAGAGAAGACATAGACAAGGTAAGGTAGCTGGGATCTCTCTGGGGAAGCAAGGGACCTTCGCTTACCTCCCAAGATGTCCTGACTTGATTCTTCCTGAGATATCGTCGTGAAAAACAGATCATCAGGGGGATTCCTCCTTCCTTCAGGATCTCTGATCTCCACAGTAAAGGGCTTGAAATAGGAGGAAGGAGAAAAGAATAATAATTTATGGACATCACACAACATGGATTCTTGTTCTCCAAACACAACCTCAAAGCACCCAGTATTCATCAAGGAGCTGAGAGAGGAATGAATGGAACTATGTCCTACAAGAATTAGTGAAACACCGCCATGTGATATCAATGCCAGAAGCGTCTGGAAGGGAAGGGGTGAAGAATTCAAACTCTATTCCCTTCAAAGCCCTTCTAGAGTCCGGAGACAAAGGTCTCTCACCGCCAACTCAACCTTCTCTTTCTGCTCCTCCACCTGGCTCAGGAGGAAGCCTTCTGCCAGTGCCACCGCCTGGGAGCTGGTCTCTGCTCCACACTCCCGCACCCAGCTCTCCATCTCTGGGGGCACGATAGCCAAGAGCTGCTCCAGAACCACCAGGTCCAGCATCTGGGCTTTGGTGTGCTTTTCGGGTCTCAGCCATCGTCTGCAAAAGTTGTGGAGTCGGCTGCAAAGTTCTCGGGGACCCTCAGCCTCCTGGTATTGGAGGCTCCTGAAGTTGCAGGGCTTCTGAACTTCTGAATGGAGGATGGTTTCCTCCTCCAGGATCTTCTCTCTGTTTTTTGTCCAGATCTCCCCACAGCTCCCAGGCCGAAAAGCACAAGGGTCTTTTGGAGTGGTTTCACTTGCTAAAAGTCGTGTCTCCATTTTATCTCTGGTCTGCAAGACAAATCCAAGACAAGTCCCAGGAATCCTGTGGATCAACAACCGCTTTTCATTCATAGGACGGTTTCCGTTGTTACAGGACTGACCACAGCAGGTTATTCTGTTCTCTTTGCCCAAGAGATAATTTTGGCTCCCAAAAACTACAAATGGCTTCGAGTTTGTGTATCTGAGACAGAAAAGAAAATAAATTCCTAGAATTAGAAAGTGGTGAACTGAACCACTGAACAACATTCATGTAACATGCCCAGAGCCCCAAGCGGGTCATCCCAGTGCAGGGTCGAGGTCCCCCAGAGCAGGACCGGGAAGGAGGCAGCTGGAGAGGTCGCCCTGCTTCTCTCCCCTCCGGGGACAGGATGGGGCCCTCGGGGAGCCTGGTGCGAATCCTGCCTCCACCTCGCCCGGCTTCTCTCCTCTCCTGCTGTTCCTCCGCAAGGCCCACCCTCCCCTCCCCCCACTCGGCTCTTCCCCGGACATGGGTAAGGAAAGGGATCCCCGCTTCCCCCTGCACGGAGAGGGCGGCTGGGGAACATGGGAGCAGGGGTGGAAGCCGGAGGAGGGCCGGGCGCGGGTCTCTCCTTCCTCCGCCTCCTTTTGCACAGGAAGAGCCCCCACCTCACCCGGGGCACGTCTGGATCTCCCCCCGCCAGACTCCCCCGCAGCCTCCCCGCCTCCTGCGGAGCCCTAGGGGTTAAGGGCAGCGAGTATGGCCTCCTAGAGCGGCAAGCGTTTGTGACGTCACTCTCTCCTCAGAGTGCTCGGAAAAGCCAGCTATGACGTTCACCTTCCAGTGGCCCAATGGGGAAGCGCCTGGCGTTACTTTCTCTTGACCGAGGGCGACCCCTAATGGATTTTGACTAACATTACAGGATTCCCTTGTAAAGGCGGGAAAAAGTCTGAGAGAAGCACAAAATAAATGGGGCTTCTCCAAACAGCAGCCAATAGGATTGGGGGGGGGTTGATTGGGGGTGCTTTTTTCCCGCCTCTGAAAGGTTTCCCTGCTATTCCTTTTCCAAGAATTCCCCTTTCTTTCCCGCTGATTTCCCCACCATCTTCTGAGGTAAACTTTACCTCAGACTTCCATGTCTCTGAACCTTTCCTGCCTAAGGAGTCTGCTTTGCATCTTGTGTGCTGAGCCTGTGCAGCGTCACAAAGGAGGGCCTGGCCAAGGGCGCCTTTAAGATGTTTTATCATCTATCCACCCATCCATCTCTACTCATTTATTTGTCTATTATTATCTATCATTATCTATCTACTCTCTCCCTCTGTGTCAGATCCCTATAGTGATATTCCTGGGGTGGGGGGTGGGGGGTGGATCACTTAATTCACTTAATTACCCTTTCTGTCATCTGCACCTCGATAACTGTCTGGCTCTGCAACCCAACAAGACAGACACAGACTTCAGAGGATAATTAGAACTGCAGAAAAAACCATGGCTACCAACCTACCTCCCATTGAGGACCTGTATACTGCACGAGTCAAAAAGAGGGCTGTGAAAATATTTACCCCTCACATCCTGGACATCAACTGTTTCAACTCCTACCCTCAAAACGACGCTACGGAGCACTGCACCCCAGAACAACTAGACACAAGAGCAGTTTTTTCCCCAAACGCCATCACTCTGCTAAACAAATAATTCCCTCAACACTGTCAAACTATTTACTAAGTTTGCACTACTATTAATATTCTCATCGTTCCCACCACCCATCTCCTTCCACTTATGACTGTACGACTGTAATTTTGTTACTTGTATCCTTACGATTTATATTGATATTGTTTCCTGATTGCTTATTTGTTCCCTATGACTATCATTAAGTGTTGTACCTTACGATTCTTGATGAAAGTATCTTTTATTTTATGTACACTGAGAGCCTATGCACCAAGACAAATTCCTTGTGTGTCCAATCACACTTAGCCAATAAAGAATTCTATTCTATTCTATTCTATTCTATTCTATTCTATTCTATTCTATTCTATTCTATTCTATTCTATTCTATTCTATTCTATTCTATTCTATTCTATTCTATTCCTGTTTTCCTACAACCCCTTAGTTCAGTGATGGCTAACCTTTTTGCCATCACGTGCCAGGAGGGGGGCCTGGGGAGTTGCGGGTGTGTGTGCCCATACCCATAATTCTATGCGCCTTGACCCCGTGCATGTGACCCCCCCACACTTCTCCCGCTCCTGGCACGCAATGGCCCAGTAGGCCCGTTTTTCTTTCTCACCTGGCTCCAGGGCCTCTCTAGAAGTCTGGGGAAGTCGAAAACAGCCTTCCCCACCCTGCCGGAGGTCCTCCAGAGGCTGAAAACCGCTCATTTCCCTATTTCTGGTGGGCCCAGAAGACCCAAAAATCAGCTGGCGGAGCTGAGCTCGCGTGCCCACTGATATGGCTACGCGTGCCACCTGTGGCACAAACTAAGCACAAACTAGGCACAAACTAAGGCCGTGAAGGCGAACCTATGGCACGTGTGCCACCTGTGGCACACGTGCCATAGGTTCGCCTTCACGGCCTTAGTTTGTAACTCTAGCTCTGACACCTATCTGCCCTGTGCTTTGATTTACCTTTGGGAAATTTACCTTTGGGAAATGTGTAAAGGAGGAGAGCCATCTGTTTTTTCTCAGTTCTGAAGCCTAGGGAGAGAAGTGCCTGGGAAGAGTCCCTTATCTCCTTCCCAGGATGACCGTCTTCACATCTTCACACCTGTGGATTGACTCATTCAGCATGATTGAGGGGAAGGGTTTCTAATTCCTTTATCCTAACAGACTTGCCTAAGGGGACCTTAGAGCCTGCTTTGCTTTTGTCTTGCAATCACTTCCTTTCAATAAATTACTTGGTCTGTTGTGTGGATGTTTGGGTGATTCAGGGGCGGGGAATTGTGGTTTTGGGGGAGTGTTTGAGGATTGTTATGTGTGTTGGGCCTGATCTTTGGATGTTAAGTGAATTTCATTGTATGGTATACTGTGTATATATGTACAATGACAATAACTTAAAAGGTTCCTTTTGAAATGCTACTGTTTCAAGAGTCCGTACTTTCTTGATTTGGGGAGTAGAGGCAGAACCTTACACTCTACATGTATTTACCTATCTATGTATCATCTATCTCTAGCCATGTATTTGTTGATCTATCGGTATTTATATATGCATCATCTATCCCTATCTAGGTATTTGTCTGTCTTGTCTATCTATTGATCTATCTAGCTATCATCTCTACCAATCTATCATCTATCAGTCTACCTATTGTCTATCTATCATCTAATATCTACCCATATTTGTCTATGTATCATTATTATCTATATCTACGTAACTATCCGTCCTATGTAATCTATCTCTATCATCTGTATCTATCAATCTGTCTCTATATCATCTCTCTCTCTCTCTCTCTCTCTCTCTCTCTCTCTCTCTCTCTCTCTCTCTCTCTCTCTCTCTCACACACACACACACACACACACACACACACACACTTTAGAAACTGCCCATCTCCCTCAGCAATGGACTCTGGGTGGTGTTCAGACAAAATGTTAAAAACATAAAAATTAAAACATATTTAAAATAGAGGCAAGGATCATTAAAATTTGACAATTAACAATTAAAATGTAGGCAAGGGCCTTTGGAGCCCTAACCAATCTCATGGCTATGCACTCCTCTAAAAGCCCCAAGCAAAATAGCAGAATACCACTTGTGAGGGTTTGGCCCTTTTTTTTAAAACCTTCCCTAGATCATTACGTACATATAGGAAATGCAAAGTTAACCAAGAAAGTGTATATGGCAGTGGTTCTCAACCTTCCTAATGCCGTGACCCTTTAATACAGTTCCTCATGTTGTGGTGACCCCCAACCAAGGGTGGGTTCTAAATTTTTTTACTACAGGTTCTGTGGGCGTGGCTTATTTTGTGGGTGTGGCTTGGAGGTCATGTGACTGGGTGGGCGTGGCTAGCTGGTCATGTGACCGGGTGGCCATGGCTATATGTATAGGGACTACTCAGAGGGCTGAAAAAAGTCATTTCTGACAGGTCCTCGCACTTTTGACTGGTCCTCACACTTATGACCATCCTCACATTTATGCCTGTGCAGCATTCTTAACAACCATGTCACTCATTTCACAACTGCTTCTCTTCAACATGGTATAAGATAGGGCAAAAACCGTAAAATGTGAGGACAGTCGTAAATTCGAGGACTGGTCAAAAGTGCGAGGACCAGTCAAAAATAACTTTTTCAGCCCTCTGAGTAGTCCATGTGCACAAAAGGACTACCCAGAGGGCTGAAAAAAGTGATTTCTGACAGGTCCTCGCACTTTTGACCGGTCTTCGCAGTTATGACTGGTCATCATTTATGCCCGTGCAGCATTCTTAACAACCGTGTCACTCATTTCACAACTGCTTCTCTTCACCATGGTGACAAGATAGCGCAAATACGTAAATTGTGAGGACAGTCGTAAGTTCGAGGACTGGTCAAAAGTGCGAGGACCAGTCAAAAATAACTTTTTTAGCCCTCTGAGTAGTCCATATGCATAAAAGGATACAGCAATAGAGAGGGATGAAGGAAGGGAAGGGAAATTAGAGTAGGAGTGAAGGTAAGAGAGGGAGGAAGAGAGGAGGAGAAAGAGAAAGAAAGAGGAAGTAGGGAGAAGAAGAAGAGGGGGGGGAGAGAAAGTAAGTAAGAAAGAAAAGACAGAGGTGGTAGGTTTGAGGAGAAAGATTGCTGTACAATAAAAAAGATGAAAGGGAAGAAAGCCAACCCCAAACAAATATAAAGATATTAAGATAAAGAATGAATTGTTAAACTTTAAAGAATAAAAGAGAACAAATAGCAATAATTAGCAATAATTAGAAACACACATACAAACATACAACGTATTTTCTTTGAACAGAGTATTTGGCCGGTTCACAAATTTAAACAGTTGTAGGAGGTTAGCACCACCCCTTTCCTAGAAGAATGAAATATTTTGGGAAATATTAAAAAGGCAGAATATTATATTTCCCTACCTGGATGAGAAATGGAGAAGCATATTTTACAGACAAAGCAGCTCCCACCTTCCTGCCCCCCACCCTTTGTTAATGGGCCAGAGGCAGAAAGTCAATCCTTTGTCAAAGGACATTTGCAACACAATAGCAACAGAAACTAACACAATGGGCCCCATCAAGCCATGTGATCCTGTCCACCATTAAATCATCTTTCCAAGCAGTCTCCATGTTTCCAGTGTCTTTTTTCCCACTTGGAGCAGAACCCAGAAGGATATTTCTTCCAACACGGTATTTAGTCATTTCAATTAAATTTACAATTTCTATATTTCCTTTTTACCATATTTATTCCTCATCTATTTTTTTAAAAAAACAATATTACCCTTCATCCTCATCTCTAATCTTAATCAAATTCAATTTTTCCCTTCTATTCTATATTATACCCCTTCCCATTGTCATCTATTTTTATATCCATCCTCACATTGGTTAATTATGTAATACAGTTGTTTAATACAAATTCAACATTTTAATATAAATCAATTAGTTATATAACTATCTTTTTTGTATATTAATCAATATGAACATGAATATTCCAATTATTTCCATGCAATCCAATTTCTTACAAATCAATTAATTATATTTACCAATAATAATAAACCAAATAATTTCCCCCATATATTCCTCCAAACCACAACTTAACCAATTAATAGTATCTCAATTATTACAATTCCCTAGTTAAATAGAGCTTTTTTTCTTTTGTGTTTTAAAATCTTGGAACTCTCCTCTTTTGCCCTAAATTTCCCATTGTTTGCAGTTTTGCACCTACCTTTTTTTGTGAGGAAAAAGAAAAAGAAATCTCTCTGCCTCATTTTGTCACGTTGCAGCCTGCTTACTTTCAATTTCGCGTTTTCAGCATAGCTAGAGGGAAAAAAATCTGCTCCAGGAATTTACCTCTTTGCAGCTAGCTCTTTGAAGCCCTGCGGCAAGAATTTAAAGTTTTTTTCCCTCTAGCCATCAGCTGGGACTCCGGAGGCAGCAATAGATTGGAAGTGGGCGGGGTAAGCGAACGGGGCGATCCAACAGAGGCAGAGGGTGAGGGTGAGTGAAGGCGTGGGGAGGGGGGCGAGAGAGGGCTTTGGCGACCCCTGTGAAATGGCCGTTCGACCCCCAAAGGGGTCGCGACCCCCAGGTTGAGAACCGCTGGTATATGGATTCTCACCCAAATATATGTTTATTGAAAAATTAGGTCATTTCCTGAAGCTCTTTCCAAGTTACTCATATAATTTCTGCTTTCTAGAGATCCTTTTGTGAAATAGAAGGGAACTATTATGACTGAAGCCCTTTCCACACGCTATACATTTTTACACCTTCTCCCATGTGGATCCTTGTGTGGGAAGTAAGATGGCTGGTTTGATTAAAAGTCTTTCCAAACTCCATGCTTTTATAAGGCTTTTCTACTGTGTGGATCCTTTTATGTAACACGAGTGATCAATTTTTGCAGGAACCCTTTCCACATTCCATGAATTTATACGGCATGTCCCTTGTTCCTTTTATGAGAAGTAAGACAATCACTCCGACTGAAGCTCTTTCCACACTCCATACATTTATATGGCTTCTCCCCTGTGTGGATCCTTCTATGGGAAATAAGACCACCGGACTGAGCAAAGGTCTTCCCACACTCTGCGCATTTATATGGCTTCTCCCCTGTGTGGATCCTTTTATGGATGGTAAGATCACAATTCCTCCGAAAGCCCTTTCCACATTGCACACATATAAAAGCCTTATGCCTTGTGTGGATCATTTCATGCTGTATAAGGGAACATCTTGTTTTGAGCCATTTTCCACATTCCTTGCAACTGTATGGCTTTTCCCCTGTGTGGATCCTTTTATGGGAAACAAGACTACTGCTATGAGCAAAGTTCTTTCCACACTCTGTGCATTTATATGGCTTCTCCCCTGTGTGGACCCTATTATGGGAAATAAGACTACTGCTATAAGCAAAGTTCTTTCCACACTCCATGCATTTGTATGGCTTCTCCCCAGTGTGGATTCTATTATGTTTAGTAAGTTGACTTCTATGAGCAAAGGTTTTTCCACACTCCATGCATTTATAGGACTTCTCTGTGTGGATCTTATGATGGTAAGTGAGAAAATTCTTCGCAGCGAAAGTCTGTCCACACTCCATGCATTTATATGGTTTCTCCCCTGTGTGGATCTTTTTATGGATCGCAAATTTACTCCTGTGAGCAAAGGCTTTCCCACACTCCATGCATTTATATGGCTTCTCCCCTGTGTGGATCTTTTCATGGAGAATAAGGGAACATTTTCTTCTGAGCCACGTTCCACATTCCTTGGAACTATGTGGCTTCTCCCCTGTGTGGCTATTATTATGATTAATAAGTTGACTTCTATAAGTAAAGGTCTTTCCACACTCCGTGCATTTATATGGTTTCTCTCCAGTGTGGATCCTGTTATGGGAAGTAAGACTGTTGCCTTGACCAAAGGTCTTTCCACATTCCATGCACTTATATGGCTTCTCCCCTGTGTGGATCCTTCTATGGGAAATAAGACCACTGTTCTGAGCAAAGGTCTTCCCACAATCCGTGCATTTATATGGCTTCTCCCCTGTGTGGATCCTTTTATGGATGGTAAGATCACAATTCCTCCGAAAGCCCTTTCCACATTGCACACATATAAATGCCTTCTGCCTTGTGTGGATCATTTCATGGTGTATAAGGGAACATCTCGTTTTGAGCTTTTTTCCACATTCCTTGCAACTATATGGCTTTTCCCCTGTGTGGATCCTTTTATGGGAAACAAAACTACTTCTATGAGCAAAGTTCTTTCCACACTCTGTGCATTTATATGGCTTCTCCCCTGTGTGGATCCTTTTATGGATCACAAGTTGACTCCTGTGAGTAAAGTTCTTTCCACAATCCATGCATTTATGTGGTTTCTCCCCTTTGTGGATCTTTTTATGGTAAAAAAGACCACCATTCGACCTAAAGCTCTTTCCACATTCCATGCATTTATATGTTTTCTTCCTTGTGTGAGTCATTTTATGTACAGTAAAGTCACAATTGGTATGAAAGCTATTTCCACATTTCATATATTTAGATAGCTTCTGTCCTGTTTGGGACATTTTATGGAAAGAAAGTTGATTGCTTGTTCTGAAGCTTTTTCCACATTCCACAGATTCATTAGGTTTCTCTTCTACGTGGATTCCTTGTTGAGATATAAGGGACTTATTTCCAAGAGAAAAGGCGAAAGTCCCATTGTAATTTTTTCCATTGGTTCTTCTTACAGGGTCTTGTTTGTTTTGGATTGGAAAATGTTCGTTTACATGTAATTTAGGTTTGATTACTTTCACACTTTTCCCAATATTTTTTTTTATTTTCCCTTGCTGGGCAAGAAAGTCTTGCATCGAAGCATCAATAGAAGATGAGTTTTCCTGATTCCAGTTATTTAACTGGTTTCTTTCATGTCTTTCTACTTCCTTTTGAATTGCAGACTTCTCCGTTCCATCTCCAGTATTGATCACTTGGAACAGTTCAAAGGAATCTTGATTCTCCTGCCCATTATTACCTTCAACGGAAAAGAAAAATGGCTAGTGAAGAACATCAAAGTGTAGGAAGTCATATGAATCTTCATCTTAATTTTTGCAAAATTCCAATATATTGCACATTTGCATGCTTTCAATGGTATAGAAATTACAATTTCTATATTCATAAACTGTAGAAGCTTTGGAAATATCTAGAAAATATCTCTTTCTCTACAATTATCCATACGTATTCAAATCTCATCCAGACTTAGCTCTCACTTAAGCAATAACAAGAGGAAACATCCAGGGAGGTATTAGGAGATAGCCTAACATTAGAGTCGGTTAATTTCAGCAGAGACTTGTGAGAGCTAAAACAATTTTGAAACAAGTCCTTGTTTTTTCTATCCAAACTGCCTTCTCTTTAATATTCATTTTCTCTTGCCAAAAATCACATAGCTGCAGAGGAAAAACTTAGGAATACTTCTATTCACTCTCAACACTAGAGTTAGGAATAGCAAACTCTTACCCAGAGAGGCCACGTTCCTATGATTTTCCACCATGACTTCCCAATGCAGCTCTTTTTGGTCAGGACCCAGCTGAGACCACTCCTCCTCAGAGAAATGCACAGCCACCTCCTCGAAGGTCACAAGACCCTCCTGAACAAGGAAAAACAAGGTTTAGGAGTGACGGGAGAAGATAAAACAGAGAAAATTCTCCAGGAAGGACATTCCTCAGCCTTTCAAGAGTTGGATTGTTTGGTATCCAAATCCTGGCACAAATCAGACGATCAGAAATTACTTCGTAGGCCAAGATTGCCTTGATTATATGCTCCTTCAAGACCATTTTTTACTTAGAGACTTTTCCATCTGGCCCCTGTCTTTGGATTTCACTAGTCTGCTTAATCTTTTAATCTGATGAACGTATTTTTCAATCAGTTGTTACAAACAAGACTTTTTAAAAATAGTAATGTCACAGTGTGACTATTTAATTATTTTTTTATTAGCCGTGTACAATTCCATGTCAAAGAATAATAAAAAGCAGGGGTCTGTTTAGCAATTGCTGTCACTGTGGTGCGTTTATTCCTTCGTTCCTATTTTTTGAAGGATTTGTTTAAAAATTACTTTTTATAAACTAATAGTAGGAAGAGTACTCAGCAGAGCAAGTTAACTAGTGGTCTTTATAAAAACATTTCCTAAACAGAATCTGAGGGCAGAAATGATAAACCATTGTGTCCCAACAAGAGTATTCAGAGGAAACTAACCTGCTGAAAGCAACTTGAACCTGCTATTCTCCTTTCCACATTGCTCAGAAACAGGAAAATAACACAGTCCGAACCGGGGGGGGAGGGGGGGCGGCAGGAATAGAAGAATGGAGTGCACTGTACACCAACTTTTTTGACTTCCTGAAGGCAAGAGACAATACAAATCTAGCTTATGTTCCCCACTTACTTGATTTGGAGGCTCAACCACTGTTTCAGCTCCAGCATAAAGACCAGAAAACTTCATTCTATGTTTCCCTGTGAGGAAGACATGCATGATTAATAATAAATTAGGACATATTCTACAGAAGAGAAGACATAGACAAGGTAAGGTAACTGGGATCTCTCTGGGGAATCAAACATCTTCAGTTACCTCCCAAGGTGTCCTGACTTGACTCTTCGTGAGATACACTCCTGAAAAACAGATCCTCAGGGAATTTTGATGGATTCCTCTTTCCTTCAGGATCTCTGATCTCCACAGTGAAGGACTTGAAATAGGAGGAAGGAGAAAAGAAGAATAATTTATGGACATCACCCAACATGGAATGGATTCTTGTTCTCTGAACACAACATCAAAGCGCCCAATATCCATCGAGGAGTTGAGCGAAAAATGGAACAATGTCCTACAAGAATTACTGAAACACCTCCATGTAGTATGAATGCCAGAGGAATCTGTAAGGGAGGGGGTGAAGAATTCAAACTCTTTATTCCCTTCAAAGCCCTTCTAGAGTCCGGAAACAAAGGTCTCTCACCTGCAACTTGATCTGCTCCTTCTGCTGCTCCACCTGGCTCAAGAGGAAGCCTTCCGCCAGGGCCACCACCTGAGAGCTGGTTTCTGCTCCACACTCCCGAACCCAGCTCTCCATTTCTGGGGGCAGAAGGGCCAGGAGCTGCTCCAGAACCACCTGGTCCAGCATCTGGGCTTTGGTGTGCTTTTCTGGTTTCAGCCATCGCCTACAAATGTTGTGGAGTTGGCTGCAAAGTACTTGGGGACCCTCAGCCTCGTATTGGAGGCTCCTGAAATTGCAGGGCTGAACTTCTGAATGGAGGATGGTTTCCTCCTCCAGGATCTTCTCCCTGTTTTTTGTCCAGATCCCCCCACAGCTCCCAGGCTGAACAGCAGAAGGACCTTTTCCAGTCGCTTCACTTGCTAAAAGTTGTGTCTCCATTCTGTCTCTGGTCTGCAAGGCAACTTCAAACGGGTCCCAGGAATCTTGTGGACCTCGAAGTGCTTTTCATTCATAGGATGCTTTCTGTTGTTGCAGGACTGACCACCGCAGGTTATTCTGCCCGGATTGACCCAGGAGGGTCCTGTCTCCCTTTGCACAGGAAGAGACACACACCCCCACTCAGGGCGCGTCTGGATCTCCACCATTACCACCAGACTCTCCCGCAGTCTCTCTGCCTTCTTCGGAGCCACAAGGGTTAATGGAAGCAAGTGCAAGTTCCTAGAGTGGTAAGCATTTGTGATGTCATGCTTCCTCTGAAAAGCCAATTGTGACCCTCTAGTGGCCCAATGGGGAATCCCCCTGGAGGATTCGGTGCGCAACATCAGCACACCTTGCAAGGGTGGGATAGACACTCAGGCGAAGGGAAGCAAAGGGTTTCAAAGGCGGGAGCAGAGATGGGTTTCAGCAGGTTCTGACTAGTTCTGGAGAACCAGTAGCGGAAATTTTGAGTATGTCGGAGAACCAGTAGTAAAAATTCTGACAAGTCCCAGCTGATTGGGAGGAAATGGGGATTTTGCAGTAACCTTCCCCTGGATTGGGGAGGAAATGGAGATTTTGCAGTATCCTTCCCCTGCCGCGCCCACCAAGAAACGCCCACCAAGCCATGCCATGCCCACCAAGCCACACCCACAGAACCAGTAGTAAAAAAAATTGAAACCCACCACTGGACGGGAACCCCTGAAAGTCTTCATCCTGCTCAGTCTTCTGAATCCTAGGAGGAGGAGAGTTGGGGTCCCAATGTAATAATAGGAATTGTGAGAGGGAACTTGCAGCCCTAGTGGACCATCACTTAAAGTGCAGCAGTTGCCAAAAAAGCCAACACAGTTCTAGACTGCATTAACAGAGGGAGAAATTCAAGATCACATAGTTTATAGTTTATTGGATTTCTTGAACTGTTAATAATGCTAATAACTGTTAATAATGCTTGATAAGGCCACTCTTGGAATACTGCATTCAGTTTTGGTCGCCATGATGTAAAAAAAATGTTGAGACTCTAGAAAGAGTCTTAAGAGCCTTGGTACTACAGTGGTTTAAAGCACCCTGTTATTAACACAGCTGCCTGCAATTTACTGCTGGTTCGAATCTCTCCAAGGCTCAAGGTTGACTCAGCCTTCCATCCTTTCTAAGGTAGGTTAAATGAGGACCCAGTTTGTGGGGGCAATAAGCTGACTTTGTATAAATATACAAAAGTATGAAGGCTATTGCTTAACGCACTGTAAGCCGCCCTGAGTCTCCGGAGAAGGGCGGCATATAAATCAAATTAAAAAAAAAAAAAAAGAGCAACAAAGATGATTAGGGGAGTGGAGGCTAAAACATATAAAGAATGGTTGCTGGAATTGGGCATCTGTAGTTTAATTAAAAGAAGGACTAAGGATTACATGACAGCAGTGTTCCAATATTTCAGGGGTTGCCACAAAGAAGAGAGGGTCAAGCTATTCTCCAAAGCACCTGAGGATTGGACAAGAAGCAATGGGTGGAAACTAATCAAGGAGAGAAGCAACCTAGAACTAAGGAGAAGTTTCCTGACAGAACAATTAATCAGTGGAACAAATTGCCTCCTGTTCCAGAAGTTATGGAACAGGGGTGTCAAACTCGTGACTTGTGCGCTGGATGCATCACACACTAGCCATCCCCATCCCCGGTTTAGCAAAGGGGGGGAAAAGTTGCAATGACAATTACGTGACGACGTGAGTTTGACACTCCTGTTGTGGATGCTCCAAAACTGGAAGTTTTTATTAGATTGGACAATCATTTGTCTGAAATGGTATAGGGTTTTCTGCCTGAGGATGGAGTTGGACTAGAAGACTTCCAAGTTCGTTCCAATTCTGTTATTCTGACCTTACAAAGGAGAGTTTGGCAAAGGGCACCCTATAATTATCTTTGCGTCTGTCTCTCCCTATCTCTCTCCCTATCCCTGTGTCTGTCTGTCTATCATCATCTATCTATCAATATATCATCTATCTATATAATCTATATAATCTATAGATCTATATAATCTCTCTCTCTCTTCATCTATCTACCTACCTACCTCTATCTATCAGTCTGTCTATCACAATTTAGAAACTACCAATCTTCCTCACAAAGGGACTCTGGGCGGCATACAGATAAAATGCGAAAAACATAAAAACTGAATATAAAACTTTAAATAGAAGCAAGGATAGCTAAAATTTGATTAATAATATTTATTTAAAAGGGAGGCAAAGGCCTTCAGAGCACTAACCAGCCTCACAACTGCACATTCTTCTGAACGCCCCAAGCAAAATGGATATTTAGATATTTTCAAAAGCCAGAAGACTAATGCCCATTCTCTTTCCTTGAAGATTGTCTCTCTTATGGAGAAATATTTGCGAAAAAAGATGCTGCATATGGATTCTCAGACAAATACATATGTTTATTGCAAAACACTTGACGCTCTCTCAAAGCTTCTCAGATTTATATTTCTCTTCTGTAGGAATCCTTTTGAAACGTAAGGGAACCATTATGACTGAAGCTCTTTCCACACATTTAGATACCTTCTCCTATGTGTATCCTTAGATGGCAACTAAGATCGCCCTTTCAGCTGAAGCCCTTTCCACACTCCATGCATTTATAAGGCTTTTCTCCTTCATGGATCCTTTTATGTAACGTAAGGGATCCATTTTCGCAAAAACTCTTTCCACACTCCACACATTTATATGGCTTCTCCCGTGTATGGATCTTTATATGGGAAGTAAGATGATTGCTTCGAGTAAAGGTCTTTCTACAATCCATGCATTTGTAAGGCTTTTCTCCAGTGTGGGTCCTTTTATGTAACATAAGTGATCCATTTTCACGGAAACTCTTTCCACATGCCATACATTTGTACGGCTTCTCCCTAGTGTGGATCTTGTTATGGCGAGTAAGATTACTTTTACAAGCAAAGTCCTTTCCACATGCCATACATTTGTATGGCTTCTCCCTAGTGTGGATCTTGTTATGGCGAGTAAGACTACTTTTATCAGCAAAGTTCTTTCCACACTCCAGACATTTATATGGCTTCTCCCGTGTATGGATCTTTATATGGGAAATAAGATGATTGCTTCGAGTAAAGGTCTTTCCACAATCCATGCATTTGTAAGGCTTTTCTCCAGTGTGGGTCCTTTTATGTAACATGAGTGATCCATTTTCACGGAAGCTCTTTCCACATGCCATACATTTGTATGGCTTCTCCCTAGTGTGGATCTTGTTATGGCGAGTAAGATTACTTTTACAAGCAAAGTCCTTTCCACATGCCATACATTTGTATGGCTTCTCCCTAGTGTGGATCTTGTTATGGCGAGTAAAATTACTTTTATCAGCAAAGTTCTTTCCACACTCCAGACATTTATATGGCTTCTCCCCTGTGTGGATTCTTTTATGGATGGCAAGATTACAATTCCTTTGAAAGCTCGCTCCGCATTGTATACATTTAAATGCCTTCTGTCTTGTATCGATCAATTCATGGGGTTGGCTACTATTTCTAAAATTCTTTCCACATTCCTCACGTTTATAAGGCTTCTCTTCTGCATGGATCCCTTTTTGAGATGTAAGGGACTTATTTCCAGGAGAAAGCATGAAAGTGTAATTTTTTCCGTTACGTCTTCTTATAGCATCTTCTCTTTTGTTTTGGATTGGATAGTGTTCATTTCCATGTAATTTAGCTTTGATTTGCTTCATACTTTTCCCAAAATCTTCTTTCTTCGTTTTCACTTTTGGGGCAAGAAAGTCTTGCGTTAGAGCATCAATGGAAGATGAGCTTTCCTGACTCTGATCATTTGATTGCTTTCTCTCATGGCTTTCTGCTTCCATTTGAATTACAGACTTCTCCATTCCTTCTCCAGCATTGATCACTTGGAATAGTTCACAGGAATCTTGACTTTTCTTCCCATTATCATCTTCAAAGGAAAAGAAAAATGAAAATGGTAGCCGTATTAGTAAAAAAGATCAAATTGTAGGAATACACAGAGAGAGAGAGAGAATGTCACAGGAGTGCACATCCTCCCATTTTGTAAATATTTAAGTATATCTTTTCATGTGACAACACTGCAGAAATGACACTAGGCTACAATGAAAAGTAGTGAGTATAGAGTTAGTATAACAGTGTAAATGTGCTGTCCGCTCAAAATAATGCAACACACGGCCATTAATGTCTAAACTGTGAGTACATTAATGGCTGTGTTGTATTATTTTGAGTTATCCTGGTGCTCCTTGGATGGGTGACATGTCCCCCAAATTTTGTGCAGTGTCATCTTTGACACAAGTCACAGATTTGCCACTCTCTCTACATTTGGCTTCTTCCTTGTATGTATCCAATTATGGGAAATAAGTTGACGTCTGTCAATAAAGTCTTTTCAACACTCCACACATTTATATTATTTCTCTCCCATGTGGATTCTTTTATGGGAAGGAAGATGGTGGCACAGAGTAAAGGACTTTCCACACTCCATGCATTTATAAAGCTTTTCTCCTGTGTGGGTCTTTTTATGTAACATAACTGATCCAGTTATGAAGCGCCGGAAAAGATGCCTGGAGAGCGGTTGGAGGGCCAGTCTCGCTGAATCTGACCGAACACTGGTAAGGTCGCATATTAAGACCTACCTAGTGGCAATAAAAGCGGCAAAGTGTAACTACTTTTCCACTCTTATTGCGTCATCAGAGAATCGTCCAGCTGCCCTGTTTAGGGTGACCCGCTCCCTGCTCCATCCAGGAGTGTGGGAGGACCCCCTGGAAGGCAGGGCCGAGGATTTCGGACAATATCTGTATGACAAAATCGCTCAGATCCGGGGGGATTTGGACTCTGGGTAGATTTGGGCAGGGTGACGAGGAAGTCTTGAGAACGTTATCTGGGAAGAGTTTGACTCTGTGACTCCTGATGATGTGGACAGGATTTTGGGGAGACTTAGTGTGGCCACATGTTTACTGATCCTTGTCCCTCCTGGTTAGTACTGGCTTCCTGGGAGGTTACACGAGGCTGGCTCCAGGGAATTATCAACGCTACGTTGAGTGAGGGTCACTTCCCCGCTGCCTTGAAAGAGGCTGTGGTGAGGCCTCTCCTCAAGAAGCCCTCCCTGGACCTGGCAGTATTAGCCAACTATCGTCCTGGTTCCAACCTTCGCTTTGTGGCAAAGGTTGTTGAGAGTGTGGTCGCGCGACAGTTTCCACAATTCCTGGAGGAAACATCTTATCTAGATCCGTTCCAGTCAGGTTTCAGGTCTGGGCACAGCACAGAAACGGCATTGGTCGCGTTGGTAGATGATCTCTGGAGGGCTTGGGACAGGGGTTGCTCCTCTGTTCTGGCCCTGTTAGACCTCTCAGCGGCTTTTGATACCATCGACCATGGTATCATGCTGCACCGGTTGGAAGAGTTGGGGATGGGGGCATCGTGTTACGGTGGTTCTCCTCCTTTCTCTCAGACCGGTCCAGTTCATGTTGGCAGGGGGGCAGAGGTCGACCTCAAGGCCTCTCATTTGTGGAGTGCCTCAGGGGTCGATCCTCTCACCCCTTTTGTTCAACATTTATGTGAAGCCGCTGGGCGAGATCATCCGTGGCTTTGGGGTGAAGTACCACCAGTACGCTGATGACACCCAGCTGTACATCTCCACCCCAGGCTACCCCAACGATGCCGTTGAAGTGATGTCCCAGTGCCTGGAGGCTGTTCAGGTCTGGATGGGGAGGAACAGGCTCAAGCTCAACCCTTCCAAGATTGAGTGGCTGTGATTCCCAGCATCCCAATATAGTCAGTTACTCCATCACTGACTATTGGGGGTGAGTCTTTGGCCCCCGCGGAGAGGGCTCCCAATCTGGGAGTCCTCCTGGATACGCAGCTGTCCTTGGAGGAACATCTGACAGCTGTAGTCAGGGGGACCTTTTGTCAGGTTCACCTGATCCACCAGTTGCGGCCCTTTCTTGATCGGGATTCCCTGTGCACAGTCACTCACGCCCTCGTCACCTCTCGCCTGGACTACTGTAACGCTGTCTACATGGGGCTCCCCTTGAAGAGCACCCGGAGGCTCCAACTGGTCCAGAATGCAGCCGCGCGGGTAGTTACGGGAGCTGCATGGCGCTCCCATATAACACCTCTCCTGCATGAGCTGCACTGGCTCCCAGTGGTCTTCCGGGTGCGCTTCAAGGTTTTGGTTACCACCTTTAAAGCGCTCCATGGCACAGGACCTAGTTATCTTCGAGACCGCCTGCTGCTACCGATGACCTCCCATCGACCTGTGCGCTCCCACAGAGAGGGCCTCCTCGGAGTGCCATCAGCCAAACAATGTAGGCTGGTGACCCCCAGGGGGAGGGCTTTCTCTGTGGGGGATCCTACCCTCTGGAATCAGCTGCCCCCAGAGATAAGGAGAATCCAAGACTTCAGTGCCTTCCGCCGTGCCCTTAAAACTCTTTTTCCAGCAAGCCGGGCTGGCTTAAAAATTTTTTAAATGTTTTTTATTGGTTTGTCACTTTTTAAATTATGGGGCCAAATAGATATATATTCTTTTAATTGTTTTTAATGTTTGTATTTTATGTTTCTTATTTGTGGCTGTACACCGCCCTGAGTCCTCCGGGAGAAGGGCGGTATATAAATTCGAAATAAATAAATAAATAAATAAATATGGTTTCTCTCCCATGTGGATTCTTTTATGGGAAGTAAGATGATGACGCAGAGTAAAGGACTTTCCACATTCCATGCATTTATATGGCTTTTCTCCTGTGTGGGTCCTTTTATGTAACATAAGTGATCCATTTTCATGGAAACTCTTTCCACATTCTCTGCATTTGTATGGCTTCTCCACAGTGTGGATCCTGTTATGGCGAGTAAGATTACTTTTAATAGCAAAGCTCTTTCCACACTCCAGACATTGATGTGGCTTCTCCTCTGTGTGGATCCTTTCATGTATATCAAGATTACTTTTACGAGTAAAGCCCTTTCCACACTCCACACATTTATGTGGCTTCTCCCCTGTGTGGATCCAGTAATGGGAAGTAAGAGAATTACTATAAGTGAAGCTCTTTCCGCACTTCATGCATTTATAGGGCTTCTCTCCTATGTGGATCTTTCTATGAGAAATAAGATTGCTACATCCTCTGAACTTCTTTCCACATTCTCTGCATTTGTATGGCTTCTCCTCTGTGTGAATCCTTTTATGGGAAGTAAGTTGGCCATTATTTTTAAAACTCTTTCCACATTCCACACATTTATAAGGCTTCTCTTCTGCATGGATCTCTTTTTGAGATGTAACAGACCTATTTCCAGGAGAAAGCATGAAAGTGTAATCTTTTCCATTACGTCTTCGTATAGCATCTTCTCCTTTGTTTTGGATTGGATAGTGTTCATTTCCATGTAATTTAGCTTTGATTTCCTTCATACTTTTCCCAAAATCTTGTTTCCTTGTTTTCACTTTTGGGGCAAGAAAGTCTTGCGTTAGAGCATCAATGGAAGATGAGTTTTCCTGACTCTGATCATTTGATTGCTTTCTCTCATGGCTTTCTGCTTCCATTTGAATTGCAGACTTCTCCATTCCTTCTCCAGCATTGATCACTTGGAACAGTTCACAGGAATCTTGACTTTCCTGCCTATTATCATCTTCAAAGGAAAAGAAAAATGAAAATGGTAGCAGTATTAGTAAAAAAGATCGAAGTGTAGGAAGTCATTCATATATATAAAAGTCAGCTTTGACTTAAGGCATAATCCATATTATGAGGTAACCTGAGATACATTGGAGTAGATTAATTGTAGCAGAGACCTATGAGAATTGAAAGTCCCTTTTCCCCCCTATCCAAACGAATTTCCCAGTACTATTCATTTTCTCTTGCCAAAATCACATAGCTACAGAAAAACAAGAAACAGAGGTAGTTCTATTAACCCTCAACACAATGTTTCCAATGGGAAAATGGCATCATTTAGCTCGGTGAGGATGAAATATTTGGACTTGTTGAAGCTACAGAAACCTTGGGGTGGGGGGGGGATGCAATATTGGAATTCAACATTATGCAAGCACAAGCAATAGAACAAAGTCAAACTAGAGTCTTGGATTTTAAGAGAGCTAATTTCAATAAACTTAGAGAGAGCTTGGGAAGGATTCCATAGATGAGAATCCTCAAGGGGAAAACAACCCAAGAAGCTTGGGAAATTTTGAAAAGTGAGATTATAAAAACCCAGTCTAGCACAGTACCTATGAAGAAGAAAAATAACAGCTCTCAAAAAAAACCCAGCATGGCTGCATAGAGAGCTCGCTGACGAATTGAAAGACAAAAAGGACAAGTATAAAAAGTGGAAAGAGGGGCACATTTTTAACTTTTGTATGTTCTTTGTATGTTGTATGTTCTTTGTATTTTTATCTTGGCTGTTCACCGCCCTGAGTCCTCCGGGAGTAGGGCGGTATACAAATATGATAAATAGATAGATAGATAGATAGATAGATAGATAGATAGATAGATAGATAGATAGATAGATAGATAGATAGATAAACAAACATAACTAAGGCAGAATATCAGCAAAGAGCCTGAGACTGCAAACATGAAGTGAGGAAAGCTAAGGCTCACAATGAACAAAGACTTGCGACAAAACTAAAAAATAACAAAAAGAAGCTTCTTCCAAAATGTTAAAAACAAGAAAAAAGTCAAAGAAACAATTGGTCCATTGCTGGGAGAAAGTGGCAAGAAGGTGACAAGCAACAGGGAGAAAGCAGAACTACTTAACTTGTTTTTTGCATCTGTCTTACACAAAGGAAAAAAACAGAGCAACCTATCAAAAACAGCACCACAAAAAAACAGATTAGGAACACAAGTTAAAATAGGGAAGAAAATGGTAAGTGACTGTGATTCTGGAAAAGATAATCAAGCAACGAATCAGCGATTTGGATCGATCTGGAGCTTTCATCAGCTACAGAGAGCTTTCCGGAAGGCATCTAAAGGCAAAATAGAAGCCAGGAGGTGCTGCGTGCATCAATCCAGAGCCCGTTTCTCAGCTGCAGAGAGCGCTCCAGAAGGCCCTGACAGCAAAACAGAGGCCGGGGGGCAAAGCACACATCAATCTGGACCTTGTTCCTTGACTGCAGAGGGCTTTCCGGAAGGCTCTGACAATGAAATGGAGGCCGGGGATGATGCGTGCGAGCGGCGGCAAGCGGCCACAAGAGGAGTGGGTCTTCAAGGTGAGGCAGGTGTCAGGGTGTGCGAGGCCTGGTAAGTAGGGCAGTTCCACCCCCCATCCCCACCCTAGCTTAATTTTTACCTGTGTACCTCGCCCCACCCTCTGCACCCCAGGATGGGCGGGCTTAATTAGGGCTAATTTTGGGGTTAGGGCTTAATTTTAGCGCATGTGTTCAAAAATATAAATAGGGCTTCTTTTCGGGTGGGTCATATTTTCGGGGGAACACGATAGAAGACTTCCAAGGTCACTTCCAACTCTGCTATTCTATTCTATTCTGGACTTGGAATGTCAAAAATTCAGAAAATGCTTGACCCTGCTTATGTAACATATATCCCCTCCCACCCACCCCCATCAAAAGAAAAACAATTTCTCTCTCTTCCATTTAGGCCACCCTGAACTCAATAGCAGCACGAAGGCTGGGCTTAAAGTAGAGGCTTGGGTCTCAACTTCTGCCCTATCCCTATCATTTTCACTCAAAAAGGCTGCCTTGCATCATCCCACAATGTGTGTGATGCTTGGGGAATGGTGTGATTGCCCCGCAGCCCGGTGCTCCCTGGATGGGCAGCGTGTCCCCCAAACTTTCTGGTGTGTCATCTTTGACACATGAGTCATAGAGTCACCATCACTGACTTTAGCCCCTAATGAAAAAGCTGAAATCAGTGTGAGGTTGAGTATCTCTTCAAGTCAAGAAGTTAATTTGTCACTGATAAGTTGAAATAAAAATGGAAAAATACAGATAAGAAATGTCATAGGAAGCATCTAAGTCACTGGTGTCGAACTTGCCGTGTCATGTTGCCGTCACATGACATTTCACTATGTTTTTCCTCTTTGGCAGAGCTGGGGTGGGTGTGGCCTGCGCGATGCATCCAGCCCACAGGCCACCAGTTTGACACCCCTGATCCAGGGGTGAAATGCTCCCGGTTCGGACCGGATCGCTTGATCCAGTAGCGATAGAGGCGGGTGGTTCGGAGAACCGGTAGCAAAAATGGCATCTAACTATAGAACATCTTCCCATTCTGAGTGGACAGTAGCAACCCTTACCCAGAGAGGCCACGTTCCTATGATTTTCCAGCATGACTTCCCAATGCAGCAATTTTTGGTCAGGATCCAACTGAGACCACTCCTCCTCAGAAAAATTCACAGCCACCTCCTTGAATGTCACAAGGCTCCCCTGAACATGGGAAAAGAAAGACAGAAAATTCTTTTAAATTTTTAAACTGAAATTTTAATTTGTTTTAAATTATTGGGATTTTTAATTGTCTTGGGCTAAATTATTTAATTTGGTTTTAAATTGTTTCTAACTTTTGTATTTATGTATTTTATTCTGTGTCTGTTCACCGCCCTGAGTGCTTCAGGAGTAGGGCGGTATATTTATTTATTTTATTTATTTATTGCGATTTATATGCCGCCTTTCTCCCTAGGGACTCAAGGCGGCTTACAAAATGACAACTTCAATACAAATCACAATACAATACAAAATTAAAATCAGTAACCCAATTAAAAATGATTTAAAATTATACCAGTGTACCCCCAAACGGATCAGATTAATTGGTGGAAGAGCCACGTCTTCAGCTCGCGACAGAAGGAAAGAAGGTCGGGGGCTGTCCTGAGCTCAGTGGGCAATCCATTCCAGAGGGTCGGGGCTCCCACAGAGAACGCCCTCCCCCTGGGGGTCGTCAGCCGACATTGTTTGGCCGACGGCACCCTGAGGAGGCCGACTCTGTGAGAGCGCACAGGATGATGGGAGAACGGCTGGAGATGGTCCTGCAAGTATCCCGGGCCTAAGCCACAGGTATATAAATTTAATAAAAGAAAGAAAGAAAAGAAAGACAGAAAAGGCCAAGGAGTATTTGCTAGATGTGTTCCATTTGTTCACAAATTCCCAAAGTAAAGTTATGCACCAAGTTGAATGGCTGTACTTGGGTTAGATTCCAAGGTTTAGGTGAGAAAATAAACAGAACTGAAAACCTTTGATTGAAGGAATATTTGGGGCAGTGTAATCAACTTGACTGGTTCTACAGAACTTTCAGTGCCTTTCAGTAAAGTAATCCCATTTTTTCTCTCACTGGCTAAACGGGAGAAAAAAAGAAAATTCCATGGGAAGGGCATTTCTCAGCCTTTGCAAAGCTGGATTGTTTCGTAGTCAAATCTAGGTGCAAATCAGAAGATTAGAAATTACTTTGTCGGCCAAAAGTGCCTTGATTATGTGGTCTATCTGGCCACTTGGATTATAATAGTCTGGTTTATCTTTTAGTCTGATTCACTTTTTTTAAACTACTGGTTATAAACAAGGCTTTTTAAAAATGGTAATGTAGCAATGTGAGTTTTAATTATTTTTTATTACCCTTGCACAATTCCAAGTCAAAAAAATTCAAAAATAAAGGGTATTTATTTATTTATTTATTTATTTATTTATTTATTTATTTATTTATTTATTGGTTCGATTTATATGCCGCCCTTCTCCGGAGACTCAGGGCGGCTTACAATGCGTTAAGCAATAGCCTTCATACTTTTGTATATACCTGCTTAGTAGGGCTTTCGGCCCCCTCTAAGCGGTGTTCTTTTTATACAAAGTCAGCTTATTGCCCCCACAATCCGGGTCCCCATTTTATCTACCTCGGAAGGATGGAAGGCTGAGTCAACCTTGAGCCTGGTGAGATTTGAACTCGCAGTAATTGTAGGCAGCTGGCACCTAAGTGGTACTTAACAGCACTTTAGTCCGCTGCACCATCAAGGTTTAGCTATTACTGCCAAGGAGTATATTTATTCCTGTTTCTTGAAAGACTTTTTTTCTCAAAAAATTACTTCCTATAAACTCATATTTAGAAGCGTACCCAGCAGAACATGTTAACTAGTCATCTTTAAAAAAATATTCGCTAAACAGATTCTGAGGGTTGAAATGATAAACCAAAAGCAGTCTTCAAGGGAAGCAAACCTAGCTGAGAGCAACTTGAACCCACTATTCTCTTTTCCATGTTGCTTAAGAACACAACATAATCTAGCACAAACAAGGGAGGAAAAATTGAAGGAGAGAGTGCTCTGCATACTAATTTCATCTTCTAAAGGAAAGGCAGAATACAAGTCTTACTTGCTTACTTCCCCAACTTGATTGATTTGAAGGTTCAACTACAGTTCCAGCTCCATCATGCAGACCAGAAAACTTCATTCTATGTTTCCCTGTGAGGAAGACAGAATTTTAAAATGCGTAATTAACAAAATAGGAGGAGGTATTCCACAGATGAGATAGCAAAGGTGAGAGCACTTTCCGCCGCGAATTAAAAACTTGGTTATTCAAGTCCCTCGGCTTGGACTGATGGGATTTTATATGGGTTTTTAACTTTTATCTGGTTTAATTAGGTATTTTAACTTTGTATTGTGGTTATTGTGGATTTTATTGTTGTGAGCCGCCCTGAGTCCGTTGAAGATAGGGCGGCATATAAATAAAATAAAATAAAATAAAATAAAATAAAATAAAATAAAATAAAATAAAATAAAATAAAATAAAATAATAAAATAAAATAAAATAAAATAATAAAATAAAATAAAATAAAATAAAATAAAATAAAATAAATAATAAAATAATAAAATAATAAAATAAAATAAAATAAAATAAAATAATAATAAAATAAAATAAAATAAAATAAAAAGATAGATAGATAGATGATAGATAGATAGATAGATAGATAGATAGATAGATAGATAGATAGATAGATAGATAAATAAATAAACCTCTCTGGGTAATGGGAGAACCTTCAGTTACCTCCCGAGATGTCCTGACTTCGATCTTCTTGAGGGATCCTCCAGAAAAGCAGCTCCCGAGGGGGGTTTAATAGAATCCTCTTTCCCACAGAATCTCTGATGTCCACAGGGAAGGACTTGAAATAGAAGAAAAAAGAAGAAACCAACAGACATCACACAACATAAAATGGATTCTTGTTCTCTGAATTTAATTTAATTTAATTAATCATATTTCTATGCCGCCCAACTTCCAAGGGACTCTGGGCGGCTAACACCACTTCAAAGCTCCCAATATCCATCAGTGACATGAAGTGAGAAACAAATGGAACAATGTCACATATTATGAATGACAGAGATAGCTGATAGGGAGGGGTGAAGTATTCAAACCCATTCTTTATTCCCTAAAACCATCTTGAGATGAAGGTCTTCCACCTACAGCTCAACCTTGCCTCTTAATTTTAGGCCTGGATAGCCTTGAATTACGCAGTCTACATTCCAACCTAAGCTTAGTACACAAGATTATTTACTATAATGTCCTATCTGTTAATGAGTACTTTGACTTCAACCGTAATAACACAAGGGCTATCAATAGATTCAAACTCAATGTAATTCGCTCTAATCTTGATGGTAGGAAATACGACTTCTGCAATAGAGTAGTAAAAGTCTGGAAGACTCTAACTCAGTGTTTCTCAACCTTGGTAGCTTGAAGATGGGTGGACTTCAACTCTCAGAATCCTCTTCAAGCTACCAAGGTTGAGAAACACTGCTCTAACTGATCCTGTTGTTAGTCTCGCTAACCCCCATACCTTTTACCTTAGACTGTCTACCGTGGACTTTTCACGTTTCTTAAGAGGTCCCTAAGAGGGCGTGCATAAGCGCACCAGTGTGCCTGCCGTCCCTGTCCTACTGTCCCCATTTATATGTAATCATTCTATGTGTATACGGCTATTTTTTGCCTATTTATATCCTTTTCTTTGTGCCAGATTCTTTTCCTGTGTCCATGTCTTTGTCTACACCGTTACTTGTTTCCTTGTACTTGTTGACAAATAAAGAATAACAATAAATAATAGTAATAACAACCTGCTCCTTCTGCTCTTCCACCTGGCTCAAGAGGAAACCTTCTGCCAGGGCTACAGCCTGGGAGCTGGTCTCTGCTCCACACCCCCGCACCCAACTCTGCATCTCTGGGGGCAGAAGGAAGAGGAGCTGCTCCAAAACCACCAGGTCCAGCATCTGGGCTTTGGTGTGCTTTTCTGGTCTCAGCCATCGCCTACAAAAATTGTGGAGTCGGCTGCAAAGTCCTCGGGGACCCTCAGCCTCCTGGTATCGGAGGCTCCTGAAGTTCCAGGCTTGAATTTTTGAGCGCATGGTGCTTTCCTCCATCATTGCATGGGATCTGGGACTGAACCCGGAGGAGGCCTGGGCACGTGTCTCTCTCTCTCTCCTCAGCCTCTCTTTGCATGGGAAGAGCCCTCACCCACCATCACGTCTGGATCTCCCCCCTGCAAATCTCTCCTGCAGCCTTTTCACTGCAGAGTTCCAAATAGTTAAGGAGAGCGAGTGCTGTGTTCTAGAATGGCAAGGCTCAGGGATGTCCCTGCCTTCGCAGCCTCCTCTGGAAAGCCAGCCCTCTAGTGGCCCAAAGGGGAAGCACCTGATGTTCCTTTCTCATATCTGAGGGCGCCCCCTGGTGCAATCTTGAATCATTTGAATCGGAATAGAGCTGTGAGGTTAGAAAGGGAGCTTTTTCAATGGGGGAAAGGAGGAAGGAGGCTGTCCTGTCTCCTTCTTTTCTTGTTTCTTAATGATTGAAGCTCATCTGAATTGGCTTAAAGGACTCCCCTGGGAGGTCCCATTCCCGTTCTAGAATTATAGAATAGAATAAAAGCTGGAAAGGAGATCTCCTAGTCCAGTGGTTCTCAACCTGTGGGTCGGGACCCCTTTGGGGGTCAAACGACCCTTTCACAGGGGTCGCCTAAGACCATCCGAAAACACATATTTTCAATGGTTTTAGGAATAATTTTATGGTTTGGGGTCACCACAACATGAGGAACTGTATTAAAGGGTCGCGGCATTAGGAAGGTTGAGAACCACTGTTCTAGTCCAACCCACTGCTCAAGCAGGTAACCCTGTATAAGTTGTTATCCAGTCTCTTCTTAAAACACCTCTAGTGATGAAGCACTCACAACTTCTGGAGGGAAGCTGTTCTACTGATTAATTGTCCCCATTGGCAGGAAGCCTCAACCAGAAGAGTCCCAAAGTTGTTTTTTTCAGGAAGCAAACTTTCTTGTTTTTTCTTTGAAGACATTTTCGCTTCTCATCCAAGAAGCTTCTTCATCTCTGACAGGATAGTGAGGAATGGAAGGCTTTATATTCCATGCAGACAGCTGGTAATTTGCATCCTTTTAGAGCAGTGGTTCCCAACCTTTTTTTGGCCATGCCTCACCTAAGCATCTCGAAAATCCTGATGGCATCCCCCCCGCCCCCGACATATAATTCTTACTATTCAAAAAGTGAACTACTCACAGGAGGAAGCCTAAAAGGCCATTAACTTGGTTTAAACAAGGTTCCAATTGCTCCCATTAAAAATCAAATTGCCCCCCTTGTGGGGCATGGGCCCCACATTGGGAACCACTGTTTTAGAGGGTCGTTGAAGCACTTGGAGTTTTATCTGTGTCTTCACATCAACCAGAAGAATGATCTAACATCTCATGCAAGGATCAACTTGGATAATAATCCATATAAGTACTAGACTTACTTCTATACTGTGGGGTCCTCATTGCTCTCTGAGATTAGTTGTGTGCAGACGTTTAATTACCAAACTAAGTAACATCATCAGTGTTAGCGCTGATGAAAAGAACCAAGCTCGCCAAGCACAAAATAAGAAAGTTTGCTTTCTGAAAAAGCATTTTTGGGCTCTTCTGGTTGAGGCTCTTCCCACACACTCTTCATTGATATGGCTACTCCTGCATGGTTCCCTTTATATAAAGCTCTTTCCTGACTCCATGTATTCATATGGTTTCTCCCACATGATCTTTTTATGAGTAGTAAGGGAAACACGGCTGCTGAAAAAATTTCCACACTCCATATATTTATAGAATTACTCCCTGTGTGGATCCTTTTAAGTGAACTGCTCCAGTAATTAATAAGAAATGCTAAACAGAAATATGGGTCTAACATCTTCCACGGATTTTCCCGTTACCAGTTTTTTGTTCTTTTGAGCGTTGTAGCCAATCTCTCTGTTCCTTGAATATCATTGTAAAATTGTGTGAGCCACAGAATAGCGTTTGGCCCACAGTGCTTCAAGAACTCAGGATATACTTCATCTAAGACAGCCGCTTTCCCTGATTTTATCATTCATTTTAGACTCATTTTAAAGAGTATTAAAGCTCTGGTTGAGGAAATTTTTATGTATCGTGCCTTGTAGTCACTATACTGCTTTCAAACATATATATTGAAGTACATCTAGATGGCCAAATTAGTCAGAAGTATGGATTAAATAACAGTCTGCCACAAGCTTCTGGGCTGACTCCACTCCTGTTTAATATTTACACATCAGATTTACCAGGCAACGCTGCAAGAAAGTTCATATATATTGATGACATTGCGCTGATGAAGAAATTTGAAGATTTCAATACTGAAAAAGCCCTTGAAAATGATTTAAAGGAAACTGATAAGTTTTTTGAAATTTGGAGAAAACCCAGTATCAGCAAAACTGAGGTCACCTGTTTTCACTTGAACAACAGACAAGTTAACTATAAACCAGGGGTATCAAACTGGCAGCCCTGTGTGTCACATGCAGGCCATGCCCACCTCACCTCCATGCAGGGGAAATGTGATATGTCACAACGCAGCAACGTGACGCTGCAAGTTTGTCACCCATTCTATACACCAAGGGTGGAATTTGGGAACCAGCTGCTGAAGTTTAATTCATCACTGTGCTGTGTACTTTTTAAATAACTTCTCTGATGTTTATTTTGTATCAAATAAGACTTTTTTTTTTCATTGGATTTGTATACCGCCCTACTCCCAAAGGACTCAGGGCGGTGAACAGAATAAAACACATAGATACAAAAATTTAAAATAGAATAAAAACGAATTAAATAATTTGGCTGAGACAAATTTAAAATACCCAATAATTTAAAACAAATTAAAATTTACATTTAAAAGGGGAAAAGATTTAGGCCAGGCCAGCTTGATGAAATAAATCTTGAGTGCGCGACGGAAGGTGTGCAGATCCGGGATCCTCCGTATCTCCAGGGGGAGCTCGTTCCAGATCGTAGGTGCCCCCACAGAGAAAGCTCTCCCCCTAGGGGCCGCCAGTTGACATTGTTTGGCTGACGGCACCTGAAGCCCCTCTCTATGGGAGCGTACTGGCCGGTGGGAGGCTATTGGTGGTAGCAGACAGTCCCGTAAATAACCAGGTCCTAAGCCATGGAGCGCTCTAAAGGTGATAACCAAAACCTTGAAGTGCACCCGGAAGACCACCGGGAGCCAGTGCAGCTCGCGCAGGAGAGGTGTTACATGGGAACGCCACAACGCTCCCATAACCACCCGCATGGCCGCACTCTGCGCCAGTTGGAGCCTCCGAGTGGTCAAGGGGAGCCCCATGTAGAGAGCATTACAATAGTCCAGACGAGAGGTAACGAGGGCATGAGTGACTGTGCGTAGGGAGTCCCGATCTAGAAAGGGATGCAACTGGCGAATCAAGCGAACCTGATGAAAATTTTATATGCTTTTGTGGGTTTTTAATGCATTAATGCTACATTTTATTATGCCATATGAAATACATATACATATATATACATACATACAGATATATATTCCAAATAAAAATATTTCAACATTCTCTGCATTTATATGGCTTCTCCCGTGTGGATCCCTTTATGGACTGTGAAATGACTCCTCTAAGGAAAGATCTCTACACACACCATGAATTTATGTGTGTGGATCCTTTCATGATAGACAAAATCAACCTTCGACCTAAAGTCCTTATGGTTTTCTTTCTCAGGTATTACTTGCATTACATAATGAGAAGCAAAGGTGGAAAGGAAGATTGTAACTAGATTAAGCAAATGAAGAAATTGTGAAACCATAACAAGTGACTGAGGATTGATTGAATATCCACCTGCAACTCTGCTCTAGTGGAAATATTCATCAGAGGGGATTCCTAGGAATCTGCACTTCTTCAGTACTGGACTAGACACCATTAAGAGGGCAATAAATCCCCGTTATCTCCATTCATCCTGATTTTTGCCTTGGAAAGTACTTAGCAAAAATCACAACTAGGATTGTGGAGTCACCTTGGACAGGAAAGTCAAAATATTCTCACATATTTCTACAGGACTAGTATTTATATGGAGTATTACCGAAGTGGACCCTTTCATGAGATTTTAGATTACTATTCCTGTTGAAACTCTTCCCACACTCCTTGCACTGATATGGCTTCTCTCCTGTATGGATCTTTTTATGGCAAGTAAGAAGGCTACTTCTTCTAAAGCGCTTTCCACACTCCATACATTGATACGGCTTCTCCCCTGTGTGGATCCTTTTATGGGCAGTAAGATAACTGTTGGTACTAAAATTCTTCCCATATTCCACGCATTTATATGGCTTCTCCCCTGTGTGGATTCTTTTATGGGAAGAAAGATGACTGCTCTGAGCAAAGTTTTTTCCACACTCCATGCATTTATAGGGACTTTCTCCCCTGTGATTCTTTTGATGGCTCCTAAGAGAATAATTATCAGGAAAAATCTTCCCACACTCCCAAGCAGGTATGTGGTTTCTCTTCTGAATGGGTCATTTCATGGGAAATGAGGTGATCGGATATAGAAAAGCCCTTTCCACAGTACATACACTTATATGGTTTCTCCGCTATGTGGATCCTTTCATGTTCCATAAGAGAAGCATTTTCACAGAAGCCCATTCCACATTCTCTGCATTTATATGTCTTTCCCCCTTTGTGAATTCTTTTATGGGAAGTAAGATTACTGCTTTGAGTAAATGTCTTTCCACACTCCATGCATTTATATGGTTTCTCCCCTGTGTGGATAAACTTATGAGAAGTTAGATGGCTACCCTGAGTAAAGCCCTTGCCACATTCCATGCATTTATATGGCTTCTCCCCTGTGTGGATCCTTTTATGGGAGGTAAGATCAGCATTCCTCCTAAAGCTCTTTCCGCATTGTACACATTTATGTGGCTTCTCCCCTGTGTGGATTCTTTTATGGGAAGCAAGATTACCACTTTGAGTAAAAGTCTTTCCACACTGCATGCATTTATAGGGCCTTTCTCCATTGTGATTCCTCTGGTGACTTCTGAGAGCGCAATTATCACGGAAGGCCTTTCCACACTGGATACAAGTATATGGTTTCTCTTTTGAATGTGTCATTTTATGGGAAACGAGGTGACTGGATTTAGAAAAGCTCTTGCCACACTCCAGGCATTTATAGGGTCTTTCGTCTGTATGGATCTTCCTATGGTAAGTAAGTCGACTGATCCAAGAAAAACTTTTTTTAATTCCACTTTGTGATCGGTTTCTTTCATCACTTTTTGGTTGCAGCTGAGTGGCAAACTTCCCTTTTTCCTCTTTTGGATGGATTGTTTCGCATTGTTCTTTGTAATTCTGATCCTCCTGGACATTATTTTCTTCAAAAAGAAACATGAGAAATTGTAGCATGATTAGGAACATGTTTAAAGATAATTTTTTTGTGAAATTTTGCCAAAGAATCATCAATATAATTTGGGTGTTTTCCTGACTGATACGAAAGAATCTGATCTAAGCTTCTACTAAAGATGAATTTCCAAGTGGGCAACTACCAAGTTCATATATCCACATCAAATAAGATTACATCTGCCCTCAGAGAAAACCCTGATCTAATATTTGACAACTAGCGTATGCAAGGCTCTTGTTGACACGGGTCAGTTCCATGTTGCCATGAATTCCTGTGCTGCATCGTATGCTCTACCACCTTGAGCCAAATTAAATCCTTAATAACTATATAACTTTGGACCAAAGACAAGATAGGATAGAAGGATGAAAGAACAATGTAATCTACAAAATCAACTGTAACCATTGCAATTCTACGTGGGACAAACATCACATCAATCAAGAGCCGAGGTGGCGCAGTGGTTAGAGTGCAGTACTGCAGCTACTTCAACTGACTGCTAGTTCAGCAGATCAGCGGATCAAATCTCACCGGCTCAAGGTTGACTCAGCCTTCCATCCTTCCGAGGTGGGTAAAATGAGGACCCAGATTGTTGGGGGCAATATGCTATTTAGTATACTGTCTTTGGTGTAAGCCGCCCAGAGTCCTCGGAGAGTGGGCGGCATAGAAATATGAATAATAAAAATAAATAAAAACCAGGATCCATGAACATCCCAAATCCTTAATCTCTACCCACACCGACACCAAACAGCACAAGATTGATTGAAGCAACACAAAAATCATCTTCCATGCTTGTGAGTTCATTAAAGCCTGGCACTCTACAAGCAATTCCATCAACAGAAATATTGACCTAGCCTACAAACCTCTCAGAATCCAGTCAACCACATAAACATCCAGAGACAGCACTGACCCTCAGCCAACCCATGCAAGCCCTCCAGCAGTAGTTCACCTTCCAATGACGCTCACCTGATGTAATCTCCCCAAGACCCATCACAGGACTCTCACTGATGACTCACGTCTGACCCATTACAAGACCCTCACTTGACACACCCACCTGAAGCCCTTATAAAGAGAAGAACACTGACACTGACATCACCTAAACTCCACTGAAGATGTTACCTAGTCTGGTAACAAAATGTTCAGAAACCAACCCACAGTCTCAGAGAATGAACTTTCACCCTCATTCTACACCTTAGCTACAGATATTCACCACTATTGCAAAATCATACACATCTAAGGAGGTAGCTATTAATTTCCTTCTTCAATAAAACAGGGTTATTTTTATCAGGGTAGATGGTTACATCTAACCTCTAAATGTCTTCTCTTAGTTTCTGACCACAGAGATTCTTACCCAGAGAAGCCAGATTCCTGGAATTCTCCAGCATGACCTCCCCATGGAGAGCTTTCTGATCATGATCCAGCTGAGACCACTCCTCCTCAGAGAAATACACAGCCACTTCCTCAAAAGACACAAGATCCTAAACAAGGAAACAAATTTCTCCATTAACAGACAACATCAAGAATTTGAGACTTCTCTTCCATCAATTCCAGGGGAGATTTGTAATGAATGAAATGGGCAACTGGTGTAAAATTCAAAAGAAGACTGCAGAACTTTTAGTTGATGGCATAGCGTGAAGGATATTTTATCAGGTTTACTCCAGGACTTTTAATGGCTTTTAGTGTAGCCAACTAAGATTGTTTTAGCAGTATCTATAAGGGCAGAAGGAAATATTGGAGAAACTCATCTGACATTTTGGCCAATCGCCTGCTTTATCCACTTAGGGATCATCATGCTCACACTCTGCACCACAATAGAAGTGTTGGGAGAGCTTGTAATGGTACATGAGATTGATCCTGGAAGACAGGAAGAAGACCCTTAGCTGAGACAATGGTCTGCTCAATGAAAATTGAATTTCAGGAGGGACTCCTCCCCAAGATGGCTGCTGAATGGTAAGAGACTTTTTCTCTCTTGCCAATGATGTGCTGATTTTGCTGCTAAAGCTGTTATTGGCAGTGCTGCTCTCTGTATTTGAATGGGAGCACCTAATAATGACCCAAGGCATCTTTTGGACAGTAGTGGACCTATTTAGCTAGAATGCATTAGTTACAGGAACCTTGAGATTCCTCTAATATTGAAATTCAGCATTATGTAAACACAAGCAATAGAACTAAGTCAAACTAGACTCTTGGACTTCAAGGCAGCTGATTTCAATAAACTTAGAGCTTGAGAAGGATTTCATGGACGAAAATCCTCAAGGGGAAACAACCCAAGAAGTTTGGGAAGTAAGATTATAAAAGCCCAGTCTAGCACAATGCCAGTGAAGAAGAATAGTAAGAGATCTCAAAAGAAAGCAGCATGGCTACCCATAGAACTCTCTGATAAAATGAAAGACGAAAAGGACAAGTATAAAAAGGACAAGTATAACAAGTGGAAAAAAGGCACATAACTAAGACAGAATATCAGCAAATAGTCTGAACCTGCAAAGATGAAGTCAGGAAAGCTAAGGCTCAAAAGGAACTAAGGCTTACAACAAAAGTAAAAAATAACCCCCCCCCAAAAAAAAGATGCTTTCAACATGGCGGCTTGCTTATTATTTATTTATTTATTTATTGATTGATTGATTGATTGATTCGACTTATATGCCGCCCTTCTCCGGAGACTCAGGGCGGCTTACAATGCGTTAAGCAATAGCCTTCATACTTTTGTATATACCTGCTTAGTAGGGCTTTCGGCCCCTCCTAAGCGGTGTTCTTTTTATACAAAGTCAGCTTATTGCCCCTACAATCCGGGTCCTCATTTTACCTACCTCGGAAGGATGGAAGGCTGAGTCAACCTTGAGCCTGGTGAGATTTGAACTCGCAGTAATTGCAGGCAGCTAAGTGCTACTTAACAGCACTTTAGTCCGTTGCACCACCAAGGCTCCTTTGGTAAATTTAATAGATAATAATAAAAAACATCTTGCCCTTGAGACAACATCGGTCTTCTGGGAGGGCCTTAAAACCTGGCTCTGCCAATTGTGTTGGGGTCCCGATAGGGGTGTGCTATGCTGGAGGTGGCAGACTGAGTAAAAGACAAAAGTCCATCCAGAACAACACATGCTTTTGGTTTTTAACCTTCATTTAACCTTTAATTTTAATGCTTTCATATTTATGCTTTTATGGCATTGTAAGCCACTCACGGTCACTCTGGATCAGTGGTGTCAAACTCATGTCATCACAGCGGCATCACGTGATGTCTTGGAACGTTTTTCCCCTTTGCTAAACCGGGCCTAGGTGTGGCCAGCACGTGACACATCCGGCCCACAGCTGGGAGTTTGACAGCCCTGCTCTGGAAAGTGAGTAGTTGGCATATAAATTTAATAAATTTTAAATAAATTTTATTTATTTATTTACGAAAATTTATATGGCTGTCCAAATTGCTTTCATTGACTTGACGTGGCTTACAAAATATATTACTTTGAACTCCAGAACAAAATGAAACCCATCCAAGATTCATGCATTTTTCTCCTACCTGAGGCAGAGGTTCAGTTGCTCTTTCAGCTACATTATGAAGAGGAGTTGATTCTAAAAATACCAAGGACTGGTTTTGGTTCTCTGTGAGAGGAAGAAAAAGTGTGAAAGCAGATTTGATTAAAAAAAAAAAAGAGTTTCCATCCAAGAGGGGCAAAAGAATCAGAGTTAGCTGGATGTCCAATCCTTGTATCACATAGGAGGCACTTCCATTACCTGACATGGTATCCTGATTTTCATTTTTCTGGAAGAACTCCTCAAGCAGTTCTTGAGAGTGTTTGGATGATTCTTTACATCCCTTGGAATATTCAGTGACTGCTTCCAAGGATATCTGGACGTTTCCCAGGAGAAACAAGGAAGAGCAGAGGGAAAGGAATGAATTCCAATACTGCACCCCCAACTTAGGAGACCCCAATGTTCATCACCAAAGCTGGAAAGTGAGAATGAATTCCCCCACATACATTCTGTAAAAAAAAAGAATGGAACAACTCTAAACTCCTCTTTAGAGTTGCCATGGCTATATTATCACACCTGCAACTCTTCTTGCATCTTTTCCTCCTCCTGGCTCAGCAGGAACCCTTCAGCCAGGGCCACCGCCTGGGAACTTGTCTCGGCTCCACAATCCCGCACCCATTTCTCCATCTCTGGGGGAAGGACAGCCAGGAACTGCTCCAGGAGCACCAGATCCAACATCTGAGCCTTCGTGTGTCTTTCTGGCTGCAGCCACTGAAGACAAAGGCAGTGAAGGTGACTGCAAACATCTCGGGGTCCAGTCACTTTCTGGAATTGTACTTTTCTGAAGTGACAGCACTGGATCTCTAAAGTGTTAGTTCCCACTTCCTGGATCTTCTGCCTAAGACTTGACCCATTCTTCCCACAACTCCAAGGCTGAGCAGCAAAAGGGCCTTTTCCAGTTCCTGCATTTGCCAGGTGTTGTCCTTCCATCTTCTCTTTTTTCCTCTAATCCAGTTACAAAATGGGTCAATGGATCTCCAGAGGTCTTCCTATTCACAAGACCTGGATTTCATGAAGAGTTTCACCGAGGACATTCAGCCCTCCACACTTGCAAGATGCTTTCATCTTGAGGTGGAGCAGGAATGGTTTACACTTAACATATCTGAAATAGAAAACAACAGAAATGTCCAGTAATTACAGGGTGAGTAATTTAACTACTGAGGTTCCTTCTCCAAAACAAACATAAAAAGGTATCAAATGAATCTACTAATGTTTGGAAAGAGGAAGGAGTATTTTATTAAGTAGGTTGATTTATCTGGTGGAAATGAAGAACATTTCTGGACCAACTTTTTGCAATGATTTAAAATTTTATTTATTTATTTATTTATATTTTATTATTTTATTTTATTTTATTTATTTTATTTTATTTATTTTATTTTATTATTTTATTTTATTTTATTATTTTATTTTATTTTATTTTATTATTTTATTAATTAATTAATTAATTAATTAATTAATTAAATGTTTATACCACCCTTCTCCGGAGGGACTCAGGGCGGTGCACAGCCATACTAAAACACATATATCCATAAAATTTAAAAACAGTTTAAAACTGTTAAAACTCTAGTATTTTAAAATAGTTTAAAATACTAGAGAAACACATAAAATGTGGATTTCTGAGGTTCTTGTTAAAGTGATTTCTGTGGCTGTGAATAGAGATAAGAGAAACTCTTAAAACAATCACGAATGTCTTTGGTCACAAAGAAAAATTAAAATGAGTGCTATATAAGTTAAAGGTAAAGGTTCTGCTCGCACATATGTGCTAGTCGTTCCTGACTTTAGGGGGCGGTGCTCATCTCCGTTTCAAAGCCGAAGAGCCAGCGCTGTCCGAAAACGTATCCGTGGTCATGTGACCCTCATGACTAAACACCAAAGGCGCACAGAACGCTGTTACCTTCCCACCAAAGGTGGTCCCTATTTTTCTACTTGCATTTTTTACATGCTTTCGAACTGCTAGGTTGGCAGAAGCTGGGAAAAGTAACGGGAGCTCACCCCATTATGCGGCACTAGGGATTCGAACTGCTGACCTTTCGACCAACAAGCTCAGCATCTTAGCCACTGAGCCACCACGTCCCTTATGTGCTATATAAATCGATTTAATAAAGGAGCCTTGATAGTACAGTGGTTTACGCACCCTGTTATTAACACAGCTGCCTGCAATTACTGCTGGTTCGAATCTCTCCAAGGCTCAAGGTTGACTCAGCCTTCCATCCTTTCTAAGGTAGGTGAAATGAGGACCCAGTTGTGGAGGCAATAAGCTGACTTTGTATAAAATATACAAAAGTATGAAGGCTATTGCTTAACGCACTGTAAGCCGCCCTGAGTCTCCGGAGAAGGGCGGCATATAAATCAAAATTAAAAAAATAAATAAATCAACATTTGCACATATAATAAGAACAGCAGAACCCCGTTAACCACCTGGCAGAAATACCCTTGCGGGACATTCAGAAGCCTGAATTAACAAACCACCATCTAATACATATATAGGGCTAAAACTCAAATAAATAAACCAGCTACAACATGATGGTCTGTTTTCATGCAATTCGTAGTCCCCACTTTTTAGCCTAATCCACTCTTTCCAACTTCGAGTTCAACACTCAAGAGTGTAAAGCTGCCAACTTTTGACAAACACTGGTGTCATCGGGCACACGGTGCGAATGCCCCATCTCAGCCCCACTTGCATCTCCCGTCTCTGCAACGTCTCCCTTCTTTGTCTTGCCGGCAGAGCCCCTTTGCGGTCGTATGGAAAGGCTGGGAAGCAGCATCCCAGTTCCAGTCCTTGCACCCAGAGCCAACAGGCGGACTTCGAGCTTGCCTCCACTCCTCCAATAAATGGGGAGAAACGACCCCTCTCTTCTGGCGACCCCATTTCTCTCTTTGCTTCCCCCCCCGCCGGCCTGGCTCATGCATGGGAAAGGGTGGCAGGGAAGCATGGGACCCCTGATTCCTACCTACTTGGCCCGCTTCCACGCACCCCTCCAGCGGGGGACCCCTTTGCACGGGCTGAGTCGCCACTCACGCAACCTGGGAGTGTCGTCGGGATCCGCGCCCCCCCAAATTTCCCGGCATCCTCTGGGCCTCCCGCAAAGGCCCCGCCTCCCACTCACAGCGGAGGGAGGGGCGGGAACAGAAACAGCAGCCGCTTCCTACGAACGCCCCGGGCAACACGTGTCTTCTATTAGCGGAAGATCTCGGCGCATGCTCAGTTCCCTCCTGAAGCTGAGAGCGCCCTCTGGTGGATTCTCCGCAAAGTGCCAGGATTCCCCGAAAAGGCGGGAGAGTTGGAGAGCGTCTCTGAGAGGAAGGGGAGGGCAGGGATGATGGGCATGGGAGTAAGAGGGAAAAGTAAGTTCCCTGTCCGAGAAAGGCTTCGTCGTCTCCACAGGTGGCAGCTTCTCCATCTCCCTCTCCTTTCTGCCCAGGAACCGTCTGTGGAGATGGAAGAAAATCTCTCTGGAGGATTTGAACTTGCTTCCTTCAAAGAACCACCACGCTGAAACGGCCGGGCTGCCAGAAGATGAGGACCCAAGAGCCTTTGTGGGAAACACAGATTTCTTTTAGATAGATAGATAGATAGATAATCTTTAGTTCAATATGTACAGCTTCCGTTCTCAAATTCTTGGCTCTGGGTGCCTAAGAATAATTGGAAAGACCGAGTGGCAACTCTTGTGACAAAGGAAATAGTGCTGAAGAAAAACAAGTAGAAAAAGAAAACCCAGTTCCAAAACGGGTGAAAAGCTGAAACGTCCGTTCCAGAAATTTTACCTCACAACGAGGCTCCTTGGTGGAGAAATGAAGAGTGGGGAACATGGCATCTCATCTGTGGCTGGAGAAAGAGTATTGTAAATTGAAGGAAAGAAAATGTTGAATAGATTTTTTAAAAAAATATTGGTTTCCCCAAACAAAATCAGTCCTCGACTTACAACAGTTTGTTTTGTGACTGCTCAAGTTAGGAAGAAGTCCTCCGTCATAAAATTCGTCTTGTGTGGTTGCAAAGATTAAATACAGTCCTTCCGTCAGAAAATCTGTTTGTGCAGTTGCAGACTTGAGCCAATTTGATGACACATAATCAATTTACTTTCAGTAAGGCTGGATAACAATACCAGCGTTGTCCTTTTATGTCTATTCTCATTTTTGTCACAATTTTCCATGTCTGCTACTTGTCATGTAATATTATCGCATCTGTATTTATGACACATCTAGGTTCCTGTTGGATACTTGGCTAGATATCCATCTTCCCTACGAGAACTTTTTCTTAATAAAGCTACTTGATTTATCGGCTCCATATATGGAAACAGATTCAAAGGTGTGGATGTCCCCACAACACTAGGAACTATTGCTTTCACCCTGACATGAGACTCTAAAACCTTCAAGCATGGACCCTCCAAAAATAATCCCATATTTGTAATTTTCAATGTGCCCAAAGATCATTAACCATATGACAGGAAAAAAAACCATACGAACTGTATTTAATTTTAAAGATAAATGTGACACAATCCATTTTAGCTTTTGCCAACCCCATGTCACACCACCCCAAAGCTGTTAGCACCTTCATAGAAAAGCCTTTGCATCACGGATGAAATTCAGCCGGTTCTATACGGCTCGGGTGAATTGGTAGCGGTGGCTGCGGGAGGCTCCGCCCTCCTGCGTGGATGTCATGACGTTTTGCAACATTTTAAGCCACTGTGCATTCACAGGCTTTGCGCATGCGGGGATGGCACGTGTGAGTGAAGCGTGCACACATTTGCAAACCAGTAGGGAAAGTAAGTCAATTTCACCCGCTTTGCATGTGCATTTATAGGCTTTAAAACCACTGTAGCTCCTTTGACAAAAAGGAAATTCTCCCTTTGAAGCTCTTTCCATACGATGCACATTTATATGAGTTTATGGGTTGTGTTATAAAGGCACTTTTGACTGAATAATGCTTTCTCATTCCTATTATAAGTCCCCAACTCCTGATTTCATACAGTAGAAAACAAATCTGACTTTGTTGTTTTCATATTCAAGAGATAGTGACTCCTTTGTGAATTGAGAGATGTCTCCTATACATTTCTGGCATGGTTTGTGATGTTAGGACACCCAAACTCTTTTGCTGTTTTACTTTGCAATTAAGAAAACAAAAATCACCACAAAGTTAGGACGCAAAGCCAATGAGCTGTATGTTGAAATTCAGGTTGTATTTTCTAACCCTATACTCCTTATGGTTTTCTGAGTTATTACTTTGCATTACACAATGGGAAGCAAAGATGGAAAAGCAGATTATAACAAGATTAAGCAGTGCAATCATAATAAAGAATTAAGGGTTGGTTATCTGCCTGTAATTCTACTCAAGTGGATATATTCATCAAAAGGAATTCCTAGAAGTGTACATGTCTTAAATGTGTTGGACACCATTAAGACACCATCAATGCCCTTTATCTCTACTTACTTTCCTATTTAGCAAAAATTACTATCAGGATTAAGGATTCATCCTGTCTGCATTGGACTGGAAAGACAAAATATTTTCACGTTTGTATAGGTTTGGTATTTATATGCAGTATTGCCCAAGTGGAGCCTTTCATGACATTTTAGATTACTATTCATTAAATCTTCCCACAATCCTTGCACTGATATGCCTACTCTCCGGTATGGATCTTTTTATGGAAAGCAAGATGATTACTCCTTCTAAAGCTCTTTCCACACTCCATACACTGGTACGGCTTCTCCCCTGTGTGTATCCTTTTATGGGCAGTAAGGTAACTGTTGGTACTAAAACCCTTCCCACATTCCACACATTTGTATGGCTTCTCCCCTGTGTGGGTCCTTTTATGGTAAGAAAGATTACTGCTCCAAGCAAAGGTCTTTCCGCACTCCATGCACTTATAGGGTCTTTCTCCCCTGTGATTCCTTTGATGGCTCCTAAGAGAATAATTATCAGGGAAAATCTTTCCACACTCCAAGCAGGTATGTGGTTTCTCTTCTGAATGGGTCATTTCATGGGAAATGAGGTGATCGAATAGAGAAAAGCACTTTCCACAGTCCATGCATTTATATTGTTTCTCCCCTATGTGGATCCTTTCATGTTCCATAAGAGATGGGTTTTCACAGAAACCCATTCCATGTTCTCTGCATTTATATGGCTTATTCCTTGTGTGGATTCTTTTATGGGAAGTAAGATTACTGTTTTGACTAAATGTCTTTCCACACTCCATGCATTTATATGGTCTCTCCCCTGTGTGGATGAATTTATGAGAAGTAAGACGACTGCCCTGAGAAAAGCTCTTTCCACACTCCATACATTTATATGGTTTCTGCCCTGTGTGGATGAACTTATGAGAAGTAAGATGACTGCCCTGAGTAAAGCTCTTTCCACATTCCATACATTTATATGGTTTCTCCCCCGTGTGGATTCTTTTATGGGTAGCAAGAGCACCACTTTGAGTAAAAGCTTTCCCACACTGCATGCATTTATAGGGCCTTTCTCCATTGTGATTCCTCTGGTGGCTTCTAAGAGAGCAATTATCACGGAAGGCCTTTCCACACTGGATACAGGTATACGGTTTCTCTTTCGAATGTGTCATTTTATGGCGAATGAGGTGACTGGATTTAGAAAAGCTCTTGCCACACTCCAGGCATTTATAGGGTCTTTCTTCTGTATGGATCATTCTGTGATAAGTAGGTCGACTGATCCAAGAAAAGCTTTTTTTAATTCCATGTTGTGATCTGTTTCTCTCATCCCTTTTTGGTTCCAGCTGATCAGCAGACTTCCCTTTTTCCTTTTTTTGGTGGATTGCTTGGCGTTGTTCCATGTATTTTTTTCCCTCTTTGACATTATTTTCTTCAAAAAGAAACAAGAAATTGTAGCAAGATTAGGAACATGTTTAAAGATCAATTTTCCCCCCTGAAATTTTGCCAAAGTAACATCAATATAATTTGGGTGTTTTGCTGGTTTATACAAAATAATCTGATCTAAGTTTCTACTAAAGATGAATTTCCAGGTGGGCTACTGCCAAGTTCATATATCCACATCAAATCAGATTACAACTGCCCTCAGAGAAAACCCTGATCTAATATTTGACAACTAGCGTATGCAAGGCTCTTGTTGACACGGGTCAGTTCCACGTTGCCATGAATTCCTGTGCTGCATTGTATGCTCTACGACCTTGGGCCAAATTAAATCCCCAACAACTATCAACCTGGGGCACTCATCAAGCGACCACAATCAGGAATGGCAAATTAACCACAGTGGAAAATCACATGACTGTGACTGTACTTACAATTTAATTGTTTTAAATTAACAATTAAATTAATTGTTTTCCTTTTTCATACTCCTCTGTCCTTTGGAATTCTCATCCTGGTGCTGGGATAATTAGCAAAAAGGGAATCAAACCTGATTCCCAATAGCAGTAACTGAGCGGGATCTTGGAGTCCTAGTGGCCATGGTGGCACAGTAGTAAGAATGCAGTACTGCAGGCTACTTCTGCTGACTGCCAGCAGTTGAGGTTGACTTAGCCTTCCATCCTTCTGAGGTCAGTAAAATGAGAAGCCAGATTCTTGGGGGCAATATGCTGACTCTGTAAACCTCTCTGTTTAGAGAGGGCTATAAAGCAGTGGGGTATATAAATCTAAATCCTATTGCTAGTGAACAATCACTTAAATATGATCCAGCAGTATGTGACAGCAGCTTAAAAAGTCAATGCAATCCTGACCTATTTTCAACCTAGTCAACCTATTTTTCCAAAGCACCAGAAAACAAGGCAAGAAATAATGGATGAAAACTAATCAAGGAGAGTAGCAACCTAGAACTAAGATCTTTCCAACAGTAAGAACAATTAACCAGTAGAATGGCTTGCCTTCTCAATCACTGGAGACTTTAAAAAAGAAACTGGACAGCAACTTGTCTGAAATGGTATAGGATCTCCTGCTTGAGCAGGAGTTCAGACTAGATCTCCAAGGTCAGTTCCAACTCTGTTATTTTGTTATTCCTTGTCACTTCCTAGTCATCCTTCTCAGGAATGGGACAATCCACCACGGCCAAGTTACTACGAGTCAACTCGCTGCGGGACAATTCAACGCAGAATAAAACAGTGATAATTCACTGTTTTTTTCGATATTATTTTAATTTTTGTCATTCACATTTCATTTGGTCCCTCTTTTAGTGATTACTTTAATGATTCTATTCCACCATTTCTTTGATATTAGCGTAATTCTCCTTCTGTGGCGAGTTGGCTGCAACGAATTAAGATAGAACCAGATTGAGGTTCTTACCCACAGAAGCCAGATTCCTGGAGTTCTCCAGCATGACCTCCCCATGAAGAGCTTTTTGGTCAGGATCCAGCTGAGACCACTCCTCCTCAGAAAAATACACAGCCACTTCCTCAAAAGACACAAGATCCTAAACAAGGAAACAAATTTCCGCGTTAAAAAACAACCCCAAGAAGATTTTGAGACTTCTCTTCCATCGATTCCAAGGGAGATTTGCAATAAATGAAATGGGCACCTGCTGCAGAATTCAAAATAAGATCCCACAAATTTTGGCAGATGGCACAACGTAAAGGATATTTAATCAGGTTTACTGCAGGATTTTCAATGGCTTTCACTGAAGCCAACTAAAAGTCTTAGCAGTAGCTCCAACTCTTTCTATGTGGGCAGAAGGTAATACTGGAGAAACCCATCTGCCATTTTTGCCAACTGTCTGCTGCATCCACTTAGGGACCATCATTCTCATGCTCCCCAGAATAAAAGTGCTAAGAGAGGTTATAATTTTTTTTTTATTTCGAATTTATATACCGCACCTTCTCCCGAGGGACTCGGGGCGGTGTACAGCCAGCTAAAAACATACAATACAAACATTAAGAGTAGCGCATGCTCCAAGATGGCGACCCGGCTCTAGGCTCGCTGTGATAGAGATGGGGTGTGTTGGCTTGTGAGGGTCTCCGGGGGGGTCGTTTGACCATCTGGGACCCCCTGCCCGGCAGGCGTGCTTCTAGTCGGTTGATTGAGAGCTTTTTGGGCTCTCTAAGGTGCCGATAACAGCGTGGCACCGACGCTCCGACGAACAGCTGTTCCGAGGCCGCCATGAGAAGGGCGGCGTTTGTGATCCATGGGCGGTGGCGGCGGCGGCAGCGGAGGAAACAGAAACGGCCAGCCTTCGGCTATGTTTGGATGGTTGGTGCGACGGCTGCGGTGGGGACGCTGGCATCGTCGCGGACTGCACACACCCCCCCGCGTCGGCGCAGTGGAGGTAGACGCCGGGGGGAAGGAAGCGGACGTCGAAGGAGGTGAGGGTGAATGGAAGATGTTGGTGGTGCCCGCGATGATGCCAGCGCCTCCGCCGACGCCGTTGCAGCAGCCATTGGGATGGCTGGAGTCGTGTAGCCGAAGAAGAACACGAGGGGGGAGCCTCCATCTCTGAATTTTAAACCTTGGCAACTTCGGGCCGCCATGGGGCTCTGGGGTAATTCCCAAACTTTAGCTCCCATGGCGAGGCCTCCTTTATAACCATCTCGGGGGGCTAGGACTGGGCATATAGGATGGTTGGAAGACCTGGAAGACTCGAGGGGGGGGGTTAATGAGGGTGGAGGGGCTGTTGGAGTTACTGCGCAGCCCTGGTTAACCCTCTCTCCCCCCCTCCCCCCCCGTCCTAGTTGGGCCATTATCAGGCCCTATGATTAACATGCTTGCCCTGCCGGTTTCTGCTCGATGGAGGTGGCTCCCACTTATTTTCCTCTATCTGCTTGCCTGCACTATCCATCTATACGCTACCTGTATGAATATTGTGGACAGCTTACTTTCTTCTGGAGACTTTGGACCTGGCTCTGCTTGTTATCTAGCACACTGGCTGTATGAAAAATGGCAGCTTACAGGAGGATGAATGGAGCCGGTTTCTATCATTGTTTCACTACCGATGGGATGTACCATCTCCCCCATGGCTAGTTGGCCAACCATCGTGAGAGGCTGGTTGGACGATTACCCTCGAATTGGTTGGAACATTGGACTCCCCCACTGCCGTGAGAGGACAGTGGAGACTCTTCCGCTTATGGTCAACCTGCCTTTTTTCAGGACAATTTGGACTATCATGGAGCCCTGGGCCACACCTTATCACTACCTCAGAGCTTAGATGTACCTAAGGGCACAGCTTCTTGCATTGCGAGAGTCCCCCCTCTCGCAAGCCTGGCCCTCCACGTTATTGAGGGCCTACCTCAATGACGGGTCTTGGAACCCAGAGAGGTGGCATGCGGCGAAGAGGGGGTTGAGGGGTTTTTTATGTAAATTTTTGGAAAAATTTTTAAGGGGTCCCGGGGGGGGGAGGTAAAATTGGAACTAGGGTAGTGGGTTCGGGGGATAACCCACCAAGGGGAAGGTCAGGCCTGGCCACTATACGCGGCGGGGGGGTGGGAGTTCCGGAGGAAATGGGGGGGGTCGAGCTTGTCCAGATTGTGTTTTTACCATCGGTACTGTGAGGGGGAGGGGTAGATATGGCGGGAGCAGGGGGCCATATCATGTTAAGGGAGCGCGTACCCGCTGTCTCCATGCGGTAGCGTGCTCCCTCCCCCAAGGCTCCACTCGTTCTCCAGGTTGCACAGACCCTCAGGGCCCAGGCCTTCGGCTGATGTTGTGCAATGCCAGGTCCGTAGTAAATAAAGCCCCCCTCATTTGTGATCTTGTTCAGGAGGGGGGAGCGGACCTGGCAGGTATTATGGAGACCTGGTTGGGCCTGGAGGGAGGGGTCCCTCTGGTAGAAATGTGCCCACCAGGCTTCCACGCATTCCATCAACCGAGGTCTCAGGGGAGGGGCGGGGGAGTAGCGGTTATTATTAGAGAAGGTTTTAGGCCGAGGGAGGCCACTGTTCCTCAGACGGCCGGTTGTGAGACCCTCCTTGTGAAGTGGGGTTATGGGGTTCAGATGGGTTTGCTGATCACGTACCTGGCTCCCTGCCACGTGGCAGCAGCCCTGCCCGAGCTACTCAACGTTATCGCTGCGGTGGCGGTTGATACCCCCAGACTTATGGTCATGGAGGATTTCAACCTGCCGTCCGTGGGTGAGACGTCTGAGGTGGCTCGGGAGTTCATGGCTTCCATGACGGCTATGGATCTGACCCAGCTAATTCATGGCCCTACGCACATGGAGGGAAACACACTGGACTTGATTTTTGTCTCTGGACAGTGGCTGAGTGATCTCGAGATAGGGGACATAGTCATCGAGCCCTTGTCATGGTCGGATCACTCTCTCCTTCGCCTTGATCTTCGAACCGCTGCACCCCATCGCAGGGAGGCGGAACCGATAAGATGGTACCGCCCCAGGCGCCTGATGGAACCTGATAGGTTCCAGACGGAGCTTGGGCCAATGCCGGAGGTCCTGGCTCACGCCTCGACTGGAGACTTAGTGGCCGCCTGGGATAGGGCAGCCGCTGGAGCTCTGGATCGAGTCGTGCCTTTGCGGCCTCTGACCCGGCGCCGATCTCACCTGGCTCCTTGGTTTACTGAGGAGCTGAGGGAGATGAAGCGCCGGAAAAGACGCCTAGAGAGTAGTTGGAGGGCCAGTCGCACTGAATCTGACCGGACACTGGTAAGATCTCATATTAAGAATTACCTAGTGGTGATAAAAGCAGCGAAATGCACTCATCTTGCTGCTCTTATTGCGTCATCAGATAACCACCCGTCCGCCCTGTTTAGGGTGACCCGCTCCCTGCTCCACCAGGAAGCGAGGGAGGACCCCTTGGAGGGAAGAGCCGAGGACTTTGTTCAGTATCTGTATGACAAAATCACTCAGATTCGGGAAGATCTGGACTCCGACTGGGTAGATCCAGCGGGGATGATGGAGGCAGGTCCTGAGAATGTTATCTGGGATGAGTTTGACTCTGTGACCCCTGAGGACATGGACAGGATTCTGGGTAGACTGAATGCGACCACATGTTTGTTGGACCCGTGCCCCTCCTGGTTAGTGCTGGCTTCCCGGGAGGTGACGCGAGGCTGGCTCCAGGGGATTATAAATGCTTCATTGAGTGAGGGTGTCTTTCCCGCCACCTTGAAAGAGGCGGTGGTGAGACCTCTCCTCAAGAAGCCTTCCCTGGACCCGGCAATATTGGCTAATTATCGTCCAGTCTCCAACCTTCGCTTTGTGGCGAAGGTTGTTGAGAGTGTGGTGGCACGACAGTTTCCCCGGTACCTGGATGAAACAACGTATCTAGATCCGTTCCAGTCGGGTTTCAGGCCTGGGTACAGCACGGAAACGGCATTGGTCGCGTTGGTGGATGATCTCTGGAGGGCTCGGGACAGAGGTTGTTCCTCTATCCTGGTCCTATTAGATCTCTCAGTGGCTTTTGATACCATCGACCATGGTATCATGCTGCACCAGTTGGAGGGGTTGGGGGTGGGAGGCACCGTATTACGGTGGTTCTCCTCCTTTCTCTCCGACCGGTCGCAGTCTGTGTTGACAGGGGGGCAGAGGTCGACCCCGAGGCCCCTTATATGTGGGGTGCCACAAGGATCGGTCCTCTCGCCCCTTTTGTTCAACATTTATGTGAAGCCGTTGGGCGAGATCATCCGTGGTTTCGGGGTGGAGTACCATCAGTACACTGACGACACCCAGCTGTACATCTCCACCCCAGACCACCCCAACGATGCCCTTGAAGTGATGTCCCGGTGCCTGGAGGCCGTACGGATCTGGATGGGGAGAAACAGGCTCAGACTCAACCCGAGTGGCTGTGGTTTCTGACGTCCCGATATAGTCAGCTGGTGCCATCACTGACTATTGGGGGCGAAGCATTGGCCCCCACGGAAAGGGCTCGCAACTTGGGTGTCCTCCTGGATTCACGGCTGTCTTTAGAAGAGCACTTGACGGCCGTGACCGGGAGGATTTTTCATCAGGTTCGCCTGATCCGCCAGTTGCGTCCCTTTCTGGATCAGGACTCGTTACGCACGGTCACTCATGCCCTCGTCACCTCCCGTCTGGACTATTGTAACGCTCTCTAAATGGGGCTCCCCTTGAGGAGCATTCGGAGGCTCCAACTGGTGCAGAGTGCGGCCGCGCGGGTGGTGATGGGAGCGACGTGCCGCTCCCATGTAACGCCTCTCCTGCGCGAGCTGCACTGGCTCCCGGTGGTCTTCAAGGTTTTGGTCATCACCTTCAGAGCGCTCCATGGCTTAGGACCTGGCTATTTACGGGACCGCCTGCTACCACCAATAGCCTCCCACCGACCAGTACGCTCCCATAGAGAGGGGCTCCTCCGGGTGCCGTCGGCCAAACAATGTCTACTGGCGGCCCCCAGGGGGAGAGCCTTCTCTGTGGGGGCACCTGCTATCTGGAACGAGCTCCCCCCCGAGATACGGAGGATTCCGGATCTGCGTACCTTCCGTCGCACGCTTAAGACGTTCCTATTCCAGCAAGCCGGCCTGACCTAAACTTTTCCTCTTTTAAATGGGAATTTTAAATTTGGTTTTAAATTATTGGGGTTTTAAAATGGTTCAGCCAAATTTATTTAATTTGTTTTATCTCTATTTTAAATTTTGTATTTATATGTTTTATTTTATGGCTGTTCACCGCCCTGAGTCCTTCGGGAGTAGGGCGGTATACAAATTTAATAAAATGAAATGAAATGAAAATTAAAAACAATTAAAAGGATATATATTAATTTGGCCCCAATTTAAAATGACAAACCAGTTAAAAATGTTTTTAAAAAATGTTATGTTAAGCCAGCCCGGCTTGCTGGAAAAAGAAAGTTTTAAGGGCACGGCGGAAGGCACCGAGGTCTTGAATTCTCCTTATCTCTGGGGGCAGCTGATTCCAGAGGGTAGGTGCCCCCACAGAGAAGGCCCTCCCCCTGGGGGTCACCAGCCTACATTGTTTGGCTGATGACACCCCAAGAAGGCCCTCTCTGTGGGAGCACACAGGTCGGTGGGAGGTCATCGGTAGCAGCAGGCGGTCTCGAAGATAACTAGGTCCTATGCCATGGAGCACTTTAAAGGTGGTGACCAACACCAACAGGGATTGCACATGGGATTGACTCTGGGAGACAGGAAAAAGAGCCTTAGCCGAGACAATGGTCTGCTCAATAAAATCTGAATTTCAGAAGAGAAAAACAAGGGATTGGGAGGGGGGGTTCTTTCAGAATTGCAACATTAAATTATGTAGTGCTAGAATTCATTGTCCTGGTTCTTGTCTGGACTACCTCGAAAAGCTAACAGAGCCCATCCAGGGATCTGTGTGAGGATCAGGGGTGGGCTGCTGGGGTTCGGGAGAACCTCTAAGATTCTCTGCAGTTCAGAGAACCCCCAAATCCCACTCCTTGCTGGCCCCGCCCATCCCACCCCTCCCAAGAGTCCCCATGTGGCCCATTTTGGATGCAGGTTAAGTGCAGGGTACGTGCGGAGGCTCAAGTAGGGAGAAAAACGGGCCTACCAGAAGTTCGGGAAGGCCTCCAGAGCCTGGGAAGGCCATTTGCGCCCTCCCAAAGGCTTGACAAAAGCCCCTGGAGCCCAGGGAGGGCGAAAACACCCCCCCCCCCCGCCATGGTGCAGGAGGCCAACTATGCCACACCCACCATGGCCACGCCCACCCAGCAGCCAGGCAGAGAACCGGTTCCTTGCTAAACTTTTTGAAGCCCACCCCTGGTGAGGACTACCAAAACGTGGGTGAGATGCAGCCAAAGGTCTGGTTCTCCTCAGTTTCCAAGGAAGCTGCTCACTTTCTGAACCAGAGCAGTGAAGAACAATTCCTGAGAAGACATTTCTCAGATTTTGCAAAGCTGAAGTGTTGGTTGGCATCCAGGCACCCAGGTTGTTAGAAATTCCTCACCAAGTTCTAAGTGCTTTGATTACGAGCCGCTTGGGCATACTTTTTATTTACAGGTATTTTATTTGGCCATTTTATTAAATCTTTTTTTTAGTCTGGTATACATTCATTCATTTTTATACAGCAATGTGATGTGTCTAGGAAGATAAGGTTGAATCCAGTGGTGAAATTCAAATTTTTTTACTACCGGTTCTGTGGATGTGGCTTGGTGGGCATGGTGTGGCTTGGTAGGCGTGGCTTGGTGGGCGTGGCAGGGAAAGCCTGGATAGCTCAGCAGACTAATGCATTGTAATTTAACTCCAGCTGTCTGCAATTAGTAAGTTTGAATCTCCCCAGGCTCAAGGTTGACTCAGCCTTCCATCCTTTCTAAGGTAGGTAAATTGAGGACCCAGTTTGTGGGGGCAATAAGCTGACTTTGTAAAAATATACAAAAGTATGAAGGCTATTGCTTAAAGCATTGTAAGCCGCCCTGAGTCTCCAGAGAAGGGCAGCATATAAATCAAATTTAAAAAAAAAAAAGGATACGGCAAAATCTCTATTTCCACCCCACTCCAGGGGAAGGATACTGCAAAATCTCCATTCCCACCCAACTCTGGGGCCAGCCAGAGGTGGTATTTGCCGGTTCTCCGAACTACTCAAAATTTCTGCTACCGGTTCTCCAGAACCTGCTGGATTTCACCCCTGTTGAATCCTTCCAAGGAAATAAAGACGAGTATGGAGACTCCTTTTAACCATTGCTATATCTCTAATCATTTGAAATACCTTTTACCTTAATTATACTTTTTAAAAAATGTTCTACAACATTACAGTAGATTTTCTTTCTTGGGTCTCCATACCACTCTTGAGAAGTAGGCCAAATTGGGTGTGAATGTTCAATACTCAATCTAAATTTTTATGTTGCTTTGAAACAGCAATATTGTTCCATGGCTTAGGACCCGGTTATCTACGGGACCGCCTGCTACTACCAATAGCCTCCCACCGGCCAGTACACTCCCATAGAGAGGGGCTCCTCCGGGTGCCGTCGGCCAATGTCGACTGGCGGCCCCTAGGGGGAGAGCCTTCTCTGTGGGGGCACCTACGGTCTGGAACGAGCTCCCCCCGGAGATACGGAGGATCCCGGATCTGCGCACCTTCCGTCGCGCCCTTAAGACTTTTTTATTTCATCAAGCTGGCCTGGCCTAAATCTTCTCCCCTTTTTAAATGTAAATTTTAATTTGTTTTTAAATTATGGGGTATTTTAAATTTGTTCAGCCAAATTATTTAATTCGTTTTTATTTTGTTTTAAATTTTTGTATTTATGTGTTTTATCTTGTGGCTTTTCACTGCCCTGAGTCCTTCGGGAGAAGGGCGGTATATAAATTTAATAAAATAAATAAATAAATTGTGCCCTTTTTCCTGGATTGTGAGGTTCCGAGCTGAATCATTCATGCCCTGGTCATCTTTTGTTTGGATTACTGCAATATGCTTTATTTGGGGCTACTGTTGAAAAGTATTCGGAAACTACAGCTGGTACGGAACACAACAGCATGGACAGTTCTGCAGGCCCCTAGGATGATACTGTTATGTGCGGCTGTAATGGTAGCTGGTTTGCTTCCAGATCCAATTCAAGCTGTTGATTATCACCTCTAAAGCCCATCATGGTATGGGACCTGGTTATCTGAAGAACCGTCTTGCCCCAATTGGATTTGCCCAACCCACTTGTCCGGACACTTTACATTAACAAAGTAATTTTGGCTAGTAGGTCCAGGAGAACAGCCTTTCCTGCTATCATCCCTGCCATTTATAACATGGTATTCCTCACCGTGAAATCCACCCTACCCTACCCTTTCTAGCCTTCCTTAAAACTTGTCTCTTGTTGTTTGGCCTGGGGCCTGAATGGGGACGGGTCATCCTGGAAGTTACTAGATTAAAAAGAAGTTCCTACATCCACTCCTTCAAAAAAAAAAACCTCCCTCTCTTAGCTATTTCTCTGTGAATTTTAATGCTGCATCTATTGTTGCTTTAATCTTTCATATTATTTCAGCAGATTGCATGCTGCCCAGAGTTGCATGTCAGTGAAATGGGTGGCATATAAATATAATAGACGAAAATAACAACATTTTGCCACTGGAGATGACATCTCCCTCCACTTTTCTGGCTGTTCAGAAAAGCCTGAAAATAACCAAGACCTACATACAAACACCCGCGAAAACCTCAGAAAACATATATATATATATATAGATCTTTGGTTATTCAGGTTTTCTCCCGCGTGAAATTGGAAGTGTCTTGGCAACGTTTCGACGAAGTCTCCAAGACTTCTAACACCTGCGAAAACCTCAGAAAACATACACACACACACACACACACATACACACACACATATATATATGTATATATATATATATACACACACACAGAGTATATATATATTGTATATATATAAAGTGTTTTTCTATTGAAGCACCTGGTCTACCCCAATATGGGAGGGAGCATAGTTCGAAACTGAGTAAGGGAATGGCTAGCTGATGAGAGCTAAATAGCTTGAAATAGGTCTATACTACTCTCCCTTTATTTATCAGCAAATATAAATTTTATGTGTGTGTGTGTGTGTGTGTGTGTGTGTGTACAGTTAATATCTCGGGTTTCTTCCCGTGTAATTGTAAACATATCCTTAAAAGGGTAGTAGTATGATATATATAATATATATATCATCCAAGATTCATAGATGTTTTCCAACATTTCTCCTACCTGAGGCACGGGTTCGGTCACTCTTTCAGCTACATCACAAAGAAGAGGTGATTCGAAAAATACCAAGGACTGCTTTTGGTTCTCTGTGAAAGGCAGAAAAAGTGTGAAAGCAGATTTGTTTTAAAAAATTGAGAAATTCTACTCAAGAGGAGCAAAAGAATCAGTTAGCTGGATGTCCAAACCTCACATCACACAGATGCAGTTTCCATTACCTGACATGGTATCCTGATTTTGATCTTTCTGAAAGATCTCCCCAACCAGTAGCTCTTGGGAGAGTTTCGATTCTTTCCTTCCCTTGACATACTCAGTGGCTGCTTCCAAGGATATCTGGACATGATGTCCCAGTAGAAACAAGGAAGAGCAGAGAGAAAGAAATGAATTCTCATACTGCACCCTCAAACTAGGAGACCCCAATGTATATCACTGAAGATGGACAATGAAGGCAGAAGAATTCCCCAAATACATCTTCTAAAAGAAGAATGAAACAACTGGCCTTAGCAGTTCATAATCCCAAAAACTCTGTCAGAGAGACATTGACAAATTGAGAGAGATCATTAGACCTGCCGTGGCTATACTCTCACACCTGCAACTCTTCTTGCATCTTTTCCTCCTCCTGGCTCAGCAGGAATCCTTCAGCCAGGGCCACTGCCTGGGAACTTGTCTCCGCTCCACACTCCCGCACCCATTTCTCCATCTCTGGGGGAAGGACAGCCAGGAACTGCTCCAGGAGCACCAGATCCAGCATCTGAGCCTTCGTGTGTCTTTCTGGCTGCAGCCACTGAAGACAAAGGCGGTGAAGGTGACTGCAAACATCTCGGGGCCCAGTCACCTTCTCGAACTGTACTTTTCTGAAGGGATAGCAATGGACCGCTAAAATGTTAGTTCCCACTTCCTGGATCTTCTGCCTAAGATTTGACTCATTCTTCTCACAGTTCCAAGGCTGAGCAGCAAGAGGGAGTTTTCCAGTTCCTGCATCTGCTGGATGTTGTCCCTCCATCTTTTCTTTTTTCTCTAATCCAGTTGCAAAATGGGTCAATGGATCTCCAGAGATCTTCCTATTCAGAAGACCTGGATTTCACTAACAGATCCTGGTCAAGTTTCCCAAGGACATTCAGTCCTCTACATTTACAAGATGCTTCTGTCTTCAGATGGAGCAGGAAAGGTTTCCACTTTACATATCTGAAATGAAAAAGAGAAAAAAAATTTTTAATTTGATTTATATGCCGCCCTTCTCCGGAGACTCAGGGCGGCTTACAATGCGCTAAGCAATAGCAAATTTCCAGTAATTATAGCATAACTAATTTAACTACTGGGCATCCTTCTCCAAAGTAAAATAAAAATACTAATGAACCTACAAAGGTCTGGAAAGAGGGAGGAGAATCTTATTAGGTAAGCTGATTTTTCTGGGTCTGGGGGAAATGCAGGAGAACCTTTCCGGACCAACTTTTTGCAAGGATTCAAAATACTGGAGAAATACATAAAATATGTTTTGGATTCCTATTTCTGAGTTCCTTATTCGACTGATTTCTGTGATTGTGAATAGAGAGTCTCTTTAAATCGCGAATGTCACAGGTCACAAACAGAAATTGAGACGAGCGCTATACAAACCTATTAATTAAGTAAACCAATCAATATTTGAATGTATAATAAAAACAACAGAAGCCCATCTGGCCCAACTCCCTTTGGGAACTTGAGAAGCCTGAATTAACAAGCCGTCATCCAGTGCATATAGCACTAACACCCAACTGAACAATCCACATACTACAAATTTAACAAGATCTTCTGATTCACACAATTCTTACAAACACATCCCCCCTCCACTTCTTAACTCGACGCAAGTCTTTTTCCATCTTCCACTTCAAACTCCCAGAGTGTAAACCTTTTGACAAACACTGGTGTCATCGGGCACAAGTGCGAATGCTGCATCTCAGCCCCACTTGCACACACACACCCCGTCCCTGCAACGTTTCCCTTCTTTGTCTGCTAGCAGAGCCCCTTTGCGGTCGTGGGGAAAGGCTGGGAAGCAGCACCCCAGTTCCAGTCCTCGCCCTCCCGCTGGCCTCTGCATGGGAAAGGGCGGCAGGGGAACATGGGACTCCGATCCCAAAAGAAGACTTGGCCCGTCTCCACCCATGCCTCCAATGCGGGACCCCTTTGCATGGGCAGAGCTGCAACTCACAGAACTCGGGAGTCTCGTCTGGATCCGCATCCCTCCAAGGCTTCTCGACAGCCTCTGGATCTCCCGCAACGGCCCCGCCCCAGGCTCCAGGGGTGGTGACGTCTTCCAACTAATGACCCGGGAATCACGTGTCTTGTACTAGCGGAAGAGGCCAGCGCATGCTCAGTTGTGTCCTGAAGCGGAGAACGCCCCCTGGTGGACTCTGCGCAAAGTGGCAGGATTCACCCACAAGGGCGGGAAAGAGGAGTGCGTCTGAGGGGAGGAGGAAGGCAGGGATGATGGGCATGGGAGTAGCGGGGGAAACCCCTCTCAATGCCTCCCTGCCTGAGAAAGGCACTTCGGCACATCCAGAGACGGCACTTTCTCCATCTTCCTCTCCAGGAACCGTCTCTCTGGAGGATTTGAACTTGCTTCCCTCAAGAACAGCTGCCCTGAAGGCTGGGCAGAGATTGGAGGCCTCAAAAGAGGCCAAATCCTTTAAGAAATGGCCAGACGGTCAGAAGATGAGGACCAGGAGGCTCCCTGGGAAACATGTAACTGTAACTGTTTTTATTTCTTTAATCCGATATATGCAGGTGCCATCTGAAATTTTTGGCTCTGGGTGCCTAAGAATTTGGAAAGACCAAGTGACAGCTTATGAAAAAAATAATACTGAAGAAGAAAATCAATTCCAAACTGGAGAAAAAGCTGAAAACTGATGGATGTTCCAAAAATTTTACCTCACAAGGCTCTTTGATGGAGAAATGAAAAAGGAGAACATGGCGTCTCATCAGGATGCCAGATGACGGAAAGACAGATGAAGGACATCAAACACTGAAAAACGAATATAAAGCTGAAAACACCACGAGGGACAAAATAAAATCTGTTTTACATGGGAGGCTGAATGGGGAATTCACCTCAGGACACCACAAAGCTTAAGACCTTTGGAGATTTTAAAGCAGGGGTGTCGAACTCAATTTCATTAAGGGCCACACCAGCATTATGGTTGCCTTCAAATGGCCAGTTGCATGTAAAAGTATGAGGTGGGAGTGCCTGGATAGCTATGGTTGGCACTTTGGCTCCCTGGGCACTGCAAACCTGCAGCCCAGCCCAGCCCCACTTATCCAAGGGGGCGCCCGCCCACGCTTACTTCCTCCTCGAGGCTACTATTGCTACTGTCTGTGCCACCAGGGGTGAGGCAAGGCCAGGCAGGGCAGTGAGGCAAAGCCAGGTGAGGAGAGGCCAAGGGGAGGTGCCAACAAGCTGCATCTGCTGCCGATAAACAGCAGCTGTGTGTTCACCACCTCCTACACACATGCCTTGCCTTGCCACACCTCTCCTCGCGCAATCTCACTTTGCCATCGCCTGGCCTTGCCTTGCCTCACTTTTCCTCGCTTGGCCAGGCCTCGCTCACCCTGCCCACAGCGTCTGGCTGTGCTGGCTTGGGCCAGGACTGAGGTGGTGGGGGCTAGACCCCTCACCATTTCCAGGGCAGCCCTACGGGCCAAATCTACTCATGTCACATGCTCCAGCCCATGTGTTTCAGTTTGACACCCCTGCTATAAAGAATGACATTGGTACGACAATGGCAGATCTGAAGAAAGCTTTGCGAGTCAAAGTGGCGTGGAGAATCGTGATCCATCGCCACGAGTCAGACGCAATGATTGCTTATGACGTTTCGTAAGAAAACATCCTTACCACAAAACGTATTTCTATAATTCATATTTAGCTATAATTTCTGCAAGTCTTTCCAGCTTTATGCCTTGTCCCATAACATGCCTGGAGTTATAATTTGTTACCTGAGCCGATGCTAGCTCTCAAAAAGTAAACACTTATTGATATTTTTTAATTGGGGATTTAGGCTTTCTCTATCATGATCAGATGAAAAATAGGATAAATGTGAAGAATTTTTTTTTCTCTTATTCAGGTGGCGAAGATCAAATAACATTAAGATCAAAAATACACTTTTCATAATTAAAACACCACATGCCCATTGTTTGCTTGCGGTTGGTAAATTCAGCTCTCCGGGGCTGACGTTTGTGAAGGCCAGGCTTTTAAAAAATCCTTCCTAATTAAGTATATCTAAGTAAAAAATACTTGTATTTCAACAATGAAGCCTACAATTTACATGGATTCTTCTTCAAATGAATTGTATATGGAAAATTCAGTCATTGTTCCTCCTGAAGGTTTTTGTTTTCCAAATGTCAAAAATGTATAAGGCTTTTTGCATCTGGATCTTGTTATAGGAGTTAAGATGATTGCTCCAAGAAAAGGTCTTTCCATATTCCACGCATTTATATGGCTTCTCCTGTGTGGATCCTTGTATGGGATATAAGGTTTCTGTTCTTAGTAAAAGTCTTTCCACACTCAGTGCATTTATATGGCTTCTCCCTTGTATGAATCTTAATAATAATAATAACTTTATTGTCATTGTACGTGTATACACAGTATATGCATACAACAAAATTCACTTAACACCCAAAGACTAGGTCCAGCACACACAACAATTCCCAAACATTCCCACCCACCACAATTCCCCACCCCTAAAACCATCAAACATCCACACAACAGACCAAATAATGCTGTCCAACAGCTCACCGATGGTGGCCCTTTAGTTCATTGTTGAGTGTAATTATAGCTCTGGGATAAAAACTATTCAGAAAATGTGTGGTCCGAGTTTTAATTGTCCGGATCTTCTGCCAGAAGGCAACAGTCCAAAAAGATTGTAAGCAGGATGGGAAGAGAATGTTATGCAACTTTCTCAAACAGCGAGATTTGAAGATGTCATCCAAGGCTGGTAGCTGGAGTCTGATGATATTCTGGGCAGTTTTAATGATTCTTTATAGATCTTTTTTGTCCGCTACAGAGCTGCTCCCATACTATGCAAGAATGCCGTATGTCAGGACACTCTCAATGGTGCTGCAATAGTAGGACAGAAGTAGATGCTGAGATAGATTTATCTTCCTGAGCATTCTCAGGAAGTACAGCCTCTTCCGTGCCTTCTTCACAAGCATGTTGACATTCATAGTCCATGAGAGGTCCTTTGAGATATAAATGCCCAGAAATTTAAAACTACCAACCCTCTCCACCTCCTCACCATTTATGTACAGTGGTAAATGTACATGTCTCTTCCTCCTGAAGTCAATTATAAGTTCTTTAGTTTTTTTGGTGTAAGTATAAGATTATTTTCTTTACACCACAATGTCAGCCCTTGTACTTCCTTTCTGTAAGCAGACTCATTGTTCTTATTAATGAGCCCCACCACTGTTGTGTCATCTGCAAATTTAATAATTGCGTTGGTGTTATACAATGGGGTGCAGTCGTGTGTGTACAAGGAATAAAGGAAAGGGCTTAACACACAACCCTGGGGGGCTCCTGTGCCTAGTATCAGAGTAGAGGAATGGTGAGATCCCATCTTTATTAACTGTGGTCTATTTGTCAGAAAATCCTTTATCCACAAACAAATCCTCTGATTTACACCCAAATTGGACATTTTAAGAAATAACCTGTTGGGTAAAATGGTGTTACAGGGAGGCAATCTTTCTATGGTTACTAAATTGACCATTCTTAATAAACTTCTTTCCACAGTCTGTGAACTTATATGGCTTCTCCCCTGTATGAATCCTTCTATGGTAAGTCAGTCCATTCTTCTTAGCGAAGCTCTTTCCATATTCCATGCAGTTATAGGTCTTCTCCCCTGTGTGGATCCTTTTGTGGGAGTTAAGATAACTGTAATAAAATCCTTACCACACTCTGTGCATCTATACGGCTTCTCCCCTGTATGAATCCTACTATAGTAAGTAAGTTGACTGTTCATCATAAAACTCTTTCCACACTCAGTATATTTATGTGGCTTCTCCTCTGTGTGAATCATTTTATGGATAGTAAGAGACCACCCTTTAGTGAAGCTCTTTCCACAGTCCATTTAGCTATAGGGCTTCTCTCTTGTGTCTTATGTCTTGTAAGTTGACTCTCCTTAGTAAAGCTTATCCCACATTGCATGCATTGATATGTCTTCTTTCCTCTGTGGATTCTATCATGGGAAATTATTTGGCTGCTCTGAGCAAAGGTCTTTCCACAATCCATCCATGGGTTTTCTCCTGTGTAGGGATGCTTTTAAGGGATGCATTTATATGAGGAAGTGGCATCGTTCTTTTGAAATTTTTTCCATTCTTTCTACATATATAATTTTCTTCTTTGGTTTGGGTTTGATAGTGTTCATTTACATCTAATTGGTCTTTGAATAGTTTTATACATTTTCCAATATATTTGTTCTTTATTTTTTGTTTTCTGGCCACAGAGTCTTTCATTGGTGCCTGAATGGAAGATGAACTTTCCCAATTCCAATTATTTGAATGGTTTCTCTCGTGGCTTTCGACTTCCATTTGAATTGCATAGTTCTTTGTACTGTATTTACGACTCATCGTTTGGAATAGATCCTCGGAATCTTCATTTTCTTCCCCATTATTACCTTCACAGGAAACAAATGAAAATAACTTTAGGGAAAAATAGCAAACTTCAGGAACTTTGAATATAATGAAAAACAAGCTGCTACAATCTACTTGGATGGAAAGGACTTTCTGGATTAAAATTTTGGAAGAGAGCCAGGAGTGCACAGGGAAACAACAGGCAAGTCAGGGGAGGACTTGCAGGGGAGCCTGCTGTACCCCAGAAACCCAGAACCACATCCTGCAAGTCTGCGAGCTGACCAACGATGCACAATGTGCACACCATAACCGCATACTTCAGTGCCTTAAGAAACTGCTGCGCCGAATGGAACTCCATACGAGAACGGAACCGGTGATCCCATCCAGATCCTCCTTCATAAAGCCAGACCTGATCGTGGAGACAGCAAACCAGTTGTGGCTCCTTGATGTTGCCATCATTGCCGGATACCAAATGGAGGATACCTGGGACATCAAAACCACGAAGTATGGTCATCCTCACCACATTGCAGACATTCTTCGTTGGGCTGCTGTACTGGCCACGACCCGAGTTTTCCACCTTCCAGTTGTCGTTTCCAACAGAGAGCTGTTCTATCAACCGTCAGTTAAGGTACTCCGGGACTTAGGTTTGAGCCACAGGGACATTATGGACCTTTGTTTGTTGGCCATCAGCGGCTCACTCATGT